TCGGCTACCGTAATGTCTTTGTCATTTTTGAGAACTAGCTCTATCGAATGAGCTATAGTATACCAAAAAAAGGGGCAAGCTAGCAGAGTTCTTTTAGGAAAATCGTCAGGATGGAATGGAATGCAAGCTAGTCACTATTTTGGGTGCAAAATCGTTCAAAAACGCGGAGTTAAGAGCAAAAATAGCAAACAATTTTGGGGATTTCTGGTAAATTTGGGGAATTTTCGGGAGTACCGGGGCGGATTACGGTACCTCCATTCCCACGCAATTTCCGGCCAATGACGCGAGAGTGGTCAATGCCATGCCAAGATTACTCCGACCAGAATCGGGTCCAATTCTTTAATTCCCCATGTTTTTTCTTCATTTCCCCGATAATCCCTGCACCGTCACCAGCCCATAAAATTTTTTGGGGTCGAGAAAGCCGAAAGAAACGGCTGGGTGAAGACCTAGAGGCATGTCTGACCATTTCTCGCTTTTTAAAATGCACCCCTTCAACCGGATTAGCATAGTGGAGACGGTGGAAAGGTTGTGGAACCCTTTAATAATCCATAGGAGCGAGAGAGAGACAGAGGGAGAGAGAGAGAGAGAGAGAGAGAGAGAGAGAGAGAGAGAGAGAGTCATTCAAAAGGCCAGACATGCTGTCTCGGCCATCCCGGATTGCTCATTTTGTACTCTTGAAGGGGATTTGGAAGTGCGGGTCTGGAGGCTGGATTAACCACGCTCTGACCACTCGAATCAGAGCACATCCAGGGGGCCTAGCAGAGAAACTTTGCGGAAAAGCTCGGGTAGGCGCGAATTTGTTACTGGCAGGCCTCCAGAGCTATTTTGGGAAAATCTCATGGCGTCCGCTATCTCCTAGATATATAACTAAGGGCCAGCTAGCAGAGAGCATTAAAGAATCTGGAATCTGTCTGGCAAGGCTATATTGCAGAACACTTTGCGGAAATTCAGCGTTTTATAGGAAAAATTCGTATGGATGCTTAAAGAGATAGGGGCGGCATAAGTCAATCGATTACGCGAGGGAAAGAAAATGTCTCTGCGCCTCTCCCCTGGGAGCCCTCTCTCGCGCGAGATCGCCGCGGGACTTGTTGAACCCCCCCTCCCCAAGGGGGGTTCAACAGATGCCGTCCTCATCTCTTTAAGGAAAACTTTACGATAGCGGGGCAGGCTTGCAGAGATTATTATTAGAGAATAGCAGAGATCAAAAATTGCGCGGAGAGGCTAGCAGCGCATTTCTTGGGATTCGGATCCAACGCAATTAATGCGGTGAGCCCTGCTAGAGAAAACTTACCAGGTATGTTTAAGGAAATCCAGCTGTTCATAGACCATACTAGCAGCGGTTTTAGGAAGCCTAGTCTTTTTAACGCGGGAACTTTGATATATGGAGCGGCAGTGGCCCTTGACGAAATTCATAACTGAGGAAAGTTAGCTGAGTGCGGCTAGTAGCGATCATTTATGAATCTGAGTTTGATTATGGAACATACTCTGCAAGATGGGGATAGTCAGCCGGGATTCTTAAGGTAAATTTGGCATTGAAAGGGAAGACTAGCAATCCAGTTTAGTCTAATTTAGTCCAGTTCACGCATAAATCATAGTCCTGATAATTGAGGCAATCTAGCTGAGATTCTCACGGAAATCCAGGAGTTCGAAAGCTTGTGGTGGTTCTTCAGCCACCGAGATCATCAACGCGCCGAAAATCTGCTTTTGCCCGGACGCGTGTTCTTTGAGGCTCAGAGTTTCTCGAAAGGCCATCCTCCTCCTTTTTGTCTATTTTCTGCTGATCAACAGTTGTGAATATAGCCAACCTACGCCATCAGTCTATCCCTTCAGATGGGTCGGATTTGGCCCGGGCCGACTATTTCGGGGGCCCCAAATCCGGGGTTGGGTTGATCCGATTCTTACTAGGCGGGGATTATGCCATGTGGAGGCTACCGTATCGCAAGCTCCAGGGATTACGGTAGAGAGGCTACAGTAGATCTCTAAGACTCCCTAGGAATCGGGTTTCGGAACGGTTTTTCCTAAGAATCGCCGCTAAATTGCCTAAGTTTAGCGGATCTATGCTTGTTGCGTATATGATCTCTGCTATCAGGCGCCTGCATCTTAAGGGATAGCGACACCAAGAAAAATTATTCACGGTAGAATGCGCAAAATATAGCCAGAATAAAATAGCCTAGCATGTGTCGGGATTATGGCTATCGGCATTTCTGCTCGGATTCCACTCAAAAACCATGAAACATGAAAAAAAGACCGGAAACTGATATTTCAAAAGATCGGCAGGGTGAAACCGGACAAGCCTCGTATTCCGTGTGATTCCACCGCAAAACAAATGCCAGATGCCTATCAAATAGCGCATCGGTTTCTCGAAAGAATATTAATCGTTTATGAAAGGGTAGGGGGTCAATTCCGGCTTCTAATTGACCGCATGACTCGACTGTTATTTGGGAGTGGCCGTCAGGAGGGGGGGTACGGTAATCGGGGGCATATTATGTCATGTCTCTATCTCTCACTCTCGCTCTCGCTCTCTCTCTCTCTCTCTCGCTCTCTCCCCACCTCGAGCTCGTGTGGCTTGTTTTCTCGCTCACCCCAATTGCCGTTTCCTGACCCCTCGGATATGAATGAAAAGGTGGTCAACCAAATTTTAAACAATCTGGAATTGGGGCAGACTTTGGGGTACTGTAACTTGGTCAAAACGTAACGTATATTTGATTTAAACTCTTAAAAATATAGATCTTACTAGGGTTTTTAATATTATATGTAACGGAATTGAAAATAAATTTGGATCCAAAGTTATGGCATTTTGACGGGGTTTTACAGTTTGAAAATCCCTTTTTTGCTTGTATCTCGGCTAGGATATGGCTTTATACATTAAATGACCGGTTAAAATATAGAGCAAATCAAGGGCTACAAAAGCATATATAAAACATGAAAATACAAACTTGCTCAAATTTTATAGGATTTTTGAAGAACTTAAATTGAACTTTCATTTCTGCTGGACTGGACATTAGCGAATTGCTAGCCCCAAAAAATGTCTGCAAAGATTATTATGCACTTATTCCACTTATTCCATTCCACCCTCGCTTAATTATGCGAGAGAGAGAGAGAGGGAGAGGGAAAGAGGGATGCCTTTTGATGGGATTATCCGAGATGCTCTCACAAATCCTATTTATCTGTCCCTCCCTCCCCTCTCGATTTCTGCGAATGAAAAACGGCAAAACAAATGGGGTGTTAAGGCAGAAGCCGGGTGATTAACCTCAATTGAAGGGTCAGATTCCTCGAGAATGGCGTATGATACTGATAATTGGGGTGTACATAGAATTCGATGTTGTAAGGAGGGCCTGAGGGGGGGGGGGGGCAGGCGAGCAGGGATTATTTAGGGATCTTCAGTGTTTTTGTCTCAATCTCTATCTCTATCTCTCTCTCTCTCTCTCTCTTTCTCTCTCTCTTTCTCTTTCTTCTTCTCCTCTCCCATTCTCTCGCATGACAGGCTAGCAGAGGTATTTTGGGGAATAGTCTCTAAAATATTTGAGCGTCTCATACAGAGAGAGAATGCTTAGAAAACCGGCAAAAGAAATAGTTTGTCTCTGCATTAATGAAATTGAATACTCAAGGAGCACTGCTATAACCCTTTCACAAATGATCCCACTAACCTCCCCGCAAAAACCGAATATAAGAAATCAAAACCGGGCTAGAAGACTGGTGAGGAGCAGTGAAAACCACCCCCTCAAAGTTCCGTCTGATACTCTTTACTGTAGCGTACTGGGCGTGCTCAACGCATTTCGCTATACATTTTCTGACGTTCCAGAAAATCGCATTTCCACAGTTATTTTCCGGAAAAACGGGCACAAACTCTGCCCATACGGTAGTGGTTCTCAGCCGGATTCGCGGACCATAAGCCGGCACGGGATTTGTTCCAATAAATGTGGAAATGGGGGCCCGGGGGCACAACAGAGTGTACCTGTAAATACGGGAAAACGGGTTGGGAAACCCCTTTTTACTTTCAATTTTACGGCTGATGTCTAATCACCCGTACGGAGTCATCTGGTTATGGGTAAATATATGACATAAAATAGTGGATGAAATAAGGATTTTTGAAGGGTACTTGGAATACTGCCAGGCCAGACAAATCTGCCGCGACAATTTTAAAAATACAGGGTTGCGAGGGCAAGGATGCGCAAGGCGGGCTAGCAGAGACCCTTTGCGTTGCAAAAAAACTATTATTAGAAATACAATTTTACTAACGCTATTAAAAAATTTTACAAGGCCGGCTAGCTTGGGCTATTTAGGACTGAATTTACAAAAAATCAGGCCAGCACCTGGGCCCTCGCAGAATTACCTTCAAGTCTCAAACTCCAGGACTTCAAAAAAATTCTGCACCACCAGACAGTTAAAGTAGATCCGGAATCCGGATGTCCGACCGTATCTGAAAATTGAAGAAGCTTAGCCTAGCCTACACGGTGCGGCATAAAGTATAGAGTACCATATTCTCTGGGCGTCTCTGAGAATTGACGATCATCACCATCAGCCACCTAAGACATCCGGAGCGTTGGTACGTGAGAAAAGGAGCGTGACTCGTGGAATATGGTGGTTTGCTCTTTGAACGGATTGTCTAGACGGACCGGAAGTGAGAGAGAGAGAGAGAGAGAGAGAGAGAGACTGGCCAGCCAGACGCTTATATAGAGATGGACGCATACCAAATCCAATAATTGGTGCCTAGTAGGGGTGGGGATGACGCGGGGGGGAGGAACAAGAAGGGTGTAAAGTTGGTGGGATTATCAAACATTTGATTTGAAGTCTGCATTGCTGAAAATTCACCGTAATTAGGACCGGAATGGATTAATCTATTGTTTTGGCCGAACTAGCCGGCCTGACGATTACCAAATGATCTTTGCTAGTATACCCCTCGATCGTTTTGAACCTGTAAGGGGTGACTTTTTAATAATGTAACTTTATCAAAAAAGCAAAATATAATATAATAAATGTTTTTTAAAAATCGAATCTCAATAATGCTGCAAAATAGCGTGCTCCGGCTTGAGATGGCCATTTTCGACGGGTGTCGGCGCCTCGAGCCTGGAAAAGCTGAATAATATTTAAATAAAGGTAGAAAATGTAACCTATACGTTTAGAAAAAACAAAATTATAACTGAAGCCTAAAAAATTATGTAAAAAACCAGCGCCCAAAACCCGCTTCGCGGGCCTTGGGCGCTGGAATGCGGCTTTTGCATGAAAAATTTAAATTTCCGATAGCTCGGGTCCTGCGGACCCCCCGCCCCCGACCAAACTCGCGAGTGCAACTGGCAAGAATGAGGAAATTTCTATTTTTTCGCATTATGCAAATTAGCCCTCAGGTACCCCCAAAAATGAATAAAACCGGCTCTAACTTTGTAAACTTGTATTTTATCAAAATTCTGAAAACGCCATCGGAAACAGAAGGGTCGATTCCCCCGGGTGACGGAGAATTGGGCCGTTTTGGCCACGGGAACGCCCTCAAATCGGGCCTTGAAAGTGACATCCACACACACACACAGAGATACACTCCAAAATTATATAAGGTAGGATATCACTTGAAATGACACGTACTTCTCGCCAAACGGTTCGCAAAAGGTGTGGGCATGAAATGACCATACGTACAGGGCGACTACTGTAATTTCGGCAAAATACTGGAAATTTTTCAAAATTTTTACCTGTAATAAAAACCAAAATAATGAGCAGAATCAGGGGCGAATAGCCAGAGTAGATGAACAATTTCAACGCTGAGCGAGTACTACCTAAACAAATGTCTAAATCGTTTTCAAGGGCCCGGATGGCTAGCAGAGATATTTCAGGAACTACCGTACCAGTGCATAGTGTCTCATCGGAGGCGTACGGGCAATTTCGGTTCAGGTTGCAGGCCAATTCCTTGGGGATGCATTTGCCGTCTCCGCATGAGAGCATGTCGATTAGAGAACAGTTTTTGTCTGAATACCGCTTGGCCATGAATTTTTGCCTTCATAAACCGTTTAAACTAGCGAAAAAGTCGAGATTTCCGCGAAACTTAAGAATTTTCGAGTTTCTAGTGTGCTAGGCTCACGCTAGGCTCACACCCAAATGACCAATGTTCGAAAGGTGGGTTCAAAGGTTTTTTTGCTTTTTGTTCTGCCGATCGGAAATTGCAATTTCCGCATGACCCCTCGTTCCGCGTCCGCTTACCATTGATAAATGAGGAATAGAGAGCCCGAATCTTGGTCAGCGCAACGAGTTTTCCGCTAGACAACCGGAGACGCAGGAATAATACATGGCCACCCGTGTAGATATTCGACGCCATCAGACCGCATAATCTGGAGTGGAAAACACAGTAGGAGAGAGAGGGAGAGAGAGAGTGAGAGAGAGAGAGATAAGTACCTCTTTATCGGGGTGCCAGTAGTGCCCGCGAATACTTCGACAAAGTTGTCCTCACAATTATTCGGTCGGGCCAACTCGAACTGGTCGAATGAGAGCGAGAGCTGGAGATGAGGCGGTGACTCAATTCTCCATACGCATTCCACCGGGCCAGGGTTCGGCTAAAAAGGGGGTGAAGCGGTGCATTTTAAAGGGGTCGTACACGCAGAATGCTTCTCTAACTTCTGGTCACATTGCAAAAAGTTTGCACTGGAACCCGAGCTGTTCTACTAGAAAATGAGAGCACTACCATTCAGCTACAAATCGATTATACTAGTTTAGTTTTTTCTGGTTTTTGACAACTCGAAATAGCGATTTGCAGCGTAATCTCAAAGAACCTCTACTCGCTTGCTCTACCCACCCTGACATGTTGAATGGCCTTCGAGTCGATCCATCCATCAAGCGCATTGTGGACCTCGAAGTGACATTCTAAAGGATGTATTAATTTCAGTTGCCAAGTATTGTTTGGCGTCCGCTATACTGAACGCGCGCACATTTGCATTGAATCGATTACGGGCCTTTACGCCATCCGCGCTGCGCGCGCGTTGCGTCGAAGGCCCCCCAAATACGGACATGTTACAGACTTGCTCGCCCATTTAATTGGGCATAAAACATACCATTAGCCCCTTGACTATAGGCAGGCGCAAGAGATCGAACCATCTCGTGCGTAGCGTGGAATCCCTTATACTCCAGATAGTCGTCCGAGTGGAATCGCATCCACATGTAGCCTAAATGTTTTATTTTTATCTTTTAAAAAACTAGCTGAAAGCATGGATTTTATTCGTGTAAAAATAAACCTGAAACTGCTCGAATCTCCACTGCGGGCAGCACATTGCCACAGAATTTCCCAATCAGCGTCGAGAACCCGTACCGGCCGTCGCGGAATTCCTCAAATTAAAGCATTTTGGTTTTACAAATTAGTAAAGGTGTAGTGCGTAGCGTGTTAGTGCACGTTTCAGTCCATTTCGAAAAAGATTACGCGCCGAATCTGAGGTTAGCGTCTTTTTCAATCTTTGTTGACAGTGTTTTTAACACCGATTTAAGCTGAAAGTAGTAAAATGTGTAAAAAGTGTAGTAATAAACGCGTTAAAGCCTCAAACTTACAATATAATCATTGGGACATGGCTGATCCTGGGCCGGATTGCTCCCATAAGCGTCTTCGATCTAAACCCGAAAATTCTAATTCGAGGGTTTCGAATACCTGGAAAAAGTGGTTGAACTTGACGACAATATCATACCCAGGGCTCGCCTGGATCACGCGAACGCAATCCTAAAAACGGCAAAATAAAAATCCAAAATAAATTTTTGGAATTCTACTAGAAATAAAGTTTTTACCCAAAAACGTAGATTAAAAAATACGTACCTGTTTTGACGGGTAATGCTCCGGATATTTCGGGCTTGCAATCGAAGCCAATGATTCCAAACCCAAGCCGAAAAGGGTCCCGCAAAGATTCGAGTTATTTTCGGGGAATATCTCGGGCGCCGGTAGGGCTATTCCTAAAAGATAATGTGGTTGAGAAATTCCGGACAGTACGACATGGCACCTGACCCCGTAAGGATGCTTTACCCAGACTAAAGTACGCGTGTTCCAAGTGTACGTGTGCGTACTTTCAAGCTTGGCAACCAAGCCCACCTTCCAAACTCGTCCATAGAGATTGCAGACCAAGAAATGTGAAAAGAATTCGGGCCATCAGCAGGCGGGCGACGGCGTGGTAGAATGTCGAAGGCGCATACTTTAGAAAAAGGGGCTTGCAAAAAGGGGCGAATAGGCCAGAAAAAGCCGTTTATGGGAATGAAACGGACAGGTCGGGTATGAGGGCGCAAGAAAGCAAGAGGTATCCGGAAAAAAGCAACGATTTTGGAGTTTTGAACTTGCTAAGATCTGAATTTGCTATTTCCAAGGCCAAATCGGCCAAAAAATGTTGCTAAGACGAATTTTTACAGCATAAGCCAATAGAAGAAGGTTAGGAACGCATTTACCAATATTTTGTATGTGATTTTTAGAACCTACTAACTGGCATTTCCGAGAAAATGGTCGTTTGAACGTTCAAGGACTGTTCCTCAGGTTTTATAACCGGAAATTGGTCACCGAAAACGTTTTTCGACATTTATTTATTTATTAAAGCGCATCAAAAATAGGAGAAAAACTAAAGTCTAAAATAGCCGGAAACCTTCCGGGTAGAACTTGAAACCGAAATGCCGAAACTAGTGGCAAAGCTGGGCCCACCCCCGTGAGGACCAGAAAATTGAGTTGAAGCGCGGCGTTTTATCGCGTTTTCGGTTGGACTAGGGGGGAATCCCCTCCCCACGGTCGAGAAGAGAAGCCGAAATGAACATTCGAGGGACAGACAGACACACAAACAGACAAACAGGCAGCCGCAGCAACCCCCTGAAAACGGATGAAGAGCCCCTAGCATTATCACAACCAGATGATAGATTCACACCACCCAAGAATCGCATAAAAACGACGTCATTCGGTTTCCTTCCGGTGCCCACGGGGCGTCAAGGCAACCCTCAAAAAAGGAAAAGGCAGGAGGAGGAAGAGATGGATTCTGACGTCTAAAATTTTTTGGAACTGATGTTCGCATCTTTGCAAAGAAATTGCCGACACGGAAAAGCAAGGCTACACGCGGATACAAAATTCCAGGGAAAAAAGTTGGGTACTAGACTGTTAGCTGGGGGACCAAGAGGATTTTTAGCAATCCCCTAAGGCCCCACAAAAAAATAAAACCGTTTTTATAGTAACTTGTGCAGTTTTTAGATATCAACGCTCACAAAAAATTCTAATCACTTTCCAAGATTTTTGATTTTTGGTAAGCAATCAATATATTGAAATTGAATCTTTAGTTTGAAAAATCAAATTTATTGAAAAGCTTTAATTCCCCGATTGTGGCGCCCAAAACCATTTATCAAAGCCTCCCAGTCTCAAAAAATCATGAGAGTCTTTTTCTTAGAAAGTAGGTTTTTAGTAGAATGGTGCAAAGTAAGGTTGGTATGCCACGGTTGTGTCTGGGCCCAGAATGGCCCATTTTACCCGTCGTCAGAACCCGGCTGGACCTAACCCCCAAAAAAAGGCAAGATGCCCGAAAAAGAACAAAAAGAGCGGCTGGAGAGAAAATAAGACGTAGATAGCCAGAAAAAGAAAGGCCGGTGGTGCTCATCCCACGCCGCATGGCTAATCGGAGCTTCCGCTTCTTCTGGGACCCCCTCCCTTGGTTCCCAGTTTTGACCCCGGGAATGGCAACCACGCGGAACTCTTTTGCCTCCGCCACGCACACCGCGAGGAATTTCTGATTGTTTTTGACGCCAACTCCCGGAGCACGTCCTTGGGGAGTCAGGAAAAATAGCTAAAAATAGAGGAGCTGAAGTGGGTAATTGAATTAGATCGTTGCAATAGTTTTTATTCAGGTGCTACAGCGATTGGCTCTTAGATTTTCGATATCTGGCTGTCAAAAATTGCATTTTTTTGTAAATTTTTCAATCTAATGCTTTTTATTTTTTACGAAACGTTCGAGTTAAATCGTGACTTAGGATTTTGAGGATTTTCCGCTCTTGACGTACAAAGCACTCCGTTCGTGTACGGTAGAGCGTCTCTAGGAGCGCGGGCGTACTCATTTTCCTTGTCGTGCCGTTAGAAGCAATTTATTCAGATTCTTCATCAATTGGTTCCCGTTGCTGGGACTCAATCCGAGCACTTGGACACTCGCTGCGGGTCCCTCCACGACTTCGAGACGTCCAGGGCTGCTGTTCGGGTCGCTCGAGGCTTCGTAGACTCGCGTCGCGAGACAGACCACCCGGTCCACCGTACTCTGAGCGCTCCTTCAAAAAAAATGCTGCTATAAAATTTCTTCTCTACTGACTCTTACCGAAAATAGATAATCCTCGACGATCGCGGCAAATTGATCGATGGATAAATGGCCAACCGAGGAGACGTCCAGCTCTCGAAATACCTAGAAAAAATGGGCACCTAAAATCCGGCGTTGGATATCGATACCTTGTCGGCCAGTTCATCGCTGAACTCGCCAAACTCCTTGGCCACGTACTGAAATTGGATTTTAAATGTTGCTCGAAAAAATAAAATGATATTTTTGGATCATCCGCGAGAAAAATGATGATTAAAGTGCACGTTCAGGCACGTTGAACGTATATTGCCTATTGACACCTGCGTCTCCTTCTTTTCCCAGTCTCTCGGCGTCAATAGGCAATATACGTTCAATATAAATATACGTCCCTGAACGTGCGCTTTAAAGTCAATAAAACAGCCCCAAACCTTGAATTCATTCTCCGTAATCACCCCATTTCGGTCTTGGTCAAAAATTTCGAAGCATTCCTGAAAATAGTATCATCATGTAGCAGGTGCAATTGAAATTTCGTCAGATTTTACCTTATTAAACTCCAAGAAATTTCTTGATCTACCCACCCGAATCAGCTCGTCATTTGTGGCCTTGGCGAGTCGTTGCGACTTCTTCATGCAAGCACAAAACTCATCAAAGTCAATTTCTCCATTTCCATCAGAATCTACCTAGTCAATTAATAACATCAACGCTCGATCTTTTTCAATAAATACCTCTCGAATAATGTTCTCTATATGCTCGTCACTCATTCCGACCCCAAGCTCACGCATCGCTTTCTTTAGCTCCTCGGACCCAATAGCGCCTGGAAGGAAATTACTCTAATGATTTTAAAGGTTATGAAGTCCTACCCGATCCATCGGTGTCGAACATTCCAAACAATTGCTTCCACTCTTTTAGTTCTTTTCTAAAAGTTTGCATAAGGTATGGGAAAAATCTGTAGTGATGCCGCGCCCGCGACACGCAACGCACGGGCCGGTAACGTTTACCACTCGTTACGTGTCACCAGCGGGCCTTAATTCATCTTTAATCTGTATAAATGGTAAATCGCATTAGCGTAAACCGAAAAAGGCATGCCTCCTACTTTGAATATTTTTGCTCTCCTTTGGCCGTCCGCGCCGTGCTTGACCCATCCTCAGTATGTTGCGAGGCATGTGATTGCGATGAATCACGCCTAGAAAAATTACAAAAAATCGTTAACCATAAAACTAACTAACCGCAACTTCAGATTCCCATTCCGAAGCGTTTCCGCATTTAGTGGTTGCGGGGCCACCCGATTGTTTGGCATTTTCAAAAAAAGTTGGTCCTCAAACAGCTTTTCAAATCAATAAGGTAGCGGTCGGAGAAAAATATGATAATTTGCCGGTCTAAGCGAGAGCTGAACGCCCATCGCGTGTTGGATAGCGATCTATTACCCACCACCCTTCATCAATAATTTAAATCTCCACACATACCTGTCACCAAGTATGAAGCCTAGGTTTTCCCTTGATTTTTCTGTGTTTATTCGATGTAATTCTTGTAAAAACGCATTTATCAAGTTCAGAAGCGTTGACGATATCCACCACCGCTGTAGCCCCCACCAGATGGATGAGTGTACTCGCCTGTGTCGAGCTCCGAAACTGACGGCGCTACAATTTCCTGAACGCCGCATGAAGAGGGACAGTGTCCTCCAGGCTCGCCTAAAAATAATAACCATTAATACCGTTCTACCATACTACGAACATACCGGAATCTCCAGGAGGTCCGAATGGCCCAGGAGGACCAGGTTCTCCACGTCGCCCGGGTGGCCCTGGGGGTCCCATCTCTCCAGGTGGCCCAGGAGGTCCAGGGTTTTGCGAGGGCAGGCCATTCTGGCCGGGTGGGCCCTTGGGTCCTCTGGGTCCAGGTGGGCCAGGTGGGCCCTTGATTCCGGTTCCTCCAATCGAGTCATCGCCGGGAGGTCCCTTCATTCCGGGCTCTCCAGGTTCTCCAGGTGGTCCCTGTGGACCAGCATCTCCAACACGTCCGGGCTTTCCGCTACGACCGGGTAGTCCTGAAATCGGTTTGATTTTGTGTGAAAGTGCCAACCTGGCAATCCGGGTTCTCCGGGTGTTCCGGGCCTTCCGGGCTCTCCCTGTGGGCCACGATCACCGGGTGGTCCAGCTGGGCAGATGACGCACGGGAAGGCCGGTTCTGGATCGAGTGGAACGTCCAGACCATCGAGACCGGGTTTTCCGGGCCTTCCGGAAGCGCCGTCGATTCCTGGCTCTCCATTCACTCCCGGGGGTCCTGAAATTCGCTTGATTATATCTGGTTCATGCAGCTCCTAGATGTCAATTTTTCTACCGTACCTGGTGGACCGGGCGGGCACTGTAGTTGTACACAGCTGGTGCACTGTGCATTTGAGTCGTCGTTCGAGAATCCACCATATCCTGAAACCAGTGGAAAAAGTCCGCTTCGCGGCCCTTTTCCACTGGCCCCGTCTAGGAACCATATATTACCCTTCCGTTTTTCAAAGCCTGCGGCGCAAGAGCCTGTCTCTAGGAACCATTCTCTGGCCTGCGGCGCTAGCTACTGGTTTTTCTCCAGCATTTGGCCTGCGGCGCTAGAGCCTGGGCCAAGGACCGTTGCTTTGGCCTTCGGCGCTAAAGCGAGGGACTGGCCTAAATTTCGGATACCGAGAGCCTCGAAATATGTTGTGTTGTTGAACTATCAAAAAGCAAAAAGGTAAATTTGCCGAGGATCCGAACCCTCGCCTATGCGCGTGGTGGACCGGGCGTCTAGCCATTATACCAAAGAGGGCATGGGGAGGGGTCGCGGGAAAGGCCTCTTCTGTGCTGGGGGCGTGGTTAACCCGGGAGAGAAGCTTCCTGGTAACTTTACAAAATCGATTTTTTTAGTCTGAATGCGCCGATAATTTGTAAAACTAATAAGATGCGCGTGATCCCCACTATCGAATACATCAGTGGTCCAAATTACAGACAGAAATTCCATCAGGGCTTCGAGTTATGGCCTGGACACCACGGCTCGTAGCCCATTTTGTTAAGGATTTTCACCATTTTGTTTGTAAAATCGTTAAATAAAGGGAATTTCGAAAAACGAAAAAATGCGTGTCTGGAAAATGTGTTTCTCCACCTCCATGCCAAAAATCAGCGCGAAATTCGGCCTGACGGCCGAGAAATCGGCTGCACAGAAAACAGACATACTTTTCTCGCTTATAGGATAGGATTCTCGCTTATAGGATAGGATTTACGCATTTTATATTTCTACTTCATTTGCTTACCTTGGCGCTTGATACGTCCGTTGCTACGCACCACCATGATGTCAGACCAAATTCCGCGAGCCGTGAACTGAACGAATACTCATTTTTAAAACGAGATTAGGCCTATCTATATATTTTTTCCAGGACTATCTGATCAAGGAGAAAGAGTAAGACTAGATAACTATACCTTAAAAGCGTCCATCCTGCCCTGCAGGCGCTGCTGAGCCGAATCGAGTTGCTGGTTCAGAATCGGGATGACGATGGCCAGGGCGAGGAGGCAGAAGAGCGACACTGCCGAAACGGCGAGCGGCACGCTTCTCGACGGGATACCCGCCGAAGAGGTGTCGTGCATCGCTAAAACAATGGAATATTCTAGAGCTAACTATAGAATTAGGAGCGCTAGGAAGTCTAACGGGAAATTGAGAATCTGTTGAGAATGACCACCGGTCCCTCGTGCTCACCCCCGGCTCGCCAAAAATTAGGTCAGTGGGTGGTGATAGCGGGGAGAAAGTCTGATCTCATGCTCTGAGGGGCAGCGAGACGCCTGGTACGGAGTTCTGGCCAGGAAGAATAGACAGAGGAAAATCCTATTGTGAAAATCAGCTCAAAAAAATCAGATTTTCGTTGTTGTCCATACCGTAACCATGGAAATTCTTACACGTTTTTTGCATCGTCTTTTTGCATGGTCTCACGACGTGGTAGATATCTTTCAATACGTAAAATCTTCTTCTCCATTTATTATTTTTATGCTTATCCGTTATTTTGTCGATCTTTTATAACATTTTTACCCTTTGAAAATCTCGATAACCGACATTGCTGGCACCGAAGTCGGGCCGCCTCCTATTTGGTGTCCCACGACAGTAGCCCCTGCGCGCAACAGAGAAGAGATCCTCCCCAGCCCGCGCCCGCATTTCCTCTTTTTCGCGGGCCTATCACGACGTTTTCAACGTAGAAATTCGCATTGAATGATTTTGATTCTGTATCTACGCTTCTTAGCTTTCGCTCCGTGTAAATTGCTGCAAATTCTGGCTAAATTTCTATTTTTCAGGTAAAATGGACAAGCCAGTTCAACTCGCCAGAGTCACCAAGGTCCTCGGCCGCACCGGATCCCAAGGACAATGTACACAGGTGTGTGGGCTTTGAAGTTGGACTTTCAGCATTGTTTTAGCCGTGAATAGCACAGAACGGTTTTTGAGCTTTTAGCGTCGATTCTACTTTTAGAGCTTTTGCCTAAACTTTGTACGGGACGAGGGCATGCCACTTGTCATTGGATCCATAGAAAAACATGAAAAGCTGAATTCTACTTTATTTTCGACTCTTGCCTATAACTATCGCGGCGTACGTGACGAAAGTCTTTTACCAGGATTCTAGTCTTTTGCTGAGCTCAATTTTATAAATTTTCTTGATAAAAATTTTTTCCAGGTCCGCGTCGAATTCATCGGAGACAACACCAACCGATCGATCATCCGCAACGTCAAGGGACCCGTTAGAGAAGGAGACATCCTGACCCTCCTCGAGGCTGAGCGCGAAGCCCGCCGTCTCCGCTAACTTCTCCGTATTTGTTGTTTTGTTTTCGTTGCTATAAAACCTTTTCAAGTGAAACGCCTTGTGACACGAAAATACACGTAAAGCCGTCATACTAATGGCCCATTTTGCTTTTGCCCATAAGACTTCTAGGTGATGCCCACGCGGGTCACTGAGAGATGCGTTTCGGCTGGTACAAATCAATCGGCCAACTCGTTAGCAGTTTCTTGCGATGGAGACTGGCTCGTTTATGCCTCGGACCTTGATCTTGTCAGTGTGGCTATTGTAAGTTGAGATACGCTTTTATGAACTTGTGGCAGAACCCTGGCGTCACGAGTAGGACGATAGCGCCACGACGTCACACGGCGGCTATCAAAGCTTTGGCAAGGTGCAGACTGCGGGAGGGCACCAAACGCGGTAACGCTCAACGCTCGTCAGCATCTTTTTAGAATTCTTTGTAACTGGTGGCGCGGATGGTCGCCTGGTGTTGTGGCGCTTGGGTGTGGATGGATTGACGCCATCATTTTCGGGAGTCGGTGTTGAAGGCAAAAAGGCGGTTGCCGGAATAGTTGGCAGTATTGCTGACGATGAACATGCCACTATCCTCGGAACTTTTGTGTCTGGAGCCGAATATGCAATCAAAGTAAGATCCAAGGTCTGCGAATAGCTAGCTATGTTAGGTGATCACCGTCCAAGCATCGACTGACCTCTTTTCGTTTGAAGGCTCGGAGACGCTGGTTCTTCCCGGGAAAGCTTTCGCCTTGGCCGTGGATTTTGCTACGTTACATGGTATTTTCAGTTGTTTTCATAAATATTTCCGTTTAGGGTGCGAACTGTTGGCCTTGGGGACGTCGAGCCGTACAATCGAAGTGTTTACGAAGCAAGCGGGTAGCTTCAAGCACGGCCTCAGCATACCTGGACATGCCGACTGGATTGATTCGTTGACTTTTAAAGGTTGACCAGTTTTTATTTGACGTCTTTTTTAGAGTTCCGGTCTCACGCATTATTGGCGACATCCGGGCAAGACAATATGATCAAAATATGGCGGATACAGAGGGAGTTGCCCACCGACGACGCTGAGGAGCTGACCGTTACGAAAAATCGGTTCGATTCGATTTCTGCCGATGGGGTCGTTGTTCCCTTTTATCTGCATGTGGACGCCGTGCTCTGTGGGCACGAGGATTGGGTCCATTCCGTAAGGATTAGAAACCATATTTTTATCAGTGTCTAGGTTTCATGGGATCTCTCCGGAAAGCGGCTTGTATCTGCATCTAGTGACAAGACGGTAATCGTTTGGACAGAAGATGAGCTGAGTGGCGTATGGACGGATATGGTTCGACTCGGGCTTGTGGGCGGTCAAGCCGCTGGTTTCTACGGAGCTCACTTTGTTGAAGGAGGCATGGCGATTGTTGCATCGTCATATTATGGAGCTCTTCATGCCTGGAGGGCAGATAAGGAGGTTGGTTTTATTTTCATAACCGAAAGGGCGTTTTAAGTAATCGGTAGACCTTCTCGAGAGCTTATTCTAGAAAGTTTTGAATTCTGCACTGTTCCAAATTTTATAAATTTTAAACTCAAAGCAAGGGCGAAGATAATTTTATTATCTGCCGATTGAGCTAGGTCTCGTAGGGATTTGCGAATGACTAAAAAGCCTTTTTTTTCTCTGAATCCTTGCTTGCTAGCTTGCCACCTTTTTTCAGGATGAATATCGCTGGGACGCGTTCGCCATTCCTGGAGGGGGACATCCGAGCCCGGTGCGAGACATTGCCTGGGAGCCGAGCGCTGGCTCCTACTTGATCTCCGTTGGAACTGACAAGACGACTCGGATACATGCTCCATTGAAAGATGTAGGAAAAATCGTGCTTCCGGTTAATATTTTTGCTTTTTAGGGAGTTTGGACAGAAGTAGCTCGACCGCAAATGCATGGTCATGATATGCAATGCGTAGCGTCGCTGGGACCTACTCGTTTCGTCTCCGGTGCCGAGGAGAAGATTTTTCGTGCCTTCAACGCCCCGGAAACGTTTGCCAACTCGCTGGAGGCGGTGTGTGGGGTTGAGAAGAAACAGGTAGATCTTAGAACATCTAGACATCTTTGGTAGAAGCGTATAAATCTTATTTATTTCTATAAATTAATTTCAGCTCTTTGCCGGGCTTTCACTGTCCGGTTTCGGAGCCAGCGTCCCGGCCCTCGGCCTCTCCAATAAAGCGGTCGACGAGGGCGAGGCCCCCGCAGAAGATGAACGCGCCGGAGACGCGCATTGGGAAGAAGCTGCCTTTGCCGCAAATCCTGCCTCACTTACCGGTATCAATTTTCTAGGTTCCTTGACTTGCTCAATTTCTAGCGGCTCCCACCGAAGATGTTTTGATGCAAAACACGCTATGGCCGGAGATACACAAACTGTACGGGCACGGGTATGAGGTGTACGCGGTGGCCGCAAGTCCTAGCGGCAAACTTTTGGCGACGGCTTGTAAAGTAAATTGGGAGTAGTATACACTTACTTATATTTTTAGGCATCTCATGCCGAACACGCAGCAATTCTAATATGGTCGACGGAAGACTGGAGTCAGCGAGGACAGGTATCTGTTCGTTTTATTTATACCTAAGAAATTGTACTAGGCGACGAATGGACATCAACTGACGGTCGCGCAGCTCGAGTGGAGCCCCTGCGGCACGCGATTGCTTTCAGTCAGTCGTGACCGAACGGCTGTCATCTACGGCGAGGCTGACGGCAATGGTATTTTTTGGGTACTGAACCGTTATCGGGGGACGAAACCCGACGCGTTGTCTTGTCTAGTTTCGAAGGTTTTTGCTGGTTCCGAATACCAAAGGGAAATAGCCATCTTTTAAATTGTCGAGTTTTAATAATGTAATATTTTAATTTAAATAAATGAAATGTTCTACGTCTTTTTTGCCCATAAATTTGTCATGTTTATCAGGGTTGAAAAGCCGCTTCGCGACTTTTCAACCGTGGCCTCGTCTCATTCCATTTTATACCTCACTTTGCATGCATGATACTCCCCAAAAAACGGTGGCAAAAAAATGAAAATCGCGTCCTCAGCACCATTATATAGGTCTCCGCGACTTCCGGCGTATGCTAATTGTTTCCTAACAAAGAGGAAGACGGAGATTTTAAGAAAAACAAATTTAACATCGAAAATAGCTAATTATGAAAAAGACGTTACGAAAATAAAATTTACCCTACAATAAATTTTTTTGCAGTTGACGGCTACAAATGGTCGGCCATCTGGCGGTCGACGAAAGAGCACTCGCGAATCATTTGGTCGTGCTGTTGGGCTGCGGATTCCACGTATTTCGCGACCGCCGGCCGCGATCAAAAGGTATAATTTTATTATTATTAAAAGCAAATATCTCTTTTTCTAGGTGATTGTCTGGCGTTTCGATGGCAACACGCCGAGACCACTAATCGCGATGAAACTCGAACAAGCGGTGACGGCTATCTCGATTAGCCCGGAACGAGAGCTCGGGTGAAACACCTACTGAATTTTAATAACAAGATTTTAGCAAATCGCACATCGTGGCCGGGTTGCAAAATGGGTGTTTACAGGTGTTCAGCATCGATCTAGGGGTATGATCTCTTTGAAAGGCTGGCAAACACTAATTTTAGCAAAATCAACTTGTTTTGATCGACGAGATTGGAGCCAACGACTTGCCAGGCATCGACTCGCCAATAAATCGGATACGGTATTTTTGGCGCAAAAATTGGAGTCGTATAATTTAGATTCCGTCCCCCGCTTCCGGCAGCCGCAAGCCATCTGTTCGCCGTCGCGGGCACCGATTTCAAAGTGAGACTGTACGAAATCGAGGGACAATGATTCCTTGTTATTTTTTTTCTTGTTGTTTTTGGCCATGTTCATAAATTTTTTACTTTCTTGATGATGTGGACAAGTAGATTATAATAACCAGAAATTTATTATTCTAAAACCAAAATTATGTAACTGGAGTGGAATGGGGGTACATGTCATTCTGGGTATTTCGACTGGCATTGTGTGTAGCGGACCCGCAATGTCAAAATAGGCAGAAATAAAAGGGGCGTAGTGAAATTTCATTTTTTTAAAGTTCGGGGCAAGGGATGAGCGGGGCGTTTTGAGATTACTTTTGGTGGCAGATCAGAGAATACTTGGGTCAGTATCGGGGTCGGTAGCATGATTAAAGTTTGCCTAGGGATGTGGGTGACAGCGGACTCCTCGGAGGCGGGCTCGGCGCGGAAAAATGTGGAGATCTCAATTGTGCGGATGCCCTGAATCGATCGGATTGATGATGAGGCTTTTGGTCACGAAAAGCATTTTTTTCATAATTCCGAAAAGCATCATTAAAAGAGCTTCTTATGCAAAAATTATCAGTTCTATGCACCGCTCACCCGTTTAGAGGTCCTCGGAAAGGCGGAAGCGACATCGGGGCCGTGGGTGTGGGCAAGTCGGCATCCTCATCCATTCCTTCCGTCAGCGTCCCCTCGAAGTCATCATCTACGGATCCAGCCCACGAAGCCCGCTCCTGAGCCGTCACGTAACCGTCCGTCGTGCACGAGGCGAACGACCCCGCCGGCGCCTTCTGCGCAAAGCCACACTAGCTTGCGGGCATAGGCTTGGAAAGGGAGGCGCGCGCGTGCTTTTTTGCAAGAATTTCAGCAATATTTGAACGGCTTTTCACAGCTACAGAACAACCGCTTTTCTTCAAATCTCGAGCAAACTACGCTAAGCCAGCAATAAAAATGCTTTTTTGCGACTTTACGACGGCTCGGTAGTAGAACATACCTTGGTATCAAGCACCGTGTCCGGCTCGGGCACTTCGTATTTGTTGTGGGGGCGTTGTTCAACTAGGGCTTGACAAATTTCGTATATTTTCTATTGTAAAAGCTTACGTTTCGGTGGCGGGGTATGGTTTCCAAAGTCTTGCGGACGCAACGGAACATGCTCTTCCGGTTTTTCTGAATCGATGGTACAGTTTTGCTTGTTTTCATTTTTAGCAAGATTCAAAGCTCAAATCACACCTTTCGGCTCTGGCTTCGGATCCTTGCACGCGCAGTAGCAGCACAGCCCGACAATGAGGAGGGTGATGAGGAGCAGGCTGAGCAATAGCCCAATCAACCACCCTGAAAGAGAGTCAGGCCATCAGATTCAGCAGATTACTTACAATTTGTGGCATCGCCATCGCCTTCCTCTTGATCGAGAGGAGCGTGATCGTTGTAGGTTCTGCGCGCGAAGTTTGTCGACCAATTCGGGAACTCTACCGTGTTCTGGTAGCCTGGAAAAATCCGGGGGTTTCAGAAATAAACCCTTTAAGCTTTGTTACAGAAAATGGGAACGAAAACTTACTCGGCAAGGCGTTAGCCTCGTAAAAATCGGCGCATTTTACCCGCTCGGCCGTATTCGGCAGCATTCGGACCTAGAAAAGGATTATTTTGTTTCTAGAGAACTTACCCTAGATGAATGTGGATGCGCCGAATTCCCTAGATACCCGAACGGTTCAAACGTCAGCTGGGATCGCTGGTAATCCACGAGTAGATCTAGATTTTCCAGGTGTAGGGCCGCTTTTAATGCACTAACTGCTAATACAGCCCTCATAATTCGTCGACAATCGACTCGGGTTTTCGAGTTGGCGCTTGGCGCGGTTGTTGGGGACGAAGACTTCTTCGGGTTGGCCGCCGATCTGAAACATTGGTTTTTTAACATTTCCCTAATTCTGGACACATTTTAAGACAAGAAAGCACGCATATCGGGTTAAATTTGGGCGCCGAAAATTGGAGAGATACCTCAATTCTCTCGGCCGTGTACAAATCGAGGTTATCCCCCTTGGCGATGACATCGAAATCCCGTCTCAACGAGTCGATCTAGATTCTATAGTAGCTTTTTAACATTTTCGACATACCACAACAGCTGTTGCGTGTTTTTTCGAGAATTGCACGACAACGAAATGCCGGAAGCCGTCGGTGAAATTGCCGGCGAACGTGATTACCTGATTTTTATCGTTTTAATGATTGGTGGATATTTTCAAGCCTGTATCTCCTTGGCGAATACGGCGCCGGCATTGATGGTGCCGTTTCGGTTCAGGATCAGTTCGAAACGCCTGAAAAAAAGCTGTCAATTTATCTCGAAAACGCTTACATAGACGGATCTTTGAAACGAATTGTTGCCAAGTGCTGTTTGGATGGGTGCATGCTGACACGGGCGGAGAAGGCAAACTGGAATTGAGGACGGGTTAATTCTGTATGATTTTCTTTATATTTCTTTCTTTTTCAACATAAAAAAGGATCAAGTCGCATTTAAAGCGTATTCTTTCAAGCTCATTACCTTCAATAACTGCGAATATTTCGGGTCCTCATCCAGAATCACAGATTTCAAAATCTCGCCCACTTGGAACTCCAACACCGAATTTCCGTCAAATCGAAGGCCGTCGTCTGGGATTATCGTTTTGTTAATTTTTGCTGACTAACTCACCCAAAGCACAAGTTGCTCCACGATAGCTGGTGCGCGAGCAGTCGCACGTTGTCCGTACGTAGGATGGATCGTAGTTTCGCCACGCGTACGCGCAGTGGCCGCCGTGTTCGCATTGTAGCTGATCACAGCCGAATGAGCAGTGCGGGCGAACTAGGTCTGAAATAGGTGGAAATGACGTTAGCTGTAGTTATATCACGAGATTTATTGACTTATTTGCGGCCTAAAAACTTACTATCATCTTTCGGGCGATAGCCAAGCTTTGTGTCCCTCATATCAACAATATTCGACCCAACCCGCAGTCCTCTGATGCAGCCAAGCAGATCCGGGATCTCTGATTGGTATACTGGCGTTAACCTGTAATTTGTATCACCTTATTGTTAATAACAAATTATACAAAGACGATACTGGAATTTCACGGCCCGTATTTAATTGAAATCCTAGAACACGTGAAAATACGACACCTATACTCACCGAAAAGCTCGGCTATAGCTGAAAAAGGCCCGTTTTAGGAAAGAAACCGGAAGGAAGAAATCTTCAAACCTTTTCTCGTCTTTCTGCGAATGCGTATCCCGCTCGACACCGCCGACGAACAGATGGAGCAGCGGCTCGGGTTTCGTGGGAGATTGCAGACCGATTGGCACTGTGACAAAGTCTGAAAATAGCTGATTTTCGTAAGATGTACAATGCTAACCGATTCCAGGTCTTGTGTAGTGATAGCTGTCCATCCTCTCGGTCGCCAGGGCCCGCTCGGCCGAAATCGAACACAAATCTTCGTCAACGCTCAGGATGCTGCCGGAATCGCTGTAAAAAAGTAAGAAAAGCGTCAGCTAATCGTTCAAACTTTAAAACTTAATTCTAAGTTTTAAATAAAATTCAGTATTTTTGGCAAGAAATGGCTGCTTTCAACGCGATGAAAGCAGCGCTCCATTGACGCGAACCAAACCGCCACGCGTTCACCAAAACCCCCGAAAAACTCACTGGTGCGTGACGACAATCTGGATCCACTCCATGTCGCTGAACTCAGAGCGAGGGCGAGCCGTCACGCTGCAGGCAAATACCTAGGAATCGGATTCTTACGAGAAATCGAAAACCTTACATTATCGCGATTGTTGAGCGTCAGCGTCACGTTGACCTCCTCGGAGATGTGGACCTAGAACAAACGAGTTTAAGTTGGATATTTTTCAAGCTCTTTTTAACAAACATTTTATCGTTTAGAGCAAGAATCAACCTGCAAAAAGTTGTGGTTGTGGTCGTGGGCGAATAGGATCAAGCCGTGCGGTTGGTCGGTGCGCGCCGAGACGACAATCTAAAGCATTGATTTTTGCTTAGAAATGAACGATTTTTATTAAAAAACTATTGTGAATCAATATAATTAAGTATCAAGTATTTTATACCTGTTCGGTGAGCGGATTCCACTCACGGGCGTCATATCGCAAGAAGCCGCCGTGGAACGATACGTCAGAGCGTTCATTCAGGTCTAAATTTGCAAAATTGGATTTTTCTTTTTTTTCCTAATGATTCTAATTATGGAATTCCCCCCCCCCCCGGATAATGGAAAAGCACCGATTTTGTTACAAAAGTCGCTTACCCAATTCACAATTAGCACCCAGATGTATGTGCGGATATTTGCAGATGCATCTAAAGCAAACAAAAGCTTGACAATCCTTTTGAAGCCTACTTGGCAGTCTGGGTCCCGAAATCCTCGATACATTTCGCTTCGTTGTGGCACAATCCCGGGGTGCACTTCTCCTCACAACCCATCGACACATCTATCGAATTGATTACGGCGTGAAAATGAAGCTTTACCTGATGCTTCTTTGAAGTACTCCTCCAAATTGACGTACGCGTTGTTGACGGCTACCGATCGGATGCAGCCAAGGAGACCGTTTTCGGTACTGTAATGGAGTTTTTTCGCAGTATTTTGATGTTCAATATACCAATGATATAAATCTTCAGCGCTTGGCCAGAAAGCAAAAATTTTTGCACCTGGCGGGATCGAACTCTGGTGTTTTGCCTGACAGGCTAGAAAACTACCATTTAGCCACGAAAGAAGTGGTCCGAAAAAAATTACTGGAATTTTTAAAAAGATATTACGCTAAACCATTTACAAACTACAAACCCGTGCTCGGCTCCGATCCACAGTCTCGATCGTGGCAACTGCCCATCTCCAAGGCTGACGATCGAGTGTTGACCATCGAGGTGGAGCATCAGCTGGCCATACGCCGCCTCGACGCGTACCAAGTGCCATTTCGTGTCATTCAACCGATGTTGGGTCTCGACAATGACCGAGACTTCTCGGGCGCCATTTTTCCACGTGAATGTCAAGAATCGGCCTGAATTCCGGTGGTTTTAAAGGGACGGGCAAGGAAGGGATGTGAATATTGCTGACTATGGCAAGATTATGGGTCTTCCCAACGCCGCGCTACGTAACGCTCCCGCGTTTCGACACCATTTTCTGGCTCTAAAAGGCTAACAATAAGCTAAAAAATCACCATTTTCCAGCTTAATCTCAGCTCGATTCCTCGGTTCGGCTTGAATACTGGCCAACAGGGCATTTTCTAAATAATTTAAACCGATTAACAGGCAGAGGTTTCAAGATTACCGTCAGCAGTCCTGAACTGGAATGAGAGATGCGATCCATCCCATTTGACCGTTGGGATCGAGCCCGTCTTCTGGAGACGAACGGCAGTTGCACCGGCTGATTGTTGACTCAGGTACAAAACAGTTGGTTCAAATACCGTATCCCTGGCAGGTGAGTGGCGAGAGAGATAGGCGGCCGTCGATGTCGAAGCGACGGTGTAGCGCAATAACTTTGGTGATACCTAAAGGGTGGAAATGATACCATATCCTGGGGCCAGATGGTACAGTACAATATTTCGCTTGTTTTTATCTACTGCAAACAGAAAAATTACCAGCATTCTTATTGGTGAAGACACCCTCATCAGCGGTCGGCTGCTGCTGGGAATCGCAATTGCACGCGCCTAAAAATTTTCTACTGAAAAATTAAAAAAAGCCGCTGTGCGCGTCCAACCCGATCAACAACCAACAAAATCCATAACCATTGCTTTTCTTTTCTGCAAAACTTGAACGAACTCACCAGATCCAATACAACTTCCGCTAGCCGCACAGGCGCACTGGAAATCATTCGTCGCGCCGAAGTGTTGAATAGTTTTGTTTGCATCTGCCGCTGCATAGAACCACGTGTGATTTTGGGCAAAACTGCAATAAAAAATTAAATAGAAAATGAGTGGTACTAACTTGAATGGAGCTCCATTGCATTCATAGCGGGCACGTTGTTCGCATTTTTCGGATTGGCCGATTAGGGAGGAGAGCTTTTGACCGGAGAAGTCCCTGGAAAATGGGGTGAGGTTGGGGGAGGCTAGCAGGGATTCTTGAGGAATTTCTCTAATATATTCTTGAATCAAGCTAACAGAGGTTTGATCGCTTTTTTTCCAAACCCACCTGTAGGATAACACAAAAAGCGAGTGTGTTTGGAAGGCGCTATCCCGGATAGACGTCAACTCTGGCATATCGTGGATTACGGTGGTTTTTCCTGGAATTTCATCCATTAATGCGTATATTGTCAATCTACCATTATCACAATCGGCAACGACACGCTCCAATGGACCACTGCCGTCCAGGTCGAGTTTCGTCGCGCCCTTCGGGAGGCCGAGTTTTGCCGCCTCGGCGCAAGTACGAGGGAGAACGGCTAAAATCGGGATTGCACACCGTCTTTAGCCTGTCCCTCCAAAAACTCACAAAATTGGCAAAATTCCCCGGTGTAATCATTAGTGCATTGACAACGCGGCACTCCCTTGTCCTTCACACATTTTGCCCCATGTCTGCACTGCGTCTCATCAGCCTTCTCGCATTCAGAAAGTTTTGGCAGTTCTAAAACACTTTAAAGGGGTGTGGAAGCCGGAAACCCACTCCTCTCCTTGGCCGGAACCGGGAACACATCAGCACTCGCCGGTTTTTCCTTGTACTCGACAAATGCCTCCGTGGTTTTGCGCCCCTCCATGTTTGCTACCTTTGCGACGCTCTCCAACTAGAGTAAAGAGTTCAATTCCGGAACGATACGGTTACTTACGTTTTGCAAAAATGGCCCCTTCGATTCACAGGAGGCTAATTGTTTGTCGCTCGCCACCTAAACATTTATTTTAAAGGGACGTGCAAGGCATGCTACGGGGGCGGAAACCCATTTCTCCTAAATCCATTTCTCATAAACCCATTTCTCATAAATCCATTTCTCCTAAACCCGTTTCTCATAAATTCCATTTCTCATAAATTCCATTTCTCCTAAACCCATTTCTCATAAATTCCATTTCTCCTAAGCCCATTTTTCCTAAACCCATTTCTCATAAATTCCATTTCTCATAAATTCCATTTCTCATAAATTCCATTTCTCATAAATTCCATTTCTCATAAATTCTATTTCTCATAAATTCCCTTTCACATAAATGTGACATAATTTTCAAAACTTTCACATAATGAACATAAACATAAACTTTCACATAATTTATGCTGTCACAGTTCCCGGAGGAATTCGATCGTCCCACGATTTCGAGTCTGCACAAGGTCGGGCTGAGGAAGCGGAAGGCGATGTTCGGAGAGTTGCCGATCCCCACGTCGCTCAATGGATTGATGATTCCACCGGAATTCGCTGAGTACCAGAACGGTAGCGGCAAATTTGGCAATTTCGCTTGACTTCAATATAGGGACATACTATCGTGGTCATTTTGGTGAACGTTCAATTTTAACGGTGAACGAAGTAAAATTTTGCAAAAAAACAATGCTAGGAGAATTTATGAGAAATGGAATTTATGAGAAATGGGTTTATGAGAATTGGAATTTATGAGAAATGGGTTTATGAGAAATGGAATTTATGAGAAATGGGTTTATGAGAATTGGAATTTATGAGAAATGGGTTTATGAGAAATGGGTTTATGAGAAATGGGTTTATGAGAAATGGATTTATGAGAAATGGGGTGCAATCAGCTACGGGTTTTGGGTTTCAGGATTTTCAGGTCATAACCGGTTACGTTAAAAAAATAGGTTGACTGATACCCTCGGGTCCAAAAAGTGGAGCTTCTCCAAAATATCCATATGGTCGACGTAGACTCCATGCAAACAGCCGGTGAACCCGAGATCTCGTTCTCCATCTTTATGCGCGGATTGACCGAAAACGATTTGCTGAAAAGGAGCTTTGAAAGGTATCACTCTCTCACACTATCAAATTATCTCTCTCTCTCTCTCCTTTTCTCTAGCTCAATCTCTCTGGCTCTACCTCTCTCACTGATGCTCGCATGTTGCTGCCACACGCGCTCTCCCCCTATGTCTAGCTCTCACTCTCTCTCTCTCTCTCTCTCTCTCTCTCTCTCTCTTTCACCACCTACCGTATACTCGACCACTTCCCCTTCTTTCCACCCAACCATCACGACAGATTCATCGTCGATAAAAAGCTCAAACCGTTTCGTCTCATAGTCCATCGTCAGCAGTAGTTTATGAACCCTAAAATGTGCTTATTTTTTAAATGTCGTAATCCCACTGTAGCCCTTGATCTAGTTGAAAGTGAATTGGCGGCAGTGCGAGCAACAAAAATGTTCCCTCCTGGGCATTGGTGAACACACGCAGAGGCGCCGGCTGCGATATATTCGCTGACAGCACCACGCTCTGTTGGTCGTTGTTTGTTGCAGTCTGGAATTAGTTTGCTATAGCGTGAGCTAGATACAGTACCCTGAACTGCATGGAGATCCTTTTTGGGTGTCGGTCTTCCTTGAGGGGGACGTACCATACACCCTTGTCGTTTTCGGCATCTACGAAGACTGAACGGGCTTCTGTAATTGTGGGTTGAAAGGGATAGAGAGAGAGAAAGAGAGAGCGAGAGAGAGAGGGAGAGAACGCGATAGTGAGAGAGAAAGTGAGAATTTGCACTCCCTACCGCGTCATTTGGCGCTAAATGTAAACCTTACCGTCCTTACAATTCGGCCCCGATTTCTCCGTCCCGTAGCAATCACATGTCGGCACTTCGAGTTGCAGGCAATTGCCCTGAAATTTTGGAATTATGCTACACGCACTGCAAGACAAATCCCTTCATAACTTTTCCAGTTTACATCCGATTTCCTTGGAATTTTCAGCATTTTTATGCGGCGCAGTTAAAATGATACCCATAACAATTTTCAAAACAGAATCTTTTCAAATGAAAAAGTTATAGAAAAAGTAGCGATTTTTTTTAGTGTTTTTAGGGTTAGAACTGTTTCGTACGTCAGACTCGAAAAACTTCAGTAATTTTTCTAAGCTCACCTGCCCACAGTCCATAGTCGCACAATTCCCTTCGGCTCCACACTCCGATACGTCTTTTTCCGTTACTTTCCGCAATTCCTGTTTCTCGCCATTTTCCGTTGATATCGCGACAACTTCGAGGCATCCGGTGATTGAAGGAGAGTCTACAATTTAGATTCCGAGACTTCACAGTGCCGTTAAAACCGTACCTTGAGCCCCGAGCACCAATCTGATTTTGGCTCCCTCCATCGGAATCTTGGTCGAGATCTCGCTGCTGACTTCACCCCTCGAATCGACTCGATATACAAGATTTCCCATCTTGTTGTTCAGCTTCACATTTAGTTGATGCTCAACGGAAGCGTCTGAAAAAAAACAAATTCTCGATGCCATTGAATTCTGACTGATCAGCGTCTGCGAGAAGGGCTTCTTCAGGGCGTCCTCCCCCTTCTCATCGTAGAGGTCAACTTGCAGGAATTCTTTGTATAACGCGACGCGTAGCTAAAAAAAACGTTTTCAAAAGGACGCTTGTTCAATTAAAGGGACGGCAAAGGAAAGGCTATAGATTTCAATCGATTTTGCATACGCATCGCGTTGCGTATCGTGTTCAGTATCGCATCAAAATCCAGAGAAACTTATAGCCAAAAACATCGATATTTATGCTTTACTCACACCCTCAAATGCCTAGAAGATCATACCTTAAATATCGTCGCATTTCCATTATATCCATCCATCGAGAAAATGGTACCCGTAAAGGATTGGGGCCGCACTATGACGGCAGCCAGGATTTCTTCAGATTCTAAATTCACGGTTAGTATATGCATTACGCAACTTGATACCTCAAAACTATACAATTTTCTTAAATATTGGCCTTTGAATCCAATGGCTAAATGGTAGTGTGCTAGTCTATCAGGCAAACGATCCGGGTTCGATCCCCACCCGTGACGTAATTTACTGCTTTTTGGTCAATAGATTGGAATTTGCATTTTCTTACCTCCAATTACAAGCGCATCATTGGTAAACACTGCATAAGAGTGTGGCTGGTTGAGGAATAGCCGTTGGGAGAGGGTGGAGATGAACACGGTCGAGAAGACGAGTAATAGAACCCATCGATTATGAATATGCATTGGAGCCGAAAGACGGCTAAAAAGGTGACTCCTAAGCACACAAAAAAAACCGAGAAAATGAAGAGAGTAAGGCGGTTATGTAGGAGCTTCAGAACGACATGACACGTCTTGGGAAAATCCCTAACAGCACGGCCATCTCAATTTCAATTGGTTTGAATTTTTTACAAGTAGTTTAGACAATTAAAAACCATCACCTCTCACAAATGCAGCTCGAAAACTTCTGAATTGAAAAAGTTCAAGCAAAAATAAATTTCTTCGGAAGCTAAAAATGGTAAATTTTCCGATAACTTTTTTTTAAAAGAATTCGGGGTGAAAATTTGAAAGTATGTAGTTTGTAGCTTCTGCTATTGACGGTACAAAATTTCAATGTAACGGATTTCCTCGACGCACCATGTCATTTTCGGATTTTCAGATTTCGACTCGAAAATGAGTGCATAAATCGAAAGCTGAGGCGATGGCTTGTGGAATAAAAGGTTTGCGTTTTGAAGTTGCGTCCAGGAGATAAGCCATAGAATGGATGGACACCCCGCAAACAAACAAAACTTATCGCCAGAGCGGGCTTGCAGCGAAAGGAGGGGCGTTGTTTACGGCGGAGCGTGCCGGAATTTGACAGTGATTCTGAAGGAGGGCATTCAGCCTGAGCAGATTTTTTCTGGTCCGGTAGATAGAGCAAAAAATTCTGAGCCGTGGCCTGCCCTGAAAAATGCAGAAAAAGCTACCATACCCTCAAAAAAACAAATGAAACTCGTTGTTTTGCAATATCGTACTGATTTTCCACTTTTTGAAAAAACTATGTTGGGCAGAATTTTATGCGTCATTGAATGAGCTATGTCCGGAACGCGAATTAGCAGTGACCTTTGAGGAAATTGCTGAAAAAATGGAAAATCATTCCCAATTACACAAGGCTCTCAAAAAATTCTAAATTTAGATCAAACTGGAATTTGCCATTATATCAGATAAAATACCATTTGCCGATCAGAATCCGCAACTAGCAAAAATTATTAGGGAAAGTCGAGGTCCAAAACCCCCAACAATTTCGAAAGTGTTAAAAATTACATAATTTTTGGGTGCGAAACGGCTTCTGAAATACCGGAAATGGCTATCTTTTCGGGTGTGATTCAGCCACCGCCCCCAATTTATCGCAAAGACCAAAAGGAAGAGAAGGGCAGGGAGAAGCCGTCAAAAAGCTGGGTGAGCCATCAGAATCGATGGCCCCCAAAAAAGGCAAGTCAAATCGATGTGGATGAATTTGGAATAGTGCCAACAAATAGTGAAACCCCGTTGAGAGGGGGATTTCCGTATATAGAATCACGATGGATAAACGGGTCCAAGAAGGGATTAGCCGGCCACTTTTGCGGATTAGGGGGTGAATTTGGAATGGAAGGCCATGTTTTATGGTCGCGATGATTCGCTAACAAATATTTTCAATCGGGGACAGGCAGGCTAGCAGAGATCACTTGGGAACCTCCATTTATTTTATCTATCAGTATTCTATATACGCAAACCCCCATTCCAACTTCACAGCAAGGCAGGCGAGCAGAGATCATGTAGGAATTTTCGAAAATTAGGATTCATGTGAAACGAATGGAGACCAAGACCATTCCCGAAATATATCCCGATGCAAGCTAGCAAATTTGAGGACTAATTCTCAGATGCAAATCGTACGGCTCGATCTCGTCTTGAGTGGATATCCGGAATATGACCCTCGTCGGCATGGTCCTTTTCTTTTTCCTTTCCGCGCCATTCCTATTCCCATTCGTCGATTTTATTCGCTATCTTTCGGGCATGGGCCATCCCCCCCCCCCTTTCCCTCAACCCCCCAAATAGCGCTTCATTGTGAGTCAGAAAGGGGATGGGGGCCTATATGCCGACATATTTACAAGCGAAAAGTGGGGTGGTTTGTAAAAGTTGGGTTTAAATTGTAATCTTAATTAATTAAAGGGACAAACGAGCCAGAAATTTTGGGTAACGAAAGACAGCGAAGGGGGAGAGATGACGGTAGTGAGACAGCGAAAGAGACAGACAAACAGCGTGGGACACCGTTGAAATACACGATAATATTTCCAAAAAAATTTTACTCGACTGAGCTGGCCATCGGGATGAAAGAGCCTTTTGGCTGGAAGCGCGTTTTTTGGGGGGATGATAAGGGGAGGAAAGTTGGGAGGAGGGCATTTGGCCAGTCAGTCATTGTCAACAAACCTGGCTTTACGCCTTCACTTACTCATCAAACGCTTGTACAAGAATAGTCATTCTAAATGTTGCCAGTTTTCAATTCCCTAGAAGCCATTTTATATGGTTTAAAGGGACGGGCAAGGCACGGCTATGGATTTGGGTGGCTAAGGTTTCTTATCGATCCTGCAGCTACGGATTGCCGCGTTACAAGTCCCGCTGCGTGTCAAGTTGCATGTCGCGCAGCGTGCCGCGTTACGTGTCGCGGGTGTCGGCTGAGAATTTTCTTATTGATGCAGCCGCGTTGCGTGTCGACACTACGGTAAAAATCTAAAAAACTTATATTTTTCTCTAATTTTTGTTTTGTTGGTTTTTCCAGGAGTACCATATTCCATTTGAGCAACCACGGTTTATCTCAATAAAAAATGCAATAAACTAAAATCCAAACCATAAAATACAAATTGTGAATTGAGCAGAAGCGAATCGGGAAGAAGAAAACACATGGCAGGAAAGACTGGGGCAAAAATCGGCAATTTCGCCAACCTCAAAAAGAACTTTCGTCTGAGATCTTTCCTAGATTTAGATTCATTAAAAATAATTTTAGATGATGAACTTTACTTTAAAAAGTAATATTTTGGTTTCGAAAGCATGGCAAGAAGCCACAGATTTTAAGAAATTACAATCGTGACTGCGGAATGGAAAATATTGGCGGTTTTCTCGAGGTGAGCGGGGTGGAATAGACGGTTTCGTCGACTGGTTCCATATAGAGTGTACTGGCTTCTGATGTGCTGCTGTCAAAGCTAAACCAAATCCGAGGCTATGAAGGTATTTAGGAAATACAGTACCTCGGCGCATACGGCAGATTGGAGATCGGGTTGTAGCGCGAGATCAGGGCTCGGCTGAAAGGAATAGTACCTTGATATTTCGATAATTTTAGCTAATACGGCTTAAGGAAACGCAAATTGTCTTGTTTCATTCGATAGAGCAGAAAATTCTCAACAATACCTAGCCCTCAAAAATACCTTATATTACTGTAGAGGAAAAAATTTCCATAAAATGTTACCTAGAAAATAGCTTTAAAACCCATCTTTCGGTTTTACAGTAAAATTATAGCATTTTTTGCCAGTGCCTTTGGTTCGGATCTTCTCAACGATCAATCAGCTATCGTAGTCGATTTCTCCCAACATTTTAAACAATTTTGACAACAAACCTGTAGTCAATCGACGCTCGCAGCTCCCAGATTGGCGTCTCCATTTGGCTGGAGCTAAATTAAATTGAATTAATAAAAATAATATTATTTTAAAGGCATAAAATTTAATTGATAAGCTGTAGCAGCGATGCAAACGCAACGCGTCCAATATTATTTTTTAGTCCTATCCCTTCAAAGATCACTTACCCAGGCAGCATCACCGGATTTCGGTTATCATCAATATCGCTCAGCTCAAACTCGTCGTGGGGAGCATCACGTTTTCGTTGGCGCTGAAAGATGAGGGCATTAATGAGAGGCTCGGTCAAATACCTTAAAATAGCGATACGGTAGGTTGGTGGGGGGAGGTGGATTTCGGAGTTGTTCCTGGGCCCGGAGACGACGGTTTTCTCGGGATTCCGGGTAGACTGGTTCAGCTGGAACAATGGATTTGGAGTGAGCTTGAGCGCGAGAGCAAGAGCGAGCGAGAGAGTGGAAGAGAAAGACAGAGTGCGAGAACGCAAGAGAAAAATAGCTAGGCCGATTTCACCTACCAATAATTGTCGATGGAGGCCACGCATTATACCGGGAAGAGTAGGAGGCTGTTTCGAGGTCTGAAATCCATCAATTTTTCTTTGCCTGTCTCTCGAAACAAACCCCGGAAAAACAACCCTGAAAAACGATACCAGAATCACATAACATCCGCTCCGACGCGGCGTCATCAGCTACAGGCTGCGGTGGCTGTTGAGGAACGACAGGTAGCGGGGGTAACATCCTCCTCCTTACAGGGGTCACTTCTGTTGCTCCTTCTGGTGGCGGTCCTTCCGGATCATATCTCGGCTTATCCCGTCGGCTCCGCTTATTCGCGTCCTCAAGTCGCGCTCCGAACGGGACCTAAATTGGGTTAAACCAGACATGGCAATTTCGTTCGGCCGGCCGCGGCCGACCGGCCGACGGCGACATTAGCATAAAAAATCGGCCGTTTCCGGGCCGCCTACTCTATGCAAATGACTTCCGGTCGGCCGATCGGCCGGCCGAGTTTTTTGGTCGGCTCGGCCGCGGCCGCGTCGGCCGGCCGACAATTCACACTTGAGAAAAAGTTTCCCAGAAACGTGTCGCTGGCGCCTCTAGATTTTGAATAAATAAGGAATGGGTTTGGGCATTGGTTTTCACTATTCCCTAAGAGGCCTGCCTACCAAATTTTATTTAAAAATCTTGATTTTATGTGGGGAAAGCGTGCTTTTTATGTCAACCCTGAATTTTTTTTTGGAAGGTTGTCAGCTTCAAATATAATTCAATTTTGTAGTTTCAACTAACACTCAAAATTAGTCAGGATGTTGCTATGACGAGTGGGCCTTTAGTTTCCTGAATCTTTTTTTAATTGGATCGTTTGCGGCGATGAAGCAATTAGTGATGATAAAGCAAATGTAGCAGCAGCCACGTCAAGTCCGTTGTAATCACGTCTAACCCTAGACCGTTACAGCCCCATTATTTAACTAATTTCCTCAGTCTAAACATTAGTAAATCCCTTCATTAGCATCCAAAAATCTAATTTGGTTGCGGGTTTTCGGCCGTTTCCGGGCCGCGCGGCCGGCCGACATTTCGGCCGGCCGATTTGGCCGCGGCCGCGGCCGACCGGAAATGGCGGCCGGCCGATTTCGGCCGGCCGCATTCTAATTTTTTCGGCCGAAAAAGCCGATCGGCCGGCCGATTTGCCATGTCTGGGTTAAACTATCAAATGACAAAACCGCTTGTGGACTATGTATCGTCATTCCTTGCCCGTCCCGTTAAAGGGAACGTGCCACCAGGGAAACGCTCGAGAACTGACCTTTACAACACTATTCCAGTTCCCCTCCACATACCAATACCAATGCCAGTAGACGTATAACTAAATTTAACGAATCAACTTTTACCATCCTTAAAAACTAGAAAAATAGAAAAAAACCATTTTTACGTACCAGAAAAAAGTTGATAGATGCACCAATAAGATATATTATTAGAGGAATGAGAGGTGCTTCTAAAAACCTACATCTTTTCAAAAAAATTTCCTTACTCTGCGACTCCATCAAAATCGGCAGTACTCGGGGCAACGTCGACAGCGAGAGAATCAGCAACCCGATACCGTATGCCGATTGCTAGGGCGCATTTTAGCAACCAGAATTCGAGTAACGTACCACGACTAACAACGGCCACAGATTAGAAGGTTTTGGGTGATCGGCAAATGCGAATGGAAGGGATGAAAGGAGGGAGAAACCGTGGGCCAGGCACCTAGAGGATCTCGACTTTTTGTTTTCCGGAATTACCCGGAATTGAATGAAATCTTCAAAGCGTACTGTAGCTCATTAGATAGAGCAAAAAATCCTCACAAAACGCGACTCTCAAAAAAGTCTACGTACGGTAATCGAGTCAGATTTGGTTGTTTTTGACCGTCGCTCTGATTGGAAAGGAAATTTTGGGGGGTACGGTGGCTTAGGCGCTAGAAAAATGTCCGCAAAACTCAGCCGTCAAAAAGGACAATTAGTTAAGGTAAGCTAAAAAATCAAAAAAGGAAAGCGATCTCCTTACCATGCTAATCTACCGTAACCGCCGTCCATATGTTCCGCTACGCACCCATCGATGCCCCACAGAGAGTGGAGAAGACCTCAAAGAGGAAAATATGTGGAGCGGAGAAAATTGTACGAAATGCACCTAGCTACGTCAGATAAATGATCTGGAAATCAACTGACCCGCATCAAAAATGATCACATCTACGCCGAGCATCGGGTCGAAGCCGGCCGAGAAATTGCAGTGAATTATCTGGAATTGAAGGGGTTTTTATGATAGAATCGTCGTCGGAGTTTGGATGTAGCGCGGAGAGTTAGGCGCATTAATAGACCGACCTTGTCATAGACAATATACGAATTGACATGTTGCCCGGTGGCCCATAGACAAATCAGAAATTGTAGACAGCCCAGCCAGACACAGATTTGCGAGTTCAGGAAGCGATGGCCGACGCACTAAGAAGAGCTTAGCTAAGTAAGTAATACATACCTTTGTCCACTCGTCGGTGACGGTGAATAGGCCCATTGGCCGGGGGGAAGAGCATCCCTAGGGAATCACCCGCACTTCCAGGGTGTACTGTAATGGATAAGGTACTTTAGCCGGAGTGCCGTTTGAAAAAAGAGAAATCATTGAAAGAGAGAGCTTCTGGCCAAAAAGCAAAAGGACGGCCACGAACCGGAATCGAACTCGGGCCACTCGTCTGGAAAATGAGATCACAGCAGAGTGCATATGTGGCCCACCTTGATGTCACGATGGCTTTAAAGGAGCGGCAAGGGACGACTATAGGTTTTTTGGCGATGACTTCTCGTACCCTTAAAGACCCCGATACTCTCTATGGAAAAATCAAAATAATAATTTCGACGCTGTCCGGGATCCAACCCGGGACCGTTTGCCTGAAAAATGAGAGCACTACCATTTAGCCATCAGAAAAGACAGGGCCCACGATATAAGAAATCACAAAAACGTACTTTCAGGCATCTCCCCCCTCGAAAGCTCGTTTTTGGGAAAAACCTCCAAAAAAGCTGTTGAATCGGGGGAAGTCTGAGTGAAGGAGGGTGGATGAGTGTGGGACAAGACGACAATGGGGGCAACAGTGGGTCTCTAGGGATAGTCGAAGGGGGCCCAGGATTGGACCCTTAGGTCCAACTAGGGGCCCATCGAAGAGATCGACAGGGTCATGGAAAAAAATTTAGACGGTTTGGAAGGTTTGCGACTTGCGAAGGGTCTGCTAGAAGATAAATTAAAGAACAAATTTCGATTGCAAAAATACCCCCGAAAAGTCGACTTTTTCGGCCGGCCGGGCAGAGCGAGGAGAAGCGTGTCAAAATGAATAATGGGGAAGTTTTTTTTTTGCGGGGTGGGGGGCGTTACTGGGGGACGGCGACAAGTCCGTTAATCCCCTCCTTACGACCAACACTACACCCACAACACACTGCCAAACTGCCCCCGCACATTTTCGAGGGCAACAAAGAAGAAACATTCTTGTTTTTGTGAAAATTTTAGGAACTTCTCAAGGGATGAGAAAGAATAAAAGATTACGGAAATGATGCTTTCCAAATTAACTAACGGATCGATAGATACTAGACGGATTTTTCAAAAACACGGACACCAACCACACCAAAAAAACGACAATGCTGACTGACCTCCAGCTTTGGGGTTGCCCTTAGAGGCGGGGCAAGGCTTACCTATGGACGTTATTGGCGCCAGATGCCATATAGAGTCCTCTGCGACCGTGACATCGAAGGTGCACGCCCTCCGTCCGTGGCGTAATGCGTTGCGTGTCGCGCCTTTGCAAAATCGATAGGCAATCCTGGGCAGGCCAAACCCTGAGTATTATTGCCTTGCCGCGCCCTTTAGAGGGCCAGAGAACCTAAGGCGCGAATGTTAAGGATATGATTGCCGCATACACGAAACCAAACGCCCACACACGAAAAATGGCTACCATGAAAAAGCATTCAATTACGCAATGGAAAGATTCGAGGTCGCGTTGCTTGTCGCGGCCGCGGCAAAAAACATCTAATCTAATCCATAGCCAAGAAAATTCATAGTTTTGAAATGGACATGGAATTTGCAAAATTTGGAACTACCGACTACAACTACCTCAGAAAATGTAGAATTCCCCATAAAATACCATGCAATAAGTTCTCGAAAAGTCTGCGTAAACCAGAAAACTGGAGATTTTTGACAGGACGACTCGTGTTCCTCCTCTTCGACCCGACGCCCCATTTTTTGAGGTTGCCCTCCCCTGTCTCTTCTGACCCATCCCCCTAGAGACCCATTCTGAAATGTGGTGCGGCCTCTCTCGGAAGACGACTATTTTCTCCTCAACACGTCGTATGAACCTTCAGCTATTGTTAGACGTCAAAATCCAACAATTTACTTGCGCTTACGCCAGGAAAATTTGGATTGGTCGCATCGACGGCTATTAAAGGTTATTTGAAGGGTTGAAGCCGGCAATTCTGGATAATTTCAAGTATTTTGCGGGGTAAACTAACATGCTGGAAACGATGAGGCAATCAGTTTTCCGCGGCAAAGCTTTCCGGAAGCGAAAAACTGGGTTTTAGCCGCTTTTTGCGTGTTTTCGCCGCGAAAAACTTAATACCGCAGCGATGTTTATGCCGAAGTGACTATACATAAACAGAAGCAAAATTAGCTTACGAACTAGTTTAAAAACAAAAATAAATTTTATTCGTACGAATTTATCCTGATTACGGGCTGGAGCTAAAATTACTTGAAAGTACGTTGAAAAGCGGCTAAAGCTCCAGTTCCGGTTTCCGAAAAAAATGAAAACATGTTGAATCAATAATGCCGGGAAAATTAAAGCGCGTCATCGCTTGCGGCATCATCGAATACGCTAGGCAAAATTGGAACGGGCCGGAAACGAGAGCTGAAGGTTTTAATTTCGAGAATAAGCGGATATGCGGGGAATGGCCGTACAGAGTACTCTTCCGTAGCTTTCAGACCCACTGTAAATAGTGCAAAATGCGTCTAGAGATTTAAATCAGGTGAAAAAGGCATTTCGAGAAGTATTTCAGGGAGTAAAGTAATGATGAAGTTGAGAAAAAGTGGGCAGTTCTACTGGGCCAATTGTTTCACCTGTTCTCTCTCTCCGCTCTTTGTGAGATCAATAATGTCTCGATTTCCTGCCCTGCTCCCCAGCTTCTTCTATCCATTTTGGGGCATTGGCCATGTAGTAGACAGAAAGACAAATAGATAGACAGACAGACAAACAGACAAAACAGATACACCGCGGGGCCAAAGACACAAATCTCGTTAAGGCGCCTCCGGCTTCTCCCCTTTACACCGGATATGAGGGAGTGGCTGCGAGGAGATACTATGTACACCCGTTGTGAAGGGTTATCAAAAAGGTGGTTATTAAATGAACTAGGAAACGGGAAATTAGACCCTGCAGTTTACTAGGCGTCGACAGCTTTGCGACACTCCGAACGACGCCTGTATGCATATAAATTAACAAATGAAAATAGGCAGAATACGTCATTTGGTCTCGTGGCTAGGTCTCGACGCCTAGTCGCTCGTCCATTCGATTCGATTCTATCGCGTCCCAGCCCCTTTAAAGGGATAATGCCGGGAGGATTTCCGGTGCCAACCTTAATAATTAGAATTTCGTGACACGCCCGCTGAAAGGAGCCGGCAATAAAGCTTTTGGATGTTGTTGATTGCGGATTCCCTATGGATTATTAACACGCCCGTAACACGCAATGCGCCCACCCGCTCTTCTACCGCGTAAAGGATTACGGGATTACGGTTCAAGCCGGCTACGCAGCGGGCGCAGCGAACGCAGCTACGGTAAAATAGAAAGGCAATATTTAGCGAAAAAATCATATTTCCGCCTTGCCAGTCCCTTTAAAGATTCATCGCTTCTGCAGTTTTGATGGAAACAGGAAAGCTATAGAAAACGAACGTGGGCCATCTAGCTAAGACCATTTGCAAGACGTAAATTTTGCAACTAGGCGACCCAAATTCATAATAAAATTCGAGCATTAAAAGGACGAGCAAGGCAGGTCTATGGATTTCTATTCGACGCGCACATCACCATATCGATAGAGAATCCGTAGCCAAAAACCTCAGCTAAGCCTTGCCGTGCCCTTTAAAGGGGATGGATCTCTACAGGAAACGCCTCGATGTCTTGTGGAATGAATTGGAATGCTGTGTTTTCTGTTGGAGAGCTATCGTTGGGATCTCTTCTTCAGAAGGAAGGCGGCTTCTCCTCCCCCACACCGGTTGATTAATTTGGCCTTTGTGGAAGGGGGCATTCTGCCACATTACGGCCTATCTTTCTCTAGAGATGGGGGAAGGAGAGGGCATCTAATCGAGAAAAGGAGCAACAGATGGCCCTGCAATGAATTCAGAATGAATAGATCTTGTTTCAAAAATTCCATAGGTTTTTCAAAATGGCATAGGTAAAATCCATAAAAATTGAAAGGTTAAAGGCGCGAACAAAAACAGCTCTTCATAGCCTGGGTCTCGACAATCCGCCTACGACTGAACGATGACTGAACCTGTTGGCGGCAATTGTAGTGCGTAGCTGTCGATATCGTAGGTGACGTAGGAGATCGCGTCTCGCGCTTCACAATCCCTTTAAAAGAGGAAACCCTCAATTGCGTTTTTTGGCAGCTAGAAGATTATCGGAGCCTTTGGGAGTCGTTGCGACAAGCGAATCGTCCAAGGGGTGACTATTTCTAGGGAAAGCTTGCAGAAATCCTCTAGGAAACGACGGCTGCACCAGAATTCGGCGTTGAGCCCCTTTTTTTGGCTTCTGGCCAAATTCATGCATTCACCGGGTTCTTGCAGTTCCAAAAGGTCTCCAGTTTGAATGGTGGCTCGAAACCGTATAGTTGGAGATCGTGTAAGATCGGCCGATTTTCAACGACTTCCTGGTGGGAATAGCTCGCGTAAACCAGCAGAGATTCTTATAAGAACTAGAACTACTCCGAACCCTCATATTGGTCGCTTACGCCAGGAAATTGATTACATTTGAATGTTCGCAATTTGAATGGTGACTCAAAGCCGTCCCGATCTCCAATCGCCCGATTTCCACGGCTGTTATTGGCTGGAGTTTTCCTTTCTCGGAGGGCCGTATCCCAAATCATTGTATGGAACAGAGGAGCAGGAAGAGGAGGAGGGAGATCCCGAGAGATGGAGATCGGGAAGATGGGACGACGAAGGGGCGGAGACACCCTGTAAAGAGTTGTCTCTTGTACCTCTTGGTGGGGAAGGGGGAGGGGCGTCAATAGGTGTGTAGAGGACTGTCGGTCTGTCTGTCTGTCCGTCTTGCAGTCCTTCCCTTCCCTTTCCACCCACCTTCCTCTAGTCTACAAGGGCCACCGGATTGACCATTCGAATCTAGAGCTAAAAATCCCCCTTGTTAGGCCCAAATGCACCGACCGAGTCATCGACGTGCCGTGGCCCTGGCTCTGAGGACTGATGGGGATAATACGGCTGATAATATGGTACTTTTAATGCTGTTATTCGCCTTTTTCTGATCATTTCTGAGCTATAAACAAAAAGCAACCATTTCGCCGCGCCTGGGAGTCGAACCCGGACCCTCGGCGTGATAGGCGAGAGCTTTACCAATTAGCCATGAACAAGGGCGCCCAGAAAACTATAAAAATGATAAACCATTACTTTAAAGTTTAGTTATAAAAGTTACAGTATATATGCTTTATTGCCTATTTTTCCCAAAAAATCATCGAATCCAGGGTACCGACGGGGCACGAATTGTCGAGATCGGCGTCAGCGACGGCCAATCGAACATTGTTTATCCTGTGGAAAGCGATGGTGAATTTTTTATTTGCTACATCAAATATGTTCCTTTATTAATTTTTAACGCTGTTATGAACGTGTATACGTTTTATGCCATTTAAGGTATCGCCCGTCTATTATCCGATATTGAAATGGCGGCCGGCCCGGGCGCGCTACTCATTTGCCGCGGACCATACGAGTTGCGTCAGGTAAATATAAAAGTTTTGGGTTTTAAATGTTGTAAAATAACTTTTAAACGACTTTTCGGATCCAGTTTCTGGCGCAGAGTCCGAATATGTGCCTTGTTTTGCCTATAAAAGTTTGGTTCTCAAAATATGAAACTCTTTCTGCAAGATTTTGTTTTTAGAAAAAGTGACGCTCGACGAAAAACGGCCCTTTCCATGAAATTTCTCTGAATTTAACCAACTTTTCCTGACTAGTTTTTTTCGGGAAGTCTGAATCTGCACTCAGTTTTTCAAACCGGCGCTAGAATTTTTAGGTAACGGCCGTTTTTCTTGAAAAAATCGCGACGAACGCGAGAAAAAGTGATGCTTTTGTCTGCAAAATTACCTCATTTTTTGCAGGTAATCCACCCACTGTGCATCCGTGAAGGCATCACCCCTCCCTCCCTCTTCTTCGAATATGTAAATATGGGTCGGCTGGATGAGGATCCCCTCCCAAATGCCCTCATCGACGAGCTAGCAGCCCTATCGAAGCGGATAGCCGACAAAACTGATGGTGGGTCATATCGCGTGATCGATCATTATCTTTATATCGCGCTTTCGCACTCTCGCTCGCTTTCTCTATCTCTCTCTCTCTTTCTCTCTCTCGCTTTCTCATTCTCTCTTCGTGTCGCTTGATTTTATCGTGATCCCCTCGAGATCGATTTGCAACGGTTTTTCCAGGGTATTAATAAGCTCTAGGACCAAAATCTTCTAGAATAACAGTACGGAGAAAAAAATTGCTACGAAACTACTAGAATTTAATCGCTTATTTCGAAGCCGATTCATTGGTCAAAATTCAACCAACCCTCTTAAAAATCGATATTTTATCCAGATTTTGGCCACTGTCTGCATTTTTGGATACGTCTCTGTTCGTCTGTCTGTACATTTGCAATACTAGGCCTCTCCTCTTTATGCCATTGTGTTTTTCGGCTCTCTTTTCCGCCCCTCAAGGGCTATTTCCCCAATGTGCCAAAATGGGAAAATTTCGAGGCAATCCAAGGGATGCGCTCCCGGCACCACCCAGCCCAAATTTTCTTTTTCGCTTTCTTTTTCTCTTTTTTTTGGAGTGGCTGGTACTGTCTCATGAAAAGAGAGCGAGAGAGAGAGAGAGAGAGAGAGAGAGAGAGAAAGACTGTTTGGTTGTTGTGTGGTTACTGGAAAAATCGGCATCCTTGTCTACACAGCCCGGGGGGAAGCGCGAAATAGAAAACAGGGAACGAGCTGCAGCAGATGCTATTGACATCATTTATCGAAAATGCTAGGTAGCGAGGGGATAGAGTAAATATTTTTATAAAAAAAAAGAATAGAGAAGAAGCAGGAAAAGTTTGTCTTGGGGTTTTTTTAGGGATTTTTGACACGTTTTAGAAAGCTGGAAGCGCTGTTTTTGCTTATTTCCAGATTAAATAACCTTTTCATGAGATTTTTAGTTTATTCTTTGGGCTTTGTAGCTTTCAATATTCTATAGTTGTTAGTGGATTTTCGAAATCAGAAAATTATTAAAATTGGGCAGCTAAGCACCACAAACCAGTAAAAAAACTGATAACTCTAGAGGTAGAATTATTTTGAAGAAAAAACAAGCGCGCTGTCTCTCTCTCTCTCTCTCTCTCTCTCTCTCTCTCCCTTTCAATCGCTTGCAAAATTTGCCCCATTTTTTGCAGGCCTCCTATTTCTCGCGCAGCAATCGATCATATTTTGAGATTTCGGGGTTCGAGTAAAACACCCACCTCTCATTCTCTCTCTCTGTCTCTCTCTTTCTCTCTCTCTCTCGCTCAAAATGTCCCATTTCCCTAGCCAATCGATCATATTTTGAAATTTGGGGCTTTCGAGTCGGGGCGAGTTTTGAACCGGGCCGGTGTCTCGAGAAGATGTGGCCATGACATTGTGTTGTGAGGATTTGGGGGACGGTAGGCAAAGAGATCGATTTGGAAAGTGGGACGAAGGTCATTCATCCAGCCCAGCCAAGGACCCCCTCCTTTTACGAGACGATCCTTTATCGCACCTCCATCCCCCTTCTTCTTCTTCTCCTGCGCCCTAATTTGTGCTCCACGCACCGCTAGCGCGGAAGCTGCAAAAGCGCGCTGGCCCCGCGGGGGTTTGGAGATCTAAAAATGACTGAAAAATGGGTTTAAAAGATGGCAAAATGCAGTTATCGACCCGCTTCTGCCGACTTGATATCGACACCTGGCCCGAAAGTATTTTTTGAAAAAATTGGAAAAGAACTTTTCTATAAATTCGAAGAAGCTCCTGAAAAAAATCCTGTTTTGAGGGGCTAGGAAGCGCGCAGTCGACCCATGGGGGGCCACTAGGCCTAGGCAATTCTGCTCAATAGGTTGCGTCATGTAATTGGCTCCGAGGCGCCAAAATCTACTACTTCCGTGAACTAAACTAAACAGCCACGCCCGGAAAACTACTGTATCGATTACGCCATAGAATTCGGTCAGACGGTTCGGTCTTTAAGGGACTAGGATGTGCTAAAATAGATATGCTTGGGAATCGAATCCCACGATTTCCAAGCTCAAAAGCATCCTACCGGAGACGTGAGTTTGGAATTTGGTAAAGTAGCGTTGCATAAATTCTACCGTCTCAGAAGCTAGCAGTGATAATACAAATTTCCAGAGGTCTAATCGATGACGTCATTTAGTTTAACTGACTACGAACGCCATGCAAGACGTATACTTGCTGATAAACCGCTCTTAATCGACTAGCTCTCACGATAAATACGCTTTTTCCGCAGCGATACTCCCGTGCGACAGCCATTCACGGTGTTGTGGTGAAGGTGTTGAGGTGTGACGAGAGAAAAGCGGGTGAGAGAGCGAAAGCGAGAGAGCCCTAGGGTCCCGTAACGAAACGGCTGGGAGGGGGTTTGTGTGTTTGTGGGTATGTGTGGTGGGGGAGCGGCGCGTACTCGAGCTGCAGAATAAACAGGAGGAGACCCCCGAGGGGGTGAGGACGGTCAGCTGGGAGAACCGGGAGAATGGGGGACGGCCATCAACGCGAAAGCCATCCATTGCGGATGGAATCGGGGGGCGCAGAGCGCGGAAGCGCCGGTCAGCTGATTTTAAAGGGTCCCGGAAGGTCAAAGAAGGGAAACGCGAAAAAGTGTGAAAATCCGAAAAACATTGATTAAGAGTACCGTAAACTTGCAAAAGAGCGGAATGTAGTCGTAATATGTTCAGGGGCCCGTTTTTACGTGAAAATCGCACATTTTTGCGCGTCTGTGTCGCTTTAAAGGGACACGTAAGGCTTGGACACACCATGGGTTGCTATGGATTTTGTACGCAATGGTTGTATGTATATTCCATGGCGTAATTGTTTGCGGAAGGTGATCAAAAAAGCCACAAAGATGCTACGTTGCGGAAAACCCATAGTAAACAACAGCTTAAAAAATATATCTTTGCCTTGCCCGTCCCTTTAAACGGAGCGCAACAGGAAGAGCGGAAAAACAACCTGAAAATTGCATAAAAAATCAATACACTACATTTTCAGACGAAATCGAGCCAGCCATCGAGCGGATAACCCTCGGCGTCGACACAGCCATCTGGTGGGTTGTTAATTTTGTATTTTCGCTCACTCTATCTCTCGCTCCGGATTCCCTGTAAAAATTGTTCCCGCTAATTTCCCACGCATTTCCACGTATTCTTTTGTCTTGGATGGGCTCGTGGTTGAGAGCCATTTTTGGTGATTCCCGTCTCTCTCTCACTCTCTCTCCCTCTCTCGCTCTCTCTTTTCTATCCTCAGCTGGATCTCGGCCATCCATTCGGGAAGAAGAGATGTTCAATTCTTTTCTTTTTCCTTTTCCTTCGAAATACGGGACGCGGGAAGGGGACTATTTGGGTCGAGGCGACAATACCCGGGTCAGGGGAGGGAGGGGGCTATTCAAAACGAGAGAGAGAAAGAGAGAGAGAGAGAGAGAGCGAGCGAACCTGAGAACCCAGGTGGCCCTCCGGGCGAGACTCAATTTGCCCCGCGAGCGGTGGGGGTAGGGCTGAAATTTTGGGGTACTTATTGTCAGGTCTCGGGGGGGTACTTCTAGAAACTTCTTCAGGGGAGGCTAGCAGAGATCATTGTGGATTCGTTCCATCCACACAAAATCCCCTTTATCATTTCATATTAACATTTCCATTTCAAGGGGCCTGTAAGTGCGAGATTCGATAGTTTCTTTCAACCAGGTCTCGACAGCTATGCGCCACTCAGAGTGACGCATTCAGTAGCGCGTAGTTGTCGATACCTAGTCTAAGCCAGGGGTCGATTGTCACGCTTCCCAGTCCCTTTAATGCAAGTTCGAATAGGGGTATTTTCGGTACGATCCTCGGCCACCTCTGCTGCTGTGTGGTTGGGTGGGTTAGGAGGCGATGGATGGGGGTTTGGTGCCAGGCTGGGCCCCCACCCGTTAGAGTGCAAATAGTAGCCCAGAGGACGGCCTAAGGCGAACCCCGCGGCCACGCTCTTTTGCTTTTACCCACCACCCGCCACGCTAGTCGATCTGCCGGTGGGGGGTGTCGAAAAAAAATACCAACGACCTGTAAAAACAATAAAATTCGCGAATTATGAGAAAAAAGCAAAAAATTCCCAGCGCGTGGAGTCGAACCCGAGTTATTTGACCGGCAATTGAGCGTTTTACCATTTAGCCAACGGATAGATCGTGCCCAGGCTTATAAAAAAATTGTGAAAACTAAATCAGAATTTCAGCCGTGACGACGAGAAGGTAGAGGGCGAAGTGGTTGTTCGAGCACGAGGTCTTCCCTGGCAAGCATCCGACAGCCATGTCGCCCAGTTCTTCGCCGGCCTTAATATTGCACCGTGAGTTCTGAATACTTGGTGCTGGTGCAATTGCGGGGGGGGATGTGAGGCTACAAGACGCTCCAAACTACTCACCACCAAACTTTTTCAGTGGCGGCGTCGCATTATGCCTGTCAGCTGAAGGACGTCGAAATGGTGAAGCCCTCGTCAGGTTAGGATAAAGGCCGATTTTCTTGTAAACCTGACCTGGTTCTAATAGCAATCAAATGGGAAATTATTTCAGATTTATCAACCCCGAAATGCGTGCCATGGCCCTCAAGAGACATCGGCACTTTTTGTTGTCAAGGTAATTACCGGATTTTGTACTTTTTCACAAGCTTTTTAGATACATCGAAGTCTACAGGGCATCCGGCGACGAATTCTTGCAGGTGGCAGCTGGTTAGTATTATGTTTCCAATTTCTTAAAAAGCTGATCTTGATTTTATCAGTTTTCACACACTTTTTGGCGACCATTTTATCGGAATTCTGTAATCTGGTTCAAGTCGGACCATAAAAAGTCGTAAAAACTCCGTTTTCTCGCTTTTTCTTTTTTCTATAACGTTTCGACCTATTCTGGACACACATTCTTCCTGAATAATCCCTACTGGTTTGCCTCGGGTTTTATACCTGTTAAAAACACATTTCCTACGTTTTCCTGAAGGATTTCTGCTAGCTTGCAGATAATTTTGGACGCGATTTCCGGCCTCAACTGATCTCTTCTAACTTTTTGGAGCTTTTTTGAATAATTTCTGCTATCCTGCGATCTTAGCTTTGCAATTCTCGAGGTTCAGTCCGGATTTTAGATGTTTCCTTACTTATCTCTGCTAGTTATCGATTGCTCACAGAAATAGTACGAATTTCGAATATTCCCCCTAAAGGTCCTTGCTAGCCGGCCCGACTATCCTCACCATCTATCTGCCATGTAAGCCTAGATTTTAGCGTATTAAACGCGGGTTTAGCCCTCGCTGGTTACACATGAAAAGCCGCCTTGTTATCTTATCGTTTATATGGCTGGGGGCATGTCTTGCTTGGGTTGACTGGAGTGTCCGTCTGTCTGTCTGTCTGTCTCTCTCTCTTCCCCCTCTCTCTTTCTCTCTCCACTTCCGACTCCCCCCGTCATTTGCTGAATAACTGCCCATTTTGGAACGGCTGGTAACGAAATCCGGCTTTTATTGATTGATCTTGACTTCAGAGAATTTGAAGCCGATCAGAATATGACGATAGGCTCAAGATTTTGATGCTTTATTTCTGCATTAATTCCATTCAGACTTGTTGAGTTTGATGGTGATCTACAGGCTGACTTCTTGCGCATTTTCTACCCAACCTATCCGATCTTTGCCTTCCCACACTTTAGGGCCCCTTGGCTACGGGATCGCCTCGGCGCATCTTTCTGCTCAACCATCATTCTCTCCACATCGATTGTTTGATTTTTAGGGCTGGCGGCCCGACAAAGATTTTCAGGAAGCATACCCGAATTTAGCAGATTTTTAGGCACAACAAAGCGAGAGCGTCGAACTGCTCGAGTGACTAGGTATCGATAGATACGCGATTCATGCAACCGCGCATAGAACTGGACAGAATTGTCGATTAAAAAATTTTGTGGAGCTGCATTTTCGTAATTTGGAGCATCGCGTAGCTGTGGACACCTATTTTTCGCGTAAGACCGTCGTAGCTTTTGGCTCCATTCTTTGTAGGGCTGTAACCTAAGCCCAAGCCTAAGCATTAGGACAGTTTTGGGGCCCCCTTTCGGATCCCCGAAATTTTAAGTGAAGATTTTTAATCACATTTTTATCCGAATCCATAGCCTCAATAGTCTTCGCATTTCCTTTAAAGGTACGCTGAACGGACTTGTCCGATTACGGTATGACCACCGCACCATTAGGGCCATTTTTAGCCCGAATCTCCCTCCGAATCCCCGAATTCCGGGGTGAACAATCGTCTCTCGAGGAGGGCCTGTCGTTGTGGTGGGTGGTGTGGATAGGTGTGTCCCGTATGGCGGCATTTTGACAGCCCCTGTCCCTTCTCTCCTATTTACATAGTTGGGCAAATTGGGGACCCGGTCCTCTGTGATCCCCATCCATCCCGATATCCACCCATATCCACATCATACTCCTTTCTTTCTCTCTTTTTCGCGGTATAATACCGACAAATGGCTATTGGCTTTGTCCCCGGCCCATATGGCAATATACGGTCTGCCGGGCTGTCCGAGGGCCAGGAGCTCCTACTTCCAAAATGGTCTCTGCTAGCCTGCATCAGAACCTGAACCTTTCCTCAAGGGCTTCTGCAAGCCTGCCTTCTTTAAAATTCGCTACCCTCCTCAATTGTCTCTGCTAGCCCGCCTCAGTCGAAAATTGGCCATTTTGCTCAAAGATCTCTGCTTGGCCTGCATGAGCTATACTCCAAGAATCTCTGCTAGCTGGCCATATACGAAAATCTGCATTTTCCTCTAAGGATCTCTGCGAGCGCTCTGGTGTTCCCCCATGTCTTATAGAGCGCTAAACTACAAAAGTGCTGGATTTTCCACAAAGAACCTCTGCCGGTTCGCCAACGTTGGTCTAGGTAAAATTTTCCAAAGTGCCTTTCTCAAAGAATCGCTGCTAGCGTGACCCTGAAAAAACTGGAAAATATCGGGTTTTTTTCGTCTACCGCATATTTTTGTTCCTAAATTTCCACTGCTAGCCTGCTCTCCATTTTAGCATTATGAAAGGCGATTGCGGTTGCCTGTTTCGATCGAATGTTTTGCCTGGGATTTCCCCTCGGCGTCGACATGACGATTGCCTTTTTAGGGGACGGGAGAAAGCCTCGTGAATTGGCCGTTTGGCCGCCCCCTACATACATTTTCATCCTCCTCCACCTCCACGCCCCGGTTTTCAATCAGCGTTTTTGGCGCGTTCCTGGTCAGGTCGGGGAAATGGGGCAAGCTAGCAGAGATCATTTAAGATACTCCGCGGGGCGAGCGTGATCAAATTGTCACTGCTAGCTTGCCTTTGAACGCGTTTGCCTCAAGTCAAATTTCCTCAATCATCTCTGTAGCATCTAAAATTATGACAATAAGAGAAAGCAGGGCAATCTAGCGGAGTCTTTGAGACCTTTCTGTTGATCGAATGGATCGAATTGCTAGCTTGCCATACCGCACTTTCCTCTAGGTTTGCTAGCATTCCCCAATTCTCTCTGCTAGTATGTCTCTCTGAAAGGTGTGATCAAATTGTCTCTGCTAGCTTGCCCGGATTTTCTTTTTTATCCTGGCTTTCCCCAATTTTCTCTGCTAGCATACCCATCTTCTCAATCCGTGACCACATGATACTGTATATTGTATAACAATAACTGGTTGGCAACTTTCGCTCGTCCTATCCTCGCCCCGAGGACAAGACGACACCCCCTATTATATGCTCCTCCTTTTTTCAGGCTACAGCTTGTATAGCAAGGATGATTGAGATGATGGGCGGGATGGAAGGGGAATACTAGTAGTGCTGTCCTTTTCCCCAAATATTCTCTGCCAGATTGCCTCAGCCCTCGAAAAGAACCACAACCCGATTCACCAAATCCTCAAAGAATCACTGCTAGTCTGCCCTTTGCATGGGTTAGAAAATTTGCCTGAAACCTCGATACAACACGGGCAACGTTCATTAGGACCAATTTCCTCAAAGATCCCTGCTAGACCCTGCTTTCGCGCTCATCTTCCCGAAGCATCATGATTAGACTGTGCTAGACACATGGCTGATCCGGATTTTCTAAAGAGTCTCTGCTAGCTGCCTGCCGTTGGAAGTCTCATCCCCAATAGTCTCTGCTAGCTGCCTTCTAATCGTAGCGTCGTACTCAAGATGGTGGTCGTTATTCTCCATGCCCCTTCTATTCTATTATGCGCCATAGCCATGCGATCGAGCCATTGATCCATTCTTCCCTTGTCGCCCCCTCTATTCAATACGTGTCTCTAATATTATCGTCTGCCCGCTGGCTGGCCCATCCCCCCAAAAACCAATACCTGTACGCCCCATCCATCCATCCATTCCACGCGACACCTAAAGACGCCCCCCGGTCGCCATAGCTCGATATTTTCATGAATATTGATGGGCTGTGGCTAGGGCTTGCGGATTTTTGGATCGGCTTTCGAGCTAAAAGTTCGGATTTGCACCCGTGCGTTTCTTTTTTAAAGAGCCCGGCAAGGCATATTTCACAAATTTTCCTAAAATAATTTTAGAAAAAAATTTTAGCTGAAAAATCCTTAGTCTGGCCTTGCCGGTCCCTTGAAACGAGCTTCCGTTTTTGCGTCCAAAGCGAAAGCCTTACGTAAAAAATTTCGTACCGAACCCCAAATACTAAATTGAAGCCTCTACCTCCCCGTCAACTCGTACCAATTCCGCGTCAATCCAACTGACACGCACTGTTTCCACGGTACCCCGAGAGAGCTTTTGCCAGAGCAGCGGCCACTTGCAAGACATTAGCGGGTCGTCCGGGGCATCCCCCCATCCACCCTTCAGATTCCCATATATTATATTCTGGACGCACGGACGGACTGCTGCCCAGGCCACACACATCGAGACACTTCCACGTCTCCAACCCCACAGCAAGGAAATCGACCGATTTTGGGGGGAATGTCGATAGAAATGGCCGGGAAAAGGGGCCCGCTCTGGATATTGTTCAATTTTCGAACCTTTCCTAAATGCTTTCTGCTAGCTTGCTTGATCACGGTGAATCCACCTATTTTGGGAATGTCGATAGGAATGTCGTGGAATTTTTTAGGTATCATGAAGTTTTTGGATAGCTTCTTCCGAGGGGTGCTAGATCGTCTAGGTTGCAGTATTCAGAACCATGCGCAAATGGATAAAAAATTCCCCAAAAGAGCTCTGCTACATCGCCCAATCTCCTTTTCCTCAAATGATCTCTGCTAGACTACCTTGACCTTAGACTTTAGAATGATAAATGATGAATGCGAAATCGAGATTTCCTCAAGGGTCTCTGCTAGTACCCCTGATCACGATCCTCAAAGTTTTCTGCTAGCTCACAGCCTTGGCCCTATCGACGGAATGCCCAAAGCATCTCTGCTCGACTGCCCAAACCAATAAGCCAACTCCCGGAACTGTTTTGTTAACATTGATTAGCATCCCGCACTTCCGGTCGAATATCCGGGTCCCGGCGCGCGTTTCCGCTCGCACTTCCATTTATGCAAATTCGGGCACCATTTTACTACAATTCCGCAATTAGCATCTGAGGAACTTCCGGGCGGAAGGGGTACGGTACCGGAAGTCGACCTCATATAAAAGGGGAACGTTTCCTGTCAAAAATATCCATTCCTCTTCTTCCGGAATCGACCGTCTCCCTTCCGATCAATATGAAGAGTGGGTTTCGGGTGGTTTTAGGGTTTTTATGAGGGGTTTAAATTATGCAAATTAAGGAGTTGTATGCAAATTTTTTGAGGTTTGTCTTAGGCTCGCTTATCTCTCATTTTAGCCGAGTTTTGTGGGTTATATTTATACGCATCTGGGGTATGTATGCCATTTTTGTGGGGTTTTGCTTTTTGTCGATTTCTCTCTTTCTCTCTCTCTCTCTCTCTCTCTCTCTCTCTCTCTCGCTCTCGCTCTATCGTTTTAGGGGTTTTGGGAAAAATTTATGCAAATTCTGGGGTGAAATTTAAATTCCTGCATTCTCTCAATCTGACTTGGATTTGGCGTCCTTGCCTTCACAACTCCTTTAAAATAACTCGATCGCCTTTTTTATGCTAATTACCCCTCTATTTTTGCAGGCTGCTCCTCTGAAGCGATGGTGTTCGTCAGCCGCGGCGCCCAGGTGATCGTCCGGATGCGCGGGCTGCCCTACGACTGCACCGAGCAACAGATTGTACGGTCTAGGTTTAATTTTTGCGCTTGTCGTTATGGCCTAGTGGTTAGTGCTCGGGTCTCTCGATCTAGGGGTACGGGTTCGATCCCCGCCCGGGTCAATTTTTTGCTTTTTGAGTGGGGTTACTATTTTGATTTGATTATGGTTTTTAACCGCCTCCAAGTTAGTAGCTCTGGTTCGGGTCTATCAATCCAGGGGTCCGGGTTCGAGTCCAATCCGCTTTAATTTTGTACTTTTTGATTCGGGCTCGGTTTAGGCGATTTCAGACGATTTTTTAGGTTCTATCTAAGGCCTTAGTTACATTCTGGAACCGAGCCGCTAAAGCGTAGTGGTTAGTGGCCTGGTCTCTCAATCTAGGGGTCCGGGTTCGATCCCTGTCCAGCTCATTTTTTTTTCTTTTTGTTCGGACCGTATTGTTGCGTGGTCCTAGTTATGGCGATGTGTCCTTTTATGGACTACCGTAGCTCCTCCCCCACCTGTCGACTGTATCGATGCGTATTTGGGGGTGAATTCCGCGGGACTGCTGTGTACTCGGCCGGGCGGGGGCCACTGAATATATGGAGCGAGCGGCCCGGCCGAATCAGCATCACCCCCTGGTGTGGGAGCCCGAATAAATTTATTGGGTGGCTACGGGACGAGCCAGACGCTTTTCGTCATACAACAATGACGGAAAAATGGCCAATTGGTACTGTTCTACTTACAGAGGGGTAGGTAAATGATCCGCCTGCTAAGGAGAACAGTACCCCGATGTTTTAAGGTTTGAAACTGTAAAGACAAATCGAGAAAAAGCTGCTGTGCAAATTTTTGGGCCACTGGGCAAAGTTTTGGGCATTGAAATCTGCTGGACTAGCGAAAAATCGATTTTTTTTTTGCGCTGCCTGAGATAGCTAGCAGAAACCATTTGTGGAAATTCAGTCAGTGGAAGCGTCAAAAAATTTATTTTTGCCCTGGGGTACCTAGCAGAGGCTCTTTGCGGAAAATACGATCAGTAAAAGCTTTTAAAAAATCTAGTTTTGGGATCAGGGGATAGCTAGCAAAGACCATTTGCGGAAAACGCAGCCCGGTTTAATTTCATTAAAGGCTTAATTAAATAACTTTTTTTTCAGAAAGACTTCTTCGCCTCGGAACCGGAGCCCTCGATGCCGCTGGACAACGGCGTGATGTTCGTCAGCCGTGCCGACGGTCGTCCGACTGGAGATGCTTTTGTGCTGTTTGGAGAGGAGGAGGCCGGACAGAAGGCACTCAAGAAACACCGCCACACCATCGGCGCCCGCTACATCGAGCTGTTCAGGTCGACGACGGCTGAGGTTAACCAGGTGCGAGTTGTCGCTTGGATTAAGCTTGTCTCCGGCTTAGGTTTGGGCTTGGGCTTACGCTTAGGTTTAGACTTACAAAGCTTTGGCTTAGCTCTGGCTTAGACTTGGACCTAGGAGTTTCAGACTTAGCTTAGGCTTAAGTTTTGTAACATAAAAGGCAAGCGAGCAGCGATCATTTAGAAGCTCTCTAGGCCTACCGTAATTCGAAACCTTTTGCAACAGCCCGGCAAATTGGGGGTCCGCCCGATCCGTCAGCCCACACAAATCGGCTAGTAATAAAGGCTTGTGGCATGTGGGCAGGGGATAGTACAGCCACACTCTCCCTCAGCCAAAATCTCATCGATCCACACGCCCACGTAGCAAATTTTAGGCCTAAATTTAGCATTTTTGCTGGTTTTACGAATAGTTAGGTCAAAAATTAGGCCTTTCTGATCGAAAAAGGTGCTTTTGGGAGAAGCGGGGGAGAAGCCGACTTTTTCCTATGGATCCAGAACTGTCTTGTGAAGTAACTATCTTAATCGTATTTTGAAGAAATTTATTAAGCGGAAATGAAGCCCAAAAAAACCGCTGAGAAAACGTAGAAGAACTGTTTAAGGTTTTGAATTTAGGCCTAAAATCGAGATTTTTCATATTTTATCCATGTTCTAAAAATTTGTAGCATTTTAGTTAGGCTTAGGAATAGTAAAAACAGTTTAGAAACGCTTTCTCTATTTATATTAGTACAATCGGATCCTTGGGAAAAGTCCTCCCCCGATAGTGCACAAGAACCATTTGCTACCTATATAACCAGCTCTTCCCCGCCCCATTTACTCGTTTGATCCGGTGAGCTTCACATCTTCCTCCTCCACTTTCCCATCGCCCTCCGCCATTTTTCTCGGCACCCCATTCGTCGGGCGGGTCGGGAGGAAACCCAATTATGCAAATCATGGCCCGGGGCCCTCGGGCTCACCTCAGCCTCCCAGCTCTGCGCAGCCTACAGAATCCCTTAAAGTTTTCCCGCTACCTCCACTTAGTCTTTTGGCAGCTAAAACTCGGTAAGAGTTTACTTTACCCCCCCCCCCCCCCACCGCCGAAGGGTCTCAAAGTTGTCGGTATTTTCGCTTATTTTGTCGGGATTTTCGCAACGCCATTCGATAGAGCGTCGAAAAATATACTAAGAGTTTTAATTTGAGCCTACAATAATGTAAAATAAAAAAGTTATAACGAAAACCGTTCGGCTGGGGGGGGGGGGTAAAGTAAACCGTAGCCTAAAACTCTAATAATATAAATAATACGAAACTTGAGCACCATCGGGGGTCCCAACTTTTTCCTTATACTACCAGGGTTGAAAAACCGCTTCGCGGCTTTTCAACCCTGGCCCCGTCTAGGATTTATGAAAATTTGCATAATTCTTGCCGAAAACGATGACCAAAAAATAAAAACCACGCCCTCCCTTCCTTTTTATAAGCCATTTCCACTTCCGGCGTATGCTAATTTTTCCCTAACAAAGAGGGAAGCCAAGATTTTTACAAAAACCTAATTTTGATATCGAAAATAGCAATTTTTCAAAACTTTTATGTGTGTGCAGTCGATTCGGGACCCTTCTTTACCTATTCACGCTTCTCCCCTATCGAAAAAATGCTTTCCTGAGGCTGTAGGTGCGGAACATCCAAACGGAAGTGCATGCAAATATACACACACACACAGACACTATTTTTTTATATATAGTAGGATTGCGAAGCTATTTTGTGTTATTCTTACGCTTCACAGTTTTACAAATTTTTATAAAAACCCAAACATCCCCCACCCCCGATAATGCAAAAGCACCAAAATAATCTAACTCTTCCATTTCCAGGTTATGAAGCGCTCGGCGGAGATGTCTCCACCGGCCACGGGTACGCGACGCGACTGTGTCCGTCTACGCGGTCTCCCCTACGAAGCACGTGTCGAAGATGTTGTCCACTTCCTCGCCGACCACTCCCGCAACATCGTCTACCAGGGCGTGCACATGGTCTTCAATGCACAGGGTGAGGGCGAATCGGGTGGCTAAAGGGATTGGGAAGCCTGCAGATTTTGGCTTCTCAGCGCCTTTAGAGGATTAAAAGCTGTACAGAAATTGGGCTCTTTCGCATTATCGAGGGGAGCAGCTTCATCCGGTTTTCCAAGGGCGCAATTTTTCAAATATATTTAGCGAAAGTAGTCCTAAACTTTTTTGCTATCCCTAAATGTAAAAACTTTACAAATTGTGGTTAATAAATACAAAAAAACTCGACAAACTCCCCCCGGATAATGCCAAAGAACGTGCTTTAAACAAATTTATTTTTGTTACGTCTTCCAGGCTGTATCCTCAAGCCGTTCAGATGAAGGTATCTAGGCAACATTAAATGTGCTCACTTTTCCGGGACGATACTCTCATTCCCTCCACCCACCACTGTCTCTCTCTCTCTCTCTCTCTCTCCCTCTCTCCCTCTCTCTCTCACACATTCTCTCTGGGCTATAACCGGGTTGTGGAATTGTAGGGGGAATTCCCGGGATCGGGCTTTTGGTTTTTGTGTTGTTTTTGGGGGTGGTCGAGGGCTAGGATGGTTTTTAAAGGTACCAGCAAGTGTGGATTTTGGCTTGCGGGTCCCTTTATTTTTACACAACTGATTTTTTGTATTTCCAGGCCACCCCTCCGGCGAGTGCTTCATCCAGATGAACTCCGAGCAGGCGGCCGCCGCCTGCGCCACCCAGGCCCACAACAAGTTCATGACGGCTGGGCGCAAGAATCGCTACATTGAGGTGAGCTTGTTGAACTTGTTGAAAAAGTTGGCTTCAGTAGGCTTAGGTAGCCTTATTGAACTTGCCGAACTCGTTGAACTTGTTGAAAAAGTTAGCTTAGCTTGGACCTAGGCTTAGCCGAATTGAACTTGTTGAAGAGGTTGGCGTAGATCTAACTTAGCCTGACTCAATTTAACATGTTTTTACAATCCTTGCCTTTTACAGGTGTTCCAATGCTCCCCCGACGACATGCACCTGGTGATCAGCCCGCAGCAGCAGCCCCCAGCCACTGTTGCTCCATCTCTCGTGCTCCCCCAAGTGCAGCCTCGTCTTCCCTTCCCGCACACCGTACCATCTGCCATGCAGCTGCCGTTTGGTGGCATGTATTGGCCATATCCATCCCCTCCGGTCTCTCCGAATATGATGTTGGGTGGTGGTGGACAAGTGCTCGTCACCGGAATCACCCTCGGCATCAGCCCCCAGGAGATTGCCAACCAGTTCAGCACCGCCGAGAGTGTTGTTGAGGGAGTGCAGATGTTGAGGTGAGATTCTGCGGAGTTTTGGTACTTTTGCAATATCGGGGGTCCTAAAAACAGAAATTCAATTTTTTAATTTTTTAATAATGTTACTTGAATAATAACTAAGCATTTTAATCGGGTTTTTGATAACATTAAAATCCAAAAACTATCTAGGAAAACTTTGAAAGATCTCAAAAATTTTGAAATTTTGGCCGGAAAAGGTGTTATAGCGAACAAACGTACTTTTTTCAGGTGGCCAACAGCCACGACGACGGGTGAGGCACTGCTGAGGATGCGGTCGCTGACCGTTGCCGACGCGACGCCGCTGCTCTTCGACCCGGCGCAGTTCGGGCTGGCCGCACAGCAGGTCGCCCCGCTGTTTCCGCTCATCCACACATAAGGTATCGTTCTCGCTCTCTCACTCTCTCTCTCCCGCCGTTCTCCAAAAAATTATACAAAAATTACCTCTATTTCAGTACCTCTCCTCACCACGGCTCGTTGTCCACTACACTCCAGATGTGATGCGTTCCACCGATCGGGTCTCCCGGCCTCTAACCAGTACACAACAATCCAACACACCGCACACGACGATGCCCAATCCCCCTAAAAATGTTTCTTCTTTTTCACCCCCATTTCCACCCGTTTTCCCTCATTCAACCTGTTATTTGTTGTGTTGACGATGTGATAAACGCAAAAAGTATTTCGTGGTTTTCGCGGCTTTTTGGAATGGGGCCTTTTGAAGGCTCTACCTTCCTATTTGAAGCTTCATCCGAGTCCGCCAACGCCAACGCCCGTACCCTTCCGCCTGACAGCTTTCTGTTCCCTAAAAATCCTGAAAAAAACGATCCAGAAAAAACATTCCCAGAACGTAAAAATTTTTCTAACGTCTTCTCCACCCCTTTTTCTCTATATTTTACGATACGCGTGCCCTATAATGTATTATTTGGGCTTTTTTGGTTGTGAGAAAATCTGTGTTAGCTTTTTAACGATTTCCCCGATTTGCTGGCAAGACCTGGCAAAAATGTAGTGTCCCACCAAGTCCGGTTTTTAGTTTAAAAACCCTTCCCAACCACCCTTTTTCTCTGCTACATAATACCACTAAACCCAAGTGCATTTCCGCCCCCATTACAGTATAACACCCAATCGCGCAGATACGTAAACCCGAAAATCTGGTCGTCGCCCCCCGGAATAAAGCCTTTCTTCCAACACGTTTTTATATGCAAACCAAAATCGCATAGCAAAGCAATATACAGTCGAAATACCCGCAAAAACACAGAAGAAAACAATGATAATAGAAATAATACGGGGAGAGATTGGGGGGATGGCATCTTTTTACACGAAATTTAGGGATTGTGAGACATGGAGAAAATAGCGCAATTGAATGGAATCACAAAGCAACGCTGAAAAAGTACCTCTAAAAGCTCGAGTTTACAATGTAAACTTTATAATTTGCCATCTTCTTCCTCGTCCTCTTCGAGAAGCAGCGCTACCGTATCCGGGGTAGCTGGTGGCACACCGACGGTTAGTCAATCTTTCTTGGCCGTCAGGTAGGAGACGTCGAGGGCGTGAATCTTGAAATGGGCGCACAGCTGCTTCACCTAAATTGAGGGGTGGCGAGGATTGATTTCTCAAAAGTTTCTTTTTACACGTTTTTCCAGAATCGCGCTTCCAAAAATCTGCTTGCTATTTCTTGTAAAAAATGTTTTTCTATTGGTTTCCTAGTTTTCGAACGATCGAATCTCGGAAAAACATATTTTTCGAAAATCTGTCATTTAGAAAGTGATTTTAAAAAACATAACTTTCGAAAATATTTAGGAAATCAAACTCATAAAATTCAAAGCTAAAAATTGCTACCCACCACGCAAACGCCATAGTGCACGTGGGCCAGCACGATGATCAGACAAGAGACGCGCAGGATCTGAAAAAGGTGGATATGGGTGCAAATCAGTATGTAGCGATCGATACGAACTAGTTATCAATACAAACTCTAAAAGCGTACCGTCAACTCGTAGAGCGGTAGCCAAAAAGCGGCGATAATCGAAGCCAAATAGACAGCGAGTAGCGTGTTCCATGTATGGCATCGGGTGTTTGTCATTTGCGAGATGATAAGGCGGCACTGGAAAAGTAAAGAGATATAACTACTACATAGTTATATTAACGGGTGACTACATTCTTAATGCATAACGGTGACTTTTAGTCTCTATGGATTCCCTGTGAACTAGGGAATACATGACCGTAAAATCGTATTTGGCCAGAATCGAGTTACGCGAAAGCACAAAACCGAAAACCTCCGAAAATTACCCTACCGCGATATTGCTGAACACGGTGCCCATGGAGAAGAAGAACATTCGCGGGTCCTGATCAATGACGGCTCCAGGGGATCGAGCAGCCCAGTAGACGGACGAGACGAAGAGAACGATGCACGGGAACATCGGGGCCGCAGCCTCGTACAGAGATGACTAAAAAAATTATTTTATAACTTTACAAATTATCTACAAAGGTCGGCAAATAAATGCATTTTTTTAAACGCAAACGTCTTTTTTCATAAAATTTACAAATCTTATACCTGCTTGGCCGTCTTATCCACGGCATAGCTGTACCACATGTTGTAGCCGGACATGGCGAACGAGAGGCCGCAAGACACTGGAAAAACATTTGGTTTGAACATTTAAAACACACTTACGATAAAAGCCAACTTCAAAGACTTCAGCAAACGTCCAGCCGGGGATCACGTAGAATTTGTACCACTCGTAACCCACCCACCACGTCCACAGGTAGATCAGGGAAAGACCCTGAAAAACATCGATAAAAATGTTAATCATCATTAAAACAAGCCAATTGTGTTTTTCAGTTGAGAAAAAGGAAATTCAATAAAACAGCTTACATATTGACTGGCGTCATATCCCCAGGAGAGGAAAAGAATGCCGGTGTTGTACTTCTCCCAATGGGTGACGACAAACACCAGCTGGACGCTGATCAGCGTGAAAAGGAGACGAATGGCTGGGATACTGAAAAACATAGAGTATATTAAATATTTAAAATTTTACCTGAATTGGCCCTGGCCAAAGACGGAGAAGATGGTGATTGTGAAAGGGACGGTTGACCAGGAATCAAGGCCGTGATCGACTAATTTAGAATTTTTTGAAAGGCTACGGCAAAACTTACACAATTCGCCAGTTGGCCCTGAGGCGCCGATTCGTCTCGCCTGCTTTCCATCGGTGCCATCGAGCGTGTGGGCGGAAAAGGTGCAAATTGCGCAAAGGAGCCAGAACCTGAAAAAACAATACAATAAAGGGGCTGGAGTAATTCCAGCTGGGACAACTTTTTTATACTATTCCTATAGGTCAAAACGCTAAAAATGATGCAAACCTCTAAAAAATTGATTTTTCTACAAAAAATGCCAAATCCTCACCAAAAATAAAAAAATTTTTTCGCATTGTCCAAGTTTTCTATGTAATTTTTTCACGTTAAATGTAGCTACTCTTACTAAAAAGGCTATTAAATACAGGCTATAACTAGCTAGGGCACAATTACTTACCGTTATTATTAGGCACTATATGACGCCAGGATGAAAATTCGGTAAAACTAGAAATTGCAAAGAATTTTTATTATCTTCAAAAATAAAAACATTGTTTCTAAATTTTGTGATAATAAATTAAGTTTTTACGCACCAGGATGGTAGAGGATTCGTCGACCCAACGCTGCCTCGGCTCAAGTCGTAGTCTAGCACCGTCTCCAGCAAAAAGCACCCCATCACCAGCGACCAGCCGGACAACGTCAGCACGTTCGGCGCAATCCATCGTGGATAGAACTGGAAATACAGTTTTGTTATATAGAAAAAAAAGGGGAAAACTTTTACTATGTAAAAACATACGTTGACGAACCAATTCCAGAACGGGTGCGATATGTAGACGGCCAGCGGGCTGTTGTCGATACAGCTGTACTAAAAGGCGCAAAAATTTTCGCGATTCCTTCCAAATTTACCTTGTATGTGTCGAAGCCCTTTATCTCCGTCTTGGATAAGTATTCATGGTAGAACACCATGGTCCCCACCTATAAACCACAAATTCAATTCCTGGTTACGATTCGTGGAGGAACAAAGTGCGAAAAGAAATGGCGGACTACTGATAAGCGGGGGAAAGGAGGAGTGGTGGTGCGGGAATTTGAGCAAGGGCTTAATCGCCATACTTCAATCATCCGACCACCAAATCGGGCGCGAAAAGGAGTTGAACAGAAGGAATCACTTTTCAGGGACAAGACTCGTGTCCATAAACCGGACCGAGACGACCCCATTTACGCTCGAAAAAACCGCTCACTCTGCTGTAGCTTGATGCTATATCGCTAGTTATCGAACGAGAAGCCGTCTAATCGCCTAAACTAGGCGATTTTTCCTTAGCGGCGGTTAATTTTTAACTCTTACGATTTCCTGGTAAAACTTACAGCTTGAAGACACCGTTTGAAAGTTTTGAAGCTTGAAGACACTGGTAAATGATCAATTTAGGCTCGATAAAGTCCCCCCCCCCGCCCACCCGCTAAAGCAGCACCATAAAATCTACCTTACATTGGTTTTAATTCCTAAAATCAGTCAAAATTAAAAAAAAACCTTTTTTCAAGCTATCTATTAACCGGAAACGACTAAAAGTTTAACAATAGTACTTATTACTCTCGAACTTATACCGAATAAACGTTGACCCCGCCCGCTAACGAAACAGAACCTTAAAATCTATGGTACAACGCGCTGCTAGCCATAAGGCTCAAAAATTGGCACTCCCCACGAAGTGTCGCGATCGATTTGTGGCAGCCCAAATCAGCTGGCCACCCGCCCGCGCGCGCTGTAAACATTGCACTCTCAACACATCAAAGGCAACAATTGGGTTGCCCTCTGACCTCTCTTCTCAATCTCCACTCAAAAGCACAAAACATTTATTAAGTGAAGCACAGAAATGAGAATTTTCAGTAGGGAGATCGACTAGGTGTTAGAGAGAACAAAGCAACGGAGAAACGCACCAAGTGCCAAAACAGAATGTGTGCATCATAGGATTTGTGAATCACAAAAGGCGAGGGGAAACTAGAAATCATGAACACCCATATTGTGTACAGAACCCATAGAAAAATTACCGGTGCTTTTGCGTTATAGGGGGGTCATGTTAGTCCCGGAAATGCTTATTGGCGTAATACGAAGTATTTTGATACTGTTTTAAATAATTTTGAGCTCCTATCGGCCATTTCTGGTTGCAAAGTAGCTTTTTTTCTATTTTTAATACAATTTTGTAAAGGTTTTACGTTTAGGAATCGTAAAAAATCGCTTAGAAACATTTCCACTTTTCTATAGAAAAATTTGATCACAAAGAGAAAAATTGCCTCCACCCGCCCCGACAATGCAAAAGCACCACTTCACATTTTTTTCCGGAAAAGGCTTATTCAGCAGCGTCAACGGCTTGCCCGTGCGGAGCTTCATCGTCCTCACTGCTGCTGCTTATCTTGTCGCCGATAGCGTCGAATTCCTTGACATCCTTCTTATCGTCGACGGAAACAACTTCCCAGCGAATCGATTCCGCCTCCAGATCCGCCCGCAAAAGCCTCTTCAACTCCTGTTCCACCTCCGGCACATCCATAAACTTCTTCTTTTTCGTTTTCCGGAAGCGACGAACGCGTGCACTTTTCATCGGTGGGGTTAGCCCATGGGGATATTGATATTTTTTAAGTTCCTTTCTGACCAGCGATTCGGTGGAGGTGAATGCCGTCGCCGCCTGGTCGCTGGAAGTTTCCTGCGCTGATGCGACCATTATCTGCGAGATGTCGGCCACTTTGTAGGAGACCTTTTTGTCGAGCGTCTTTTGCACTTCAACGATACACGGCAGATCCTGGACGGTGGCCTGGACGATTTTGTCGCCAATTCGGACGTTGGCTTGTCGCATGTTGGAGTGGGTGAAGGAGACGGCAAGGTTGCTGCTGCTTTGTGGGTGGTCGAGGCACTTTTCAACCTGAAAATAAGAAAAATAAGGCGGCAAGATTCCTTCAGTTTTATTTCAGGAAATCCCTGTTGACATAATAGTAAGTCCTTGATAGTGTTTTTACTAAAATTTAACTACATTCTTACTATTAAACTGCTAAATACTAAATTCACACTACTAAATTTTCAAAGTTTTACGTTCAGGAATAAAACACGGCCTAGGCAGATTTCATCTCATTATATCAAAATATTTGCAAAATTTATGCCACACACCTCATCGCGAAGTTCATTTGGGACTCGGAGAACCATGTGTTGCTCCCATTCGTTCGTCTCATCGACTTTCGTCCTGGTTTTAGAGAGAATGCGAGCCGAGCCGGCTGACATCCTGAAATTGTGGAATTATAATTACATTATTAATATTATCAATAAAGTTAATTTAATAGATGAAAAAGGTATCGCGAGGGCGTTTTTTTACATTTGGAACGTGCGGGTCACCGGTGCATTAGTGTATCAAACGCGGCGGGCTGCGTGCGGAGTAGCGTCGCGTAGGCGCAAAATGCTGGCAGATCCGGACAATCCAACTTGATGTGTTGACTTTATTTAGCGAAAATTTGTTAAATTTGGAGGTTTTATTATACGGGGAACAAAAGGTAGCGCTATCGGGATTGGGCTTTACGTGACGATATAGACCAAGGCCAGCCTAGAAACGGCTAAAATAGCTTTAGGGACAGAGAAACCTTTCTTTGTTTAAGCTGATAACTATAACCTTCTAAGGACTAGGATACCGTCAGAAAAAAGTCAAAACGCTAAAACAAGGTTGAACAATACGTTTTGTGTGTTCAAAAGTGAACAATAGGATGTTTAAAAGTGAACACGATCCCCTTAGTGGCTTGAATATCGTTAAAAAAATTATAACTCTTTAGTGAGCATTAAAATACCCTTCTAGATTATTATCATAATTTTTAAACGATTTTTAGCTAGCCCTAGAAATTATCTTTTAGCGCTCCGCCAAAAATGGGCCTGGCCACCCGGCTGCTCTTACTACTGCTGGTCCGGGAATGCCACCAATTCTACGTCCCTGGGGTGGCGCCCGTCGAATTCAACATTCGTGATCTCATCGAAATGAAGGTTGGTCAAATATTAATATCAAATCATTTTGTTTTTAGGCCATAAAATTGACATCTACACGTACCGTGGTGCCATTGGAATACTACACGCTGCCATTTTGCCGCCCGCCCGGCGAGCTTCAATATAAAACGGAAAATATTGGAGAATTGCTGCGCGGAGATCGAATCGTCAACACCCCGCTTCAATTCAAAATGGGCCAGAACACGAGTTGTGCCTCGGCGTGCAATGAAAAGTCGGAAGTGAGCATCACCAAACAGGAGGCCAAGAAGTTGATGCAGCGAATCCACGAGGAGTATCATGTGCATTTGTGAGTTGTAGAAATGATAAAAAAAATAGTGGTTTTCCTTTGGTTATTGGAAACTCCTAAGAACACTATTGAAATATAATCCTCCTTATAGGCTTGTCGATAACCTGCCTGTATCGACAAAATTCGAATTCAACTCCGATAAGGGAGTTGAGACGATCTACGATGTTGGGTACGCGGTCGGGTTTGTGGACGAGAAAAGCGGAGATGTAAGTATGGGCAAAAAGCCCTAAAACAAGCAAATTTGAGGTGTATCTGAACAACCATCTCGACTTTGTGCTAAAGTATCACAAAGCCGAGGGGAAATATCGTGTTGTTGGGTTCGAGGTGACGCCGAGGAGTATTGGGAAGCTGGAATTTCAGGGAGAGGTGGGCGAAAATTGGTAAAATCACCCAAATAAAATATCTTTAGACTTGCACCGATAACCACAAGGGTCAGATGTACAAATTGAGCGAGCAGGACCAATCAATTCAGTGGGTTTTTGGTTTTTAAAAAGGTTTTCGATTCGATTCCTGGGACTGATTTTTTAAATTTTTGACTTTTCTAGATAATATATGGTTTAATTTGTCGGGTTTTTGTCTGATTTTGTTTTTGTTGTTTTCAAAGCTTGCATAAGTTTTTGTTAGGTTTTGATTCCTATATTATTATTTATAAAATCTAAGCTATAAGATATACTTTGTTTTATGCTCTATAATATTGAATAAACTTTCAGATGGTCATACGCCGTGCATTGGCAAGAATCGGACATTCCCTGGGCTTCACGTTGGGACGTTTTGCTATCGATCCGAAGCCAGGATATCCACTGGTTTTCCATTCTCAACTCGATCGTCATTGTCCTCGCGCTATCAGGTAAGTACAATAATATATTTATCAGTTTAGTTTAATAAAAGATCCTACCTTATATAATTTTGGCGTGTATCTTTGTGTGTGTGTGTGGATGTCAGGTTCGAGGCCCGATTTGAGGGCCTTCCCCTGGATAAAATGTCCTAATTCTTCGTCACTTGGGGTAATCGACTCTTCTGTTTCCGATGGCGTTCTCAGAACTTCGATAAAATACAAGTTTACAAAGTTAAAGCCGGTTTTATTCATTTTTGGGGGTAATTTGCATAATGTGAAAAAATCCAAATTTCCTCATTCTTGCGAGTTGCACGCGCGCGCGTGGTGGGGGGTTCCGAAGGACCCAATATACCGGAAAGTCAAATTTCTCATGCAAACGCACCATTCCAGCGCCCAAGGCCCGCGAAGCGGGTTTTGGGCGCTGGTTTACTACAATAATTTAATAAACTTAATAGTACAAGAAAATTTTGTTATGTATTTGATAAACTCGGACAGTTTTTCAATTTCAGGCTTCCTTTCCGTCAGTATCGTGCGCGCACTTCGCCGCGACATCAACCAGTATAACCGTTTCGACGAGGAGGTATGCTTTTAACGTAAAAAATTTAAATTCAAAATTAGTTTTTAAAGTATATAAAAGACATAATTTAATCCTCGGAATCCTTCTAGGAAGACGCGTTTGAAGAAACCGGCTGGAAACTTGTCCACGGCGATGTTTTCCGTCCACCAAGGCATCAGATGATTCTCGTCAACATGGTTGGCACTGGTATCCAACTCCTCGGAATGACGGGTGTCACTATTGGTATGTAAAGAAGGTGTAATGCGTAGTCGACTCAGTTTGCGCAACGTTTGGAATGCTATCACCGTCTTCTCGCGGGTCTTTGACCTCAGCGGCGTTGGTGTTGTACTGCTTGATGGGGTTGATCGCTGGCTATCACGCCGGGCGGTTGTACAAGACGATGAAGGGCAGGAATCCGATTCGATGCGCTGTACAGGTAGGTTCAAGATAGGCTCAAGCGTATCTGTTTCAGAATTTTGTCTGATTCTAAACTGGTATAATGACCATATTTCGGAAGTTATAAACGATTTTGAGCTTAGGAAATAGCTTGTTTAGCCATTTTCCCGTACGAAAACCGTTCACAACTTTCCAAATAACGGATTTTTTGCAATTCTGAGGCCAGATGCGTCATTAGCGTACCTCTGAACTCGAAATAGACCCAATTTTCAGACCGGTTTCCTGTTCCCGTCACTGATCCTGGGCGGAGGATTCATCATCAACTTCTTCTTGATCTCCAAGAATTCCTCAGGCGCTGTAAGTAAAACCGGAATCGACTAGCCGACAAATTACAGAGAATTTTCAGGAAATCAACACGGCTAAAAAACCAAATTTTAGGTGCCCTTCGGGACAATGATTGTCTTGCTGCTAATGTGGTTCGGTATCGACCTGCCGCTTGTTTTTATCGGCTTCTATTTCGGATATAGGAAACAAGTAAGTAATGGTCTATAAAAATTAGCGCTCTCTGAACGCCTTGAGAATGTTATCTTTTTTTCAGCCATACACGCATCCGGTGCGTACCAACCAGATCCCGCGCCAAGTTCCCGAGCAACTTTGGTACCTCCGCTCCCTTCCGGCCACCCTCCTCGGTGGTCTTCTACCGTTTGGGGCAATGTTCATCGAGATCTACTTCATTTTTGCGGTGGGTTTTGACAGAATTCACATAAGTAAGAAGATAAAACTCTATAATTGAAGGCAATCTGGGAGAACCACTTCTACTACCTGTTTGGCTTCCTGACGATCGTCTCACTCATTCTGACCATCACCACGTCTCAGATCTCTGTTGTATCTACATATTTCCAACTATGTTCAGAGGCAAGTAACGCTGTGGTAATCGTCTGTTATGCGGGGTAGTTAAGTTTTTCGATGCTATATCGAATGGGGCCGAAAACCCGTAAAAATAGCGAAAATACAGTAGGTCACACCTGGAAAAGTCCCCTCGCATAAAAGAACAATATCAACGTTACAAATAAACCAAAGTAATAAAAAACATTAATTGACTTGGTTATGTCCATTTTAATCCAAATCAATTAAAATTGGTAATTCGTTATTTTAGAACTATCGCTGGTGGTGGCGCTCGTTCTACGTGAGTGGAGGGTCGGCTCTATATGGTAGGACGGCGCCGACAAGCTTTCAAGCAAACTTTTTTAGTCATGTTCTACTCGTTCTTCTACTATTACGCGAAGCTGAACATTGTCGGCTTCGTGCCGATGGTGCTCTACTTCAGTTACAGGTCTTTACGAAAAAGAGCTCGACCACGAGTTGGCCAGATTATTTCGCACATTTGGACGTAAAAAAAGCGTGATATGGCTTCCCGCTATATTTTTCGCGTCGTGACACGCAACGGACCGACCTTTAGAGAACCTTGATATTAAAGAAATCGATACTTATACCCTTAAAAAGCCCCATTTTGCAGTTTCCTGATCGCAGTGACGGTGTGGTTCCTGACCGGGACGATCGGCTTCTACGCCAGCTACTATTTCCTCTGCAAAATCTATGGCCAGATAAAGATCGATTAGAAGGGAAAAGGGGCAATTTACGATTCTCGCCACCTGTGATACCACTGTATTAAATATAGGACGGGTAGGCCAGCACAACCGAAAAATATATTCAAAGCTACCGAATATATTAGGGCGCTCGCTTGCCCGTCCGATCGTACATTTCTCATTCCTTTCCCCCCGCTTATTTCCATTTTTTACGTTAGTCGGTCTACATATCCATCCTGTATACATATACCTTCCCGTTTTCATAGCGTAATCGATTACGCCATGTTTTTATTGTTCGTCTTCCTTTTTTACTTGTTCACACCTTATGGGTTTTCGCTGGTTTTCGTGAAATAAAACATTTTATCATACTTGTCTATCGACTGGAGTTTCGTTATTTTTGATGGCATCCCGAAGCGGGTAGTCAAGTTTGAATTGTATTAAAGGGACGGGCAAGGAATTTTCTATAGCTTTTCGGCCATGAATTCCCTAAAAATCCTCCAATTTTCTATAGTAGTTTTCTTCAAAAATTAACCTAAGCCCAAAAATAAGCACACGCGTTTTTTTTTGATTAATATGAGCTCGAGCTAATGGCTCAATCTACAAATTGCAATACTGGTTCTAAAGCTGATTTCAGCCAATGAAACGCTTGCAACCGAGATTTTGAGAATATTTCTGTAAAAATGGACACCGAAAAGCCGCTGGGCGTTTTGAGAGCAAGGTAAATTTAAATTTTGATATAATTCGTCTGGAAAGACTTTAGAAAATTGATAATAGCCTTTCGTAATTAATCTAGCTTGTGGTCGAAAAACATAAAAAAAAACTAGGCACACAAATGGACTAAATTCCAGGTTTCTGCTGCTGGTTGGCGGAACTTTCGGGTGGCATCGCCTGTATTTACGCCAAGTCCCCGAGGCGTTCATCTATTTTTCGACTTTTGGTAAGAATTCTGGGTTTTTGCGTACGTTTGATACGTCGATATACCTTTTTGCGTCTCTAATTTTTATCTTTTTAGGCGTCTTTCTGCTCGGGCTTTTTTACGACAGTTTCTACATCAATTCCGAGGTCCGTGAGTATAATGAGCGGATTGAGGGACGGCAAAATGAGGAGAAGGCCAAGTATGTCTAGATTTACTTGTATTTTCTGAATTTTTAGACTTGCCAAGCAGCCCAACGTCAGCGAGCACGCCCCTTTCTCGTTGACCCGAAATTTGTACGCAATTCTATACGGTAATCCTTGAGTTACGGTGGAAAAAGTGCTATTCAGGTTGCTACCTGGGTCTTTTCACCTGGCTGGCCGGGAATATATCATTTGGCGGAACGCTGGCAGATAATTTTCCACTTTTGATAGCTGTGGCTGGAGCGATAAGTACAGGCTTGTCTTATTTTCTTTTTTGCGGGTTTATAGATGTTTTTGCTGGAAAAATTCGATTTTTAGGGGTATTTCTGATCGGAAATAGCGGCCGGATGACGATGAAAGCCGCCCAGATCTGGATCTCAACTTTTACACTATTGGCGATTACGGTGGGACGGTCGTATTTTAGAAAGTAAAGAAATTGCAGGCGCGTCTGGCCGAGTCGAGCCCGGCTCGATCCATTTTCTTCTCGGCGATCACCGGCACACTGGTGGGGAATAGAGGGATCAAACGGTTGAGCCCCAGGGATCGCCCTTATTCGTATAAGCATTATGTGGTGAGTTTCGGGCATGAAAAAAGAGGGGTGAAGCTGGCCGATCTTTGCTGTTTGGTAGTTTCTATGCGGTTCAAATCCGTAATTTCAGTTCTGGTGCTCCCTGTGGTTATTTTGCCTGTGTCTTCTCGGGACCGGGGCTTGCCGGCAATTGCTGGAGAAGCGCGTGTCATTCCATTCAAATGAGGCACGGGTCTCTTCTACGCTCGCTACGTTACTTTACGATCGGTGAGTGATTAAGCGTACGCCGTTATAAAAGGAAGCATTTCCACGTAAAAACACATTTTTAGGCCTAAAATGGCAAAAATTTCCAAAATACCCCAATAACCCCAGCTAGCTTGTTTAACCCTTGGTCACCCACTTTCACAGTCCGTTCATCCACTCGCGTGCGAATGTGTTGTGTATCTCACTGCTCTACCTCACCGACCGCGAGGAGGTCGACAATCTGAAGAACAATCGCCTCCAAATTTATGGAAATGATTGGCACGTCATTCTGGCCGTCCACAGCCTTTGTCTCCATGCAGATGGCCCCTGGCAACCGTGTGTCAAATTCTTTGCGTGATTGCTGTGTCTTTGTCCCTTTAGGGTCCTGGAGCCATGGTTTTACACGGTGGAAGAGGAGGAAGAGGATGAGCATGAGCATGAGGATGAGGACGAGGAATAGACTCCTGGGAGATCAACTTCGACAGGGATTTGAGGATTTTAATAAAGCACTAACCTACCCCTTTGTTTTGCTTGCTGTGAAGTGTTTTGCACGATAACCACATCTTAAATTCCGTTGTTAGCAAATCTATGCACAATTAATTGGGTCATAACAACACGAAAAAACAGAAAAATGACATTTTAAAGCTTTTTAAATTTCTAGAAAAGGCTAATTTCTTACGGAAAACTCTTTATTTTGCTTGCCGTCAAGTGTGCATGTTAACCATATGTTTAATAAAGCTTTTGGAGCAATGACTCCGGAATTAAAGGAATATAATGAAGTGTAACTACAATAAATGAAACTTAATTTGTGTCTTACGAGACGGCAAATTTATTTTTTACAGGGCTAAACGATCTTAAATGAATTCTGATACAAAAAGACCACACTAGTAAGCATGAAAGTATAGATTTTTAAGCTAGGTCCCTATTTAAAAAAATTGCTACCTTTTTCAGCTATAAAACCCCGCTAAAAGTCTACAAGCTTTTCGAGCTGCCAGACGTGAAGGTCGATTTCGAGAAGAACCGGCGAAAACCTGGAAAATCAAGCGATCAGGTGCGTTGCTAACTGATTGTGGACTTGCTTGTGGGGCAAATGGCCCTGGTTCGAGTCCCAGTCCCATGGAACTTTTTGCTTTTTGCAAAAATGTGTAGAAAACTCTGAATTTTAGCCGTGGAGCTGGCTGATGGACGTCTCTAGCCCGCCATGGACGGATGAAGCCGTCGCCTTCACTCTGGATCTTTTGAAAGGAGAGGCACGTGCGAGAAAGGTGGGATTGGCTGATTTTTCTCCTTGGGAAAACTTAAATTTGAATGGTTTTTAATTTAGGGTAAACTGGTGCACGAACCCCTGAAATGGGCAGCCTGGAGACTGTACTTGAGGTGGACGATGAAGCTCGATTCTCGGGCCTCGGATGCCGATTATCAGATAGCGTGTGGAGCATGGAGGAAAAAGAATACGGGAAAAGTTGAAGGGAAGAAGATGTATGATGTGGTGAGTGGGGGAGAGGTAGAGCAGAGAGAATTTGGGAAAACGGAGGGCAGTAAGGTAGCATAGACCATTTGGGGAAAAATACAGTAACGGGAAAATCTTTTGCGCACTGTGTATCTAGCAGAGACCATTAGGGGAATCGAAACCCCTCCAAAGATAGCGATATTTAGACCCAAATCGTGAGCGTGAGGCGTGCCTGCGAGGTCGTTACTTCCTAATTGTACTTTTTGTATAAAATTTCTACTTTAACTGATCTCATTTTTGGTTTGTGATCTCCAAAATTATCGTTTTTTCATCGTCGCCAAAAAGCTCATTTTCCCTCTACTGTAATATATTGTCTATAGTCTCGGGTTTTTTGTATATTGATTTATTTCATTATTTCGTTATTTATTCCGATAAACGACTAGACGACACAACAATTGACGTGAGCGGAAACGTACGAATTTTTGAAGGAAAACTCATTTTCGAGGCTTGGGGTGTGTGAATCAGCAGCGGCGACAAGCGGGTTTTTTGAGGAGGAATCTGCCGTTGTATACTGCCATATTTCCCAAATCCTAGCCGCTAAAGGGATACTATGCTACGCAGGGTAAGCGCATTAAGGAGAGGTCTAAAAATCATTGATTCAAGACGGATGCACGGAAATCGAGGCGTCGCGTCAGGAGCGTGTCGACAAGGTGTTACGATAGTAGGTTGTTAACTGCTGGTGGTATTATTTAAAATGGGTCGTCCAATCCTAAGCCTAAGCCTAAGCCTAGGCCTAAGCCTAACAAGGAAACCTCCCCAGCTCGAAGTTGGACTTCGATTAGCCATATAGCCTATCTGATGCAGTTTTTCACGCTGATAACGATACCGATATTTATTTTTGCCGAGCGCCACAGGAACATTGCTAAAAATCGATTTAAAGTTTTGTCATGGGGGCAGCCCCGCCTCAAAGCCCCTCCCCACGGGGAAGGATCCATCGGCGGCGTGGTGTAGTCGGCAAGTACTTGGCCTACCAATCCAGAGGTCGTTAGTTCGAGTCTTGCCGCTGATGACTTTTTTGCTTTTTGCTTCAAAAGTGCTTTGAAGGTCCTACAAGTCATCAAGAAAAATATTTTTAAGTTTTTTTTTGCACATTTGGTCGCTAATTCAGGTAGTTATGGCTACAACGAACCACAGGTCTCGATACGATCCTCATGAATTTTATGACCTCAAAACGCTTACCTTGGTGCAGAAATGAAGCTTGACATAAGATGTAAAAAAAACCTTAAAGACAGAACCTAGTATTTCCTTCTCCTTTTTTTCAAAAAGTTTTCAAAAGAGTGGCTGGTGCATTAAATAGTTGGTGATCCACCGATAATTCCAAATGTCTTCGGCTGAAAAACAGCCTTCCCGAGAAATCGAATCGAGCAACCTGAATTGGTGACCAAAAGTTCAAAAAAACTTAAAACCATACCAGGGTTGAAAAGCCGCTTCGCGACTTTTCAACCCTGGCCCCGCCCAACCCCATAACATTCTTCACTCTGCATACGTCTCTCGAATTCCCTGCATTGAAAACATGAAAAACCCCACTCCCTCGCCTTATATATAGGCTACCGTCACTTCCGGAGTATGCTAATTTTTCCTAACAAAGAGAGCGGCCGATTTGTCAACAAAAACTTAATTTTAATGACGAAAATAGCAGAATCTGCAACATTTGATATGCGTGCAGTCATCCCAGAGCCATTACGCACCTAATGACGTATCATACGTCGCTTAATACCCTTCCCTTCTTGAGATATCTTCCGGACAGACAGACGGAAGTGGATGCAAAGTGGCACACACACACAAACACACACACAGACACTATTTTTTTATATATAGTAGGATAGGATTTCTTGATGACTTTTAGGACCTTCACAGCACTTTTGAAGCAAAAAGCAAAAAAGTCGTCAGCGGCAAGACTCGAACTAACGACCTCTAGATTGGTAGGCCAAGTACTTGCCGACTACACCACGCCGCCGATGGATCCTTCCCCGTGGGGAGGGGCTTTGAGGCGGGGCTGCCCCCATGACAAAACTTTAAATCGATTTTTAGCAATGTTCCTGTGGCGCTCGGCAAAAATAAATATCGGTATCGTTATCAGCGTGAAAAACTGCATCAGATAGGCTATATGGCTAATCGAAGTCCAACTTCGAGCTGGGGAGGTTTCCTTGTAAGCCTAAGCCTAAGCCTAAGCCTAAGCCTAAGCCTAAGCCTAAGCCTAAGCCTAAGCCTAAGCCTAAGCCTAAGCCTAAGCCTAAGCCTAAGCCTAAGCCTAAGCCTAAGCCTAAGCCTAAGCCTAAGCCTAAGCCTAAGGGGAATCGTTGGCCCATTCAAGGGAAAATCTGAGCGACCCCCTCCACACTCGTGGGCCAGATGGGGTGCGCGTGGGGAGCACGTAGAGTGCATGCAAAATAAGGTTATTGAAACACCCACCGGCGGGACTTTTATAGGACAATTTAAAAAGTTTCAAAAGTTATTCAAATTTTTTTGTTTTTTTTACGTTTTAAATGTTTTGATTTTTGTAGGATATGTATACTTCGAAGCGGCCGAGATGCGACAAGAAAGAGGGAAACTCCAGGTAATCTCTTAAATCAAATAGAAAATCAAATAGATTTTCTTTTGGCTACCCGTTTTCGTACAACTGTCTAGAAGACTTTGTCTAGACGTACAACTTCGACCAAAGAGTAGACTCGAATGTGGCTGTCTGGACCTAGCGGGCGAAGGGGTCGATTTTGGCGCTTCCTGATCCCTTGAACCGCGAAAAACCCCTGATAACTGGACTCTCGACTCCAGCCATGTTACAAAGGCCATTTTTTGGGGGTTGAGGAACCAGTATACCTCTCTCTCTCTCTCTCTCTCTCTCTCTCTCTCTCTCTCTCTCGCTCTCTCCCTCTCCCTTGCTCTCTCTTCCATGATTTTTCTGGTATCCAACTGTTTCGTGGCGGGACCCGGGAGCGATCTATCTATCCACTGGGCCTCTAGGTGGTGGTAAGCCCTCTCTGCCTCTGGGCCCCATCGATCAGCCGTTAGGGCCCAGGGCAGGCAGATCTCACACAATCACAAGAGAAAGTCTCCTTCCCCATTCACGACGGCTAAACTACATTCCATTTGACGCGCTGTCGATTGTTTCCTGGTTTATCGATTTTTCGCTAGTTGTTCGCTTTAAAGCGAGTGTTACAATAGTGTTCGACTGTTTATAGGCTAATTTCGGGCAATACTCCTTTTTACTTTCTATTTTGGACTACGGTAGCCATATATTTTGGCCTTCACAACCCCTTGAAAACGTGCAAATGGAACGAAATAGTACGAAAAATTCCAATTTATGCTTGAAGATCGGGGTTTTTGGCTCGCATTTTTATTTTAAACGGAGATAGCAAGGTAAAAAGTCTGCCTTCGACGGCAAACTAGCAGAGACCCACCGGGAATTCGCTTACGAGGGCTATTCCGCATTCGAAACCGGCAAATATGACTTTTTAAAGACTTGAAGGAGCTGGTGATCTTAGTCGATTGGTAGTGGGCTGGCCTGCCGGGCATAAGATCCAAGTTCGATCCCCGCCCGGGCAATTTTTTTGCTTTTTGGGTAGGGGGTTTTTCGCAATGGTCCTTGAAGTTCTACAAAATCTGTGGGTTGAGAGTGAGGTTGAGTCAGAGTTCTGTTCATTTTTTTGGACCCCCTGTCTGTCTGTCAATCGTTCAGCCGCCTTCCAGGGTCGTGCTTTTTGGGCCTTTGCTCCTCTAGCTTCTCATTCTCAAGCTGGTACTCCTCTGCTTGCTCAAGCTTCTCTCTCGAGCTCCTCCTCCCTCTCCCCTCCTCAATACGGGGGGAGTGTGGAGGTGGATGAGCCCCACACGACACACCTCTTTACACAGCACTCCCCATGGGCCCCCGGAGGGGATCTTTCTCGAAACAGCAGGCGAGAGAAAGAGAGACGCAATAGACAGACAGACAAACAGACAGACACCCATCCAATCTCCATGCATTGGGTGGAGCCGCAGCTCTGTACCTCAACCTCCCCGCCCTCCTTCACCTCGTCGTGATCATCTACCACTGTCGGGGCGATCGATATTCAAATATTGGTTCCGAATTTTGTCTACAGCCAATCTATAGCCATCGGACTGCCTTCATAGTCCCTTTAAAGCGAGATTGTTTGGGAAATAGAAGGGCTGGGCAGGCTATTAGAGATCCTTTCGGAAATTCGAAATTCCTTCATAGTCCCTTTAAAACAGTCTAATACCTCACAAAGCTTTTTAATTAGCCGTATTCTCGACGAGCAGCCTAGCAGAAGCTCTTAAGGAAGCGTCTTCAGCCAGACAAATTCTCTTCAGAGCACCTTCAAAAAGGCCTCGTACCTTAAAAAGTATCGTTCGGGTTTTTCCGTGTGTTTATAACTCTGATACGCCAGCAGAGAGCCTTTGGGAATTATTTCTGACATCATCCCTGATAAAAAGGATTTTCAAAATGAGGCGCGCTTTGGCAAAATGGTAGTGAGCTTGCCTTCCGGCCGCAGAATCCGGGTTCGAGTCCCACCCACAAGGAGCCTTTTGCTTTTCCGCCTCCAGACGAGGTGATAATTGGGAGGGCGGATAGTGGGGAGTCGAGGGGGGAGGGCGGATATTTGTGCACTGGAAGGGCTGATGATAGGGGAAAAGCCGGAGAAGTGGGGCGAAGAATCTTTCACACTGAAATGACTGTACTCTGTATCTCTAGCCCTCTCTATCTATCTCTCTCTCACTCTCTCTCTCTCTCTCTGGCGGCTCGCCTGAACCACCATGTGATAGAATCATGGATTTTTTAGAGGTTGCTAATGGATGGGCCAGACTGTTTGGGAAGATTTTTGGCGCTTGTTTAGCTTCGGAAAAGATTTTTGTTGCTTTCTCTCTCGCTCTCACGCAAGATTCTGCTCTCTTCCTATCTCTCGCCATTTGGCTCTCTCGATTTACCTCCCTCCTTATGTTTTCTCGCTTTTCCTCGCTCAGTATATCTCGCTGTCTCTCTTTCCATCTCCTGCTCCTCTCTATCTCTCCGTCTATCAATCTCTCTCCTTCTCTCTCCCTCTCTCATTATTTTTCATTCTCGGTCTCGCTGCTTCCTCAATAATTCCTGCTAGCCTCCCCACCCGTTCGCCTAGGCTTAAAGTACGCTTTTCCCCGGTGAAGACTTGAGAGGTGGGAATGGAACGGTTATCCCCTATCCATTCCATCCATCTATCCCCCCTTTCCTATCTATCGATCTATTGCAATGGGACCCAAACCCACAAAAAAACAGAGGGCCCAGCTAGGCCCCCCCACCACTCGAACATCGTAGATCTCCCTGGCCCTGCTCGCCCCTTCCCCCCTTCAACCGTTCCAACCTAGCACCATAGGGAGTTGCTGCTGATTTTGCATTTATACGGACGGTCGAATGCAGAAATCGACCCCTATAATGGACTAGATCTCGACAGTCGACAGTCCACTATGGCTGAACAGATTTAGCCAAAACTCGATTAGAAACTCGAGATTTCTAAATAAGCTTTCCGTATTTTTCGCTGCGTTTTGAAACACTAAAGGGACAGGAAGCGTGAAAATCGAACCTTTAAAGCACTGGTTTCGAAAATTCGCATTCACCCGGTCTCGACAGCTATCTTTTTCGATTCATGCGCGCGCTTTTAAAATCAAAACAAACCTGCCGGAAAGTGTAAATTGGAGTGATTCGTAGCTGTCAAGATCTAGTCAAGAAAAAATCCAACCGGCCTCTTCACAGATCCTTTAAGAGTGAAAATTACCTTGCAAAAACTTTTCTACTAGATCAGAAAATTGTCGGCCCTAAACTTTCAACCAGTTTTGTCGTCTAAAAAGAATTTTGGCTAGTGATAACGCCATTTTCCTGTCTTCTGGCCCCTTTTTTTGTCAATAAAATCATAATTCAAAATCGTCACAATTTTGCTGACATTGCGTGATTTGATCTTTGCCGCATTTCGTGATTTTATTGATCTTTGATTTGATTAGACCATTTCTAAAACTCGATTTTTCAGTGGGCGGCGCGTGCTCCACAACAAGCATCGGGAGTAGAGGCATACAGGTACCGTACGATCGTAGAAGTCGTAGAAGAATTCTATTCCGTAGTTCTGACTGTCTTCTCGGGTTTTATAGCCAGAAAGCTAAGAAATTTGTCGTCTAGCCGTTTAGCTTATCGGTAGTGCTCGCGTTTGCCAGGCGGAAAGCCCGGTTCGACCCTCGCTGCGTCAAAATGTTTGCTTTTTTGACGTTTTTATAGAATACGTTAAACTAAATTGTGTTCAGGATGTCGCTGTACAAATCGACATCGATGGCCGTGGTCGGCGGGGCCACCACTTTCACGTCGGCCGTCAACTCGTTGAACATCTCCGATCTCGGGTCGCTCACCCGTCTCGAGGTTTGTAGTTTTACAATTATTCTCATGCCTTTAATGTATTAGTATGTTTTAAATTTTTTTTAAATATTTGTATTACGACATGTAAATTGTGAATTTAGCCTTTTCCATCTGACTTGAATCAATTTCAGATTTTTCAAGGCTATGGGGCCAACTAGCAGAGACTTTTCGGAATAAAGCCGTAACCGTATCCTCGTAGCGTATCGTAGCGTTCAGGGTATTTATTCGTAGTTTATAACAACTGTAATTTTTAAAATTTAACCAGGGTTGAAAAGCCGCTTCGCGACTTTTCAACCTTCTCGGACCCCATACTATTCTACCCTTTGCATAATTGTCCTCGATTCAGAAGACACAAAAAAAATGAAAAACAACGCTTTCTGCCTATTTATATAGGCGACCGCCCACTTCCGGTCTATGCTAATTATTCCTAACGAAGAGGTTTTTACAAAAATCTAAATTTAATAGCGAAAATAGCTAATTTTTAAAAATCTGATATGTCTGCAGGGATCCCTAGACCATTACGCACCTAATGACGTATCATACGTAGCTTATCAACCCTCGCCTCTTGAGATATCCTCCGGACAGACAGACGGAAGTGGATGCAAAGTGGCACACACACACAGACACTATTTTTTATATATAGTAGGATCTATTAATCTCTTGGTCTTTTTCGCTGCCAATATGGCGAACTGGCAGTGAATCCTCCGGAATTGGACTAAACTATCGGAATCTCACCTTGACGTATTTTTACAAAATTTTTGACACCTTAGAACCACGCTACGTCTCTTGGTAACGTGTTAGCTTCAGATCCACAACTCGAGTTCGACCCCTGCCCGCGGCAAACTTCTTGATTTTTGTTTTTGGGCAAAAATTGTGACGGGCTAATGGGTAGACGCTTTTGTCGACCCAACCTTTAGAATAGAACAAGCTAGAGCCGGTCATATTTTTGGGGTTGAGTTGGGGGTTCTCTCTCTCGGGGCCACACCACTGGAGCTTCTTCTCGAGTTGTCCGGCAAATAGAGCGAGAGAGAGAGAGGGAGAGAGAGAGATAGAGAGAGAGAGAGTGGTGGGTGAGATATACCGACCATACACCCCACAACTCTTCACAAACATTTTAGAGGGGTAGGGGAACACATTAAAGTACAAATTGGGAAGGTTGCAATCTGTAAGCTATCTAGAAATGTAAAAATGGCTTATAAAGGTATGAAAAAAAGCATTTTTAAGCTACTTCTCAAAATTCCCGTTTGAAGGGTTTTCCCTTTAGGCAGGGTAGGTCGGTAGAGCTGCTGTCTGCAAATCCGAGATTGAAGGGTTCGAATCCTGGTTGCGACAAATCTTATGCTTTTTGTTAAGACTCAGAAGTATTTTGCAAAATCCGCTCAAAACTCTTAAAATTCACCAAGACACCCTGCAAAAATCCCCAGATTTGCCATGTAAACAGGGATCAACCTGTACTCTACCCCCGGTGCCGCCCTCAAATCAAATAATGAGGCTGGAGAATGGATCCGTAGCCCTCTCTCTCTCTCTCTCTCTCACGCCTAGCTCTACTCTAATAAACTATCCAAGCCCTCAAAGCCTATCCTGGCCATTTTCTAAGAAGTACAATCGATACCTATTAGCGAGCGAGATTTCGATCGATAAATTCAAACGCTACGAGCCGATACTATACGAACGCTAATCCCTATTGATCCCAAAAGTCTGAAACTTTACTATAATCGGATCGATTATATACAAAAGCCCCGTCATCATGCCCAGATATTGGGGCGATGAACCGCCGACTATTTTTGGGATGAAGCGCCTGTTAGATGATGCTAATGTATGCACAATTTCGCGCAAATTCCGGATCTCGCTTTAGAATGATTTAATAGCTTTTCATTAGAAAGTTATGGGAACTTTTACAACGCATTTTCAAAAAATTAAAATAGCCTTTAATTGCCGATAACTTTTGCATTACCGATTTTATGATAATTTTAAGACCAGATTGGAATCAGCGCAAAATTTTGGATGAGATGAACTTTTAAAAATTCCGCTTCACTTCGTAATCGCGCTCTTTCGGACAAGCTAAAATTGTTAGATTTCTAATTTTTAGATCGCTATAACTTTTTAATGATCGTTTCCATGCAAATTTTAAGACCAGATTCGGAATCGGCACAAAATTCTGCACCAGACTAGCTATTCAAAGTTACTCTACCCTCCCTAATTCACCGTTTTCAGGACAAGATTCGTCTGCTGCAGGAGGACTTGGAGACGGAGAGGGAACTCCGCAACAGGGTACGTTTTTTACCGTTGTTTCTTTCGAGGGATGGGGCAGCTAGCAGAGAGCATTTGTCGGGTCCGATAAATCCATTTAAATTCCAGATCGAACGCGAGCGCGCCGATCTGTCTGTGCAACTTATTGCTCTGACCGATCGTCTTGAGGATGCTGAGGGAACCACCGATCAGCAGGTTTGTTGAATTACATAACCAATAGTTAAATCAGAAAGATTTTGATAACGTAATCGGTTATGCGGTACCTATTTCGGGCCTAATCTATAAAATTGTAGCGAATCTCGTAGAATAATTGAGATTTCGGGGTGTTTCCATGTCCTAATCGGTAAAAACATAGCTAGCTACTATACTATACTAGCCTATTTTGATTGAGTAATCTAGAAAAGTGGACGAACGTTGCACGTAAGGGGTTAAACCGTAGCGATTTTCTTCGCGGAGTCGTTAGATTGTGACGATTTTCATAGCGTAACCATTTTGGGACGTAACTGGTACTACGTTTGATTTCTGTAGTGTAATTATTAAAACGTTGTGATTTTAGGGAAACGGGCACCCCCCCGGGGGGAGGGGAGTGGTGGAATAAAAAAATTTTTTTTTTGGAAAGCGGTAAGCGTCACGATTTTAAGTGCGTAATCAGTTGATGTAGCCCGTAATCGGTACTACCCCGTGCTTTTTAGGTTTCCACCTTTGTGAATCCCTTTAAAACTAGTCCGCCTTCAGATCGAGTCGAACCGCAAGCGTGAGCATGAGTTGGGCAAACTGCGCAAGCTGCTCGACGAGGCCCAGGTGGAGAGCGAGGATGCCATGTCTGTGCTCAGGTCGGTAAACTGTCCTGCTCCCTTTAAAGCCCGGGTTTTTAGGAAGAAGCACGCAGATGCCTGCCAGGACTACCAGGACCAGAATGAGCAGCTCCAGAAGAAGAACGGTACGTCAGATTTTTTGTTTTTTTTTCATAGCGTGATGGGTTACCCTTTGATGATTTCGTAGCGTAATGGATTAAATGTAGCTTTTTCAACACATAATATGTTAAACCTTTTTTAAGCTTAATCGGCAAGCACTTCATATCGTAATCGGAAAACGAGCGGAATTTAGTGTTAAACAAGTTTCGAAATTTTTCAAGACAACCTAGCAGTGATCCTTTGCGGAAACCGCAATATTTTTCTAGGCAAACTCGACCGCGAGCGCCAAAAGCTGCAACACGAAGTGATCGAGCTGACCTCGTCGATCGATATCCTCCAGAAGGATAAGGTAGATGAACACTTTAATCAGTTACGCGTCTATCTTTAGCACATGGCCGAGAAGGCAGCCGAGAACTTTGAGCGCCAGTCGATCGAGTACCGCAACAAGTGCGAGGATTTGGGAAAAGCCCTTGATGACGCCAACCAGCAGCGTCAGCGTCTCCAGAACGAGAACAACGACTTGTTGAAGGAGGTCAGCTGTTGTTGATCATCATCCACTCTCTATTTAGATTCACGACCAAAAGGTGCAGCTCGACAACCTGCAGCACGTCAAATACACCCTCGCCCAACAGCTCGAGGAGGCTCGCCGTCGTCTTGAGGATGCTGAGAGGGTAAGTCCAGGTTTTAAAGGGAGTGGGACAGAGTGGAGAGGATCAACCAGCGCCCATGGCTATCTACTTCGACATGTTCAGGCATATCAAAGGGATGGCAGCATCATTTTGCACCATGAACTGAGCCACGTTTGCTAGACGTTCAGTGGATTTTGGCGGGATGGTGCAGTGTATTTCTAGCAACGGTTTCTAGACGTTCACTGTGTTTATAAATGGAGATGACGATTGACGATAGACTTCAAGACGTTCAATCGATAGCAACGATTCCTAGGCGTTTAGTGGGCTTTAAAGGGACAGTGACACCAGGAGCGGCTACAGTAACCGTGTCTAGCCATTAATGCATAGATCGCGTTCCTACATCCATATCGATGGCCTTAAATCGTGGTATCTTTTCGCACCGTGCTCTTGCTCCCCAATCAATCGGCTCAATCAGGTGCCTTTGTGGAGGGTTGTTTGGTGTGTGTGTGTGCATGGATGGGCCATCCTCCCCATCTTTTCGAGGTTAGGGCCCCCTGAGGGGGATTGTGAGAAGAAAGGGAGAGCAGGAGCTGTGTAACAAGCCCCGCCACCCCGTCCCCTCCCTCCATCCACATCCACCCCATACCAACAGCTTTTCCCCCAAAACCGGCCCCAAAAAATGGGCCCCTCAAATGCCAATGCTGCTGAGAGGAGATCGAGGGACCGGAAAATGAGCATATGATCGAAGGGGAAGGGCTTTAAAGGGAGTGCGACTGAATTTAAAAGATAAAAGGTGAATTTTGGACAAAACCTGGGCGCCACCATCCCTTAAATCAAAAACTTCGCTATCGTTCCCAAATGGTCTCTGCTAACCCTCAAATCTTTCAGGAACGCGCCCAGCTGCAAAACCAGCTCCATCAGGTGCAGCTCGAGCTCGATTCGGTCCGCTCGGCCCTCGATGAGGAGTCTCAGGCTCGGTATGGTCGGCTTCTTGTCCTGAGCTTCCAATGTTTCCAGCTCTGACGCCGAGCACAAGCTCAACTTGGCCAACACGGAGATTGGCCAGTGGAAGACCAAGTATGACGCCGAGGTGCTGGCCCATCAGGATGAGGTCGAGGAGCTGAGGAAGAAGATGCTCCAGAAGCAGGCTGAGTGCGTGTTTTTCGCAGTTACCGTCGATGCTTAGGCTTAGGCTTAGGCTGGCTTTTGATTAATTTCCGACCTGGTGCAGTTGGCAGCGCGTTAGACTCTCGCTCGCAGGGTCAGGGTTCGTCCCCCGCCCGCGGCTAAATTTTTGCTTTTTGCCAAGTAAATCGTTTTGTAAACTTCGCTCAATTCCAGATACGAGGAGCACATCGAACTGGTGCTCCAAAAGGTCAGCCAGCTCGAGAAGGCCAAGTCTCGCCTTGCCGCCGAGGTCGAGGTGCTGATCGTCGACCTCGAGAAGGCCAACGCTGCCATTGCCATCCTCGAGCGCGCCAAGGAGGCTTTGGAGCGCCAGGTGGCTGAGCAGAAGGTATGTTCATTCTGGCTCTCGTTCTCTCTCTCTATCTCTCTGTCGCTCTATCTTTTGGACTACATTATCACTTTTTAGGTCCGCATCGACGAGCTGAACGCTGAGATCGATGCCGTCACCCGCGAACTTCGGTGAGTTCATTGAGCGAGAGAGAGAGAGAGTGAGAGAGAGACATAGAGCGAAAGAGAGACAGAGAGAGTCAGTTGAATCGTGGATTCTAACCAATCTTTCTAGCGCTGCCGCTGCTGAGCTGCAGAAGCTGAAGGCCCTCTACGAGAAGGCCGTCGAGCAGAAGGAGGCATTGGCTCGGGAGAACAAGAAGCTCCACGGTAGGTGGCTAGTAGAGATTCTTGGGGAGCTTCAGATTATAGTGCAAATTAAAACTTGCTGTAAAGCTCTCGAAGCGAACGAACTAGCAATGACTCTTGAGGAAAATCTGCCAGCAGAGATAGCAGAGCAACTAGCAGAGATTCCTTAATCCACCCATTCGATGATTACCAAATTGTAGATGACCTCCACGAAGCCAAGGAGGCGCTCGCCGATGCCAACCGCAAGCTGCACGAGTTGGACCTGGAGAATGCCCGCTTGGCCGGAGAGATCCGCGAGCTGCAGACCGCTCTCAAGGAGGCCGATGCTCAACGCCGCGAGGCCGAGAACCGCGCCCAGCGCGCACAGGCCGAGCTCGTCGCTCTTCGGTGAGTCACTGTAGCCGGGGCAGATTTTCGCGGCTATAAAAACTTTTTTTCCCCACAAAAAACCAATAAAAAACGTCAAAAGTACCGAAAGAAATATGTGGCCTGACCAGCTCGAACTTGGCCTCTCATTTCGAGGGAAATCTTTCATTTGCTACGTCGCTGTTGCATTCGAGCTGAAAATCTAGTGTTCTGGGGTGAACGTCTCACACTTGATGGCTAGCTGAAACCTCTAAATTTCAGTGTGGAGATGGAGAAGCGCCTTGCCGCCAAGGAGGAAGAGATGGAGGCGATGCGCAAGAACCTCCAATTCGAGATCGACCGCCTTGTGGCCGCACTTGCCGACGCCGAGGCTAGGCTCAAGGTATGGTAGATGAACAATTTTTTTGGTTACGCAGTTGATCCACCGATCACCTACATCCATTCCAGTCCGAGGTCGCGCGCCTGAAGAAGAAGTACCAGGCCGAGATTGCCGAGCTGGAAATGACCGTCGACAACTTGAACAGGGCCAACATCGAGGCCCAGAAGACGATCAAGAAGCAGAGCGAACAGATCAAGGTCCTCCAGTCCGCTGTTGAAGATCTGCAGAGGCAGCTTCAGAGCGCCTTGGACTCGTTGGCCACCACTCAGAGGTAGGGAGGAGAGACAGAGAGAGAGAGAGAGAGAGAGAGAGAGAGAGAGAGAGAGGGAGAGAGAGGGCGCGCGGCTAGCAGGGATCATCGGTATGTCGGTTCTGAACGTGTTCATAACGTCGGAGCGCCCATTCGCAGTTTTTCGGGCTGAACTGTTTTTCGAACGTCGTGATTTCGCCGCGTACAGCTGGTAAACTTAACCCAAGTTAAATTTGCCGGTTTCAGGAAGGTCTCCATCCTTGCCTCCGAGCTCGAGGAAGCCAAGACCGCCCTCGACAACGCCATCCGCGCCCGCAAGCAGGCCGAGGTAAGGATTCAGTAGACGAGAACACCTCATGCCCTTTTTCAGTGTGACCTCGAGGAGGCCACCAGCCGCGTCGCCGAGCTGCAGCAGATCAACCACGGACTCGTCCAGGTGAGACAGAGCGAGATATCTAGCGAGCTTGAACTGACCCTGACGAACTCGTTGGCCCACCTCGACCTCCCTTTTCAGGCCAAGAACTCGCTAGAGGTCGAGCTCTCCACCGTGCACGCCGATCTCTCGGCCGCCCAGCGCGAGTGGCACTCCGCTGAGGAGCGCGCCAACCGCGCCCAACAGGACGTCGCCCGTGCTATGGATCAGCTGCGCCAGGAGCAGGAACACGCCGCCAAGATCGACGCGCTTAGGAGAGCCCTTGAGGAACAGGTCAAACAACTGCAAGTGCAGATCCAGGAAGCTGAGGCTGCTGCTCTGTTGGGAGGAAAGAGGGTCATCTCCAAGCTCGAGACTCGCATCAGGGATCTCGAGACGGCACTCGATGAGGAGACTAGACGGTGAGAGAGCGAGAGAGCGAGAGAGAGCGAGACAGGGAGGGAGGGAGAGAGAGGGAACGATAAAAGCACCTTCAATACCCTCGTATTTTAGCCACAAGGAGACGCAGACTTCCCTCCGCAAGAAGGAGCGACGAGTGAAGGAGGTGCAACAGCTGGTTGATGAGGAGCACAAGAACTACGTTATGGCCCAAGATACGGCCGATCGTTTGATGGAGAAGCTGAACATTCAGAAAAGGCAGTTGGATGAGGCCGAGGGTGTCGCCATGGCCAACATTCAACGCGTCCGCAGGTGTGTAGAGGCAGACTAGCGGGGTTTTTTTGGGAGAATAGAAAACCCCAGTAGCAAAGGCCAGTAAATAACCATTGCTGCCAATTCAGATACCAACGCGAGTTGGAAGACGCTGGCGGCCGTGCCGACCAAGCCGAATCCTCCCTCAACCTTATCCGCGCCAAGCACCGCTCATCCATCAATGTGCAACGCGCCGCCTCGTCCGCCAACGTGAGCCTCGCTAAATAGAGCAAATCCGGATAACCGGAACCTTCGGAAACATTCAAAAATTTCGAATTTTCCAAACAAAATAAAAGATGGATTTATTTGGATTTTTCAAGCCGTTATCGCGATTTTTAGATGTTGTTATATGGCTCGTTGGATAGAGAATTAAATTTCGCACTAGTTTCATCCTTCAAAAATGGCCAACAGACTACTATTCGAGAAAAATAGCAAAAACCTTTGAGAACGCGTGGCAGTGCTTTAGGGTTTTCATCCGCAAGGCCAGGTTCCGCGCCCGGCGGGGGCAAACTTTTTGCTTTTTGGTCAGTAGCTGCGGAATGAAACGAAAAGGGTTTCAAGAATTAAACTGGCTATTTCTCGAATACCGTAATCCTTTGGCAATTTTTAGGGATTTTTCCGAATTTCCAATTTTTCGTATTTTAAATTCAGAAAAATTCTACAAAATTCTTTAGTGCACTCCCCACTTCTACCGTAACCCCTAATCACCTCCAAAATTTTCAGATTTACACGGCCGACCGAGACTTCTGAGCACGAGTGCCCTATCTTCTTTCTTCTCCGGCTTCTCCTCTTTTCTGTTAAAGTTCCCTTTAACTTTCCCCGGTCTCCCCCACTCTCCCGACTAAAAGCTGACCCAACTACCGTAATCCTCACTAAAATGTCTAGCCTGAACACCCAACTATAGTCTCCATTTTTGGCACTTTTCCAAACTCTCCGCCCCCCGCACCGCCATTAGTGCCCAGAGCCGCTCCACCGGTGATTTTCTTTCGTATATTTTTCCCGTATAAAAGGGATTTCTATCGATTTACGACATTTTAAAGGAGCCTGGAAGTCTTCCGACTTGCCTGTCCCTTTCAATGGCTTAGCGTAAGACACACGCAATTTCACGGCCCACCCCCGCCACTTGCCTGCCCCTTTAAAAACGCGCCCCCCACTCCACCAACTAAAGCGGCAAGCAGAAAGCCTGTGAATTGATGATGATGATGTCTGCACTCTCTCTATCTCTCGCCCACCCTCCCGCTCTCTCTCTATCAAGCCAATCAAGATATCTGTTACACCCCCCTTTTTTGTATGAATAAATTTGGACAGTAGGGAATTGGATTGGGCATGGCATGCTGGCAGATTATTTGGGACGGAGGCTACAGAATACAGACTACAGAATGTTTCGAGGGTCGGGCCATATAGCATAGATTTTTTATTTACAAACGGAGATCTGGGAGATATTTTCTATATATCGATTGTAAAACTTGTAATTTTATATAAAGAATCAAGGGACCAAGCGTTTATCAAACACAGATGCGTGTATACCAGATATTCTATAGCATTACATTCATTCCTAAAAAGGAGATCGTTGGCCAATTATTACCTTCCGTTAGCGTTAGTTAGTATTAGCCAAATGATATACAAGCACAAGTACAGTATGAAAGAAATTAGATGAACAGACAATTCGTTCTTCGGGGGACACATCACGTAAAACTGAGATCAAGATGAAAGAGAGATCGATCCGCTGCTTTGAAAGGTATAATAAATATGATAATCGATAAATAGGACAAACAATTAGTACGAGACAGTACATTAGACGGTGTTCTGAAGGGGGAGTGCTTCGTTGCTGGTGCAGCTCCATTTTCGTTTCTAAAAAATAGTTATTTTGCGAAAATTACATTTTTTTGGATACCTTTGGCGCAGCTTTCGAAAGTTTAACGGGTGCGCTGCTGGCTGGATTTTCCTAAAAAAGAAGTATTAGCCGGATTGGTTCTTTCGCATTATCGGGTGGGGGGGGGGGGGCGGAGGGATGAACCTATGGGTTAAACTTTGGATCCAATTTTTTCTAATAGATCCCGAAAATCAAATTACCAAAAGGGGTCCAATTTTTCTAATAAAAATCGGGAAAGTGCTTCCAAATAGTTTTTTTTAGGAGACTAAACGTCCTAAAAGGCAAAAAATATAAATTTTTCGACCAAAAATGGAAAAAACGTTATCAAACTCGCTAGTACATTACTAGGCATGCCTGGAGCAAAAAAAAATCGATGCGGAAGAACCCAAGAGTTGCTCGCTAAAACTTACATTTTCATTGGATGCCTCAGCGCGCTTAAACGGGCGCCGACGCGCCGCTGATGACTCCTTTTTCACACCGATCTCCCCGGCCTCCCTCTTCCCACTTGAACTTCGACTGGCCGAATCATCAGAACCGGCCCGCCCATCACCCTTTTCCTTCTTTTGCCTGCCCATTTGTCCTAAAATCATGAATTCTTGAATTCTGGCCACTGCCCACCTTTACAATCTTCGGCTCGACAGTAACATGCCGGCAACGAGCCTGCGCCCTTGTAGACGGCCATATCGTAGAAAAACGTCAACTCCTCGCCGGCCTTGATCAGCCTTTTCGTGTAGACGTACGGGCGGAGGTCCATCTACGAGAAATATTTTTATTTTTCCGAAAAAAAGGGCGAGTTTAGAAAACTACCAATCGAAAACTAAATAAAAACGCACCAGTGGGCTCTTTTCCTTTTTCGTCTCCTTCTTCTCCTTTTTCGGGTTTTTGGCCGTCAGCTCGACCAACTTTAGCCCGACCAAACAATTCGGGCGGCACGAATGGTTTATAAACCTACAAACACTTTTCATTTTCGTCACTTTACCGATACCTCGATAAATTGGCCTTGAAGCGTGCGTCGACGATTCGCCCTTTTTCGAGCTGCATCATGTAGTGAGCGTCCTCGGCGTTGTGGAAACGGTACAGGTGCTCTTGCTAGAAATCGAAATTCAGGGACGATTAGCGCTACCCACCCGATTCTGTATTTCCTCCGGGTCCGAGATCAGCTCGCCAGCATATTCACCAATGAAAGTTCCCTAAAATAAAGCATAATAAATTAATATAAATAGAATTTAATTCTAAATGTAATCAAAATAATAAATACCGCAGGAATGTCCTTGGTGGCGAAAAGTCCTTTTCCCTTCTCCTCCGTCAATCGAACCTCGACGTCACCGCAGTAGTCACGTTTTGCCAATTGCCGATTCTGGCACAGGTCACCGCAAGCCTGGAAAGAATGCTCGATTAGTATACAAAGGAAAAATCACCGAGGTGCACTCCTGATCCGTTGCGCGATTCGTGCAGCTATCGTTAGGGCCGCACTTGAAGCCGCCGGGTCCGACCTCACAGCCGCATTCCCACTAAATCAAAATGTTAAAAACTTTTAAACGGAATTTTTAAAAATTTATATTAAAAAGTATTGCCTTCCCATGAAAAACAAATAACTAAAGACTTCACGGGGTGCCGACGGCATGTGTCGCCCCCCGCCTCCCCCATCAACAAATTGGCAAGTAGCCAACAGGGCAGCGCGCACCCTGGGGAGACGCGCAAAGACATTTTCTTTCCAGCGCGTGACCGATTGACTATGCCGTCGGCATCCCTTTAAAAGTCAAAACATCATTTCAAAATGAAAATTGTTAGAACCCGTAAAACTCACATCCTCGATGGTTCGCGCGCTTTGTGAACGAGAGTTGAAATACACAGATGTCTAAATAAATGTTAGAAATACGGTAGAAATACCATACCTCGATCGGCTGATAGGTCAACCTCTCGTGCACTGCGGTGTTCAAAATCTTTCGAAACTCGGGAATCTTCCGCTCTTCGTGTTTTTCTTTCCTTTCTGAAGTGAAAGAAATATACTTAGATCCGCGAATCAATCCTACCAATCTTCGGCTCAAATTGGATATGGTCGGGTAGCCAGAGGCAATATTCCGCGGGCGTCACTGAGTAAAGATCCCCATAGCCACACCATCTGACAGTCACAAAGCCTAAACCACGAATTTTTCAGCGTTCCAAAAACACAAACCGGGATGCCCGTTCCACGTCGAAAACGGGGCTTTTCGTGCTGGAAAGCGTGAGGGATGGACAACTTCCGCGAAAAACCACCTAAAACGAGATTTATAACCAAAAGCATCAAAACCCACTCTCCACCAAAATACGTCATTACATAGTCGCCAACTCGATGAAATTCACCAAGCACACATGCTTCACACACGACTTGCTCGGCTGAAATTTGGAAATAACATCAAAATAAAAATAGTAATCAAAATTTTTTTCTTTTTTATTAAAATATTGTAATGATTTTACGGTTAGAATAGTAAAAAGCTAGTTCAGAAACACTTTCCTAATTGCTAAAAGAAAAATTGGATCTTTAGACCCCCCGATAATGCGACAGAACCAAAAAGATAAATCAAAAATTCTTTTCTCTTACTTGGTGGCTCTGTATCACGAAATCGATAGCATTCGGCGTGGAATCTTCGAAGACATCGGCTACAATGATAGAGCTTCGCGTCCATCTCCAAATCGCTTTTTTCTGAACCAATTTTTGCTATTTTCAGCGTAGCCAACGTACCACCAAAGCATTCAAAGCATTCTCGATAATAAGAGCTGAGTGCAGGCATTTTGATTATTTTCCTAGGAAACTTGCATTTTTTCGAGACTTCAAACGCGAACCTGGCTTCCGGGGATGCATGACGGGGGCAAATGCAGTATCTATCAAGTTTACTGGGCGGGATATCGACGTCGTATTTTCTGGCCAATTCCGGGGTCAACTCGTAGCCGGAAGGGATGCAACAGTCGTGGAAGGCGATGTAACACTTTGTACATTGTACGTAGGCGTCGTCTAAAAGGGAATAGCTTATTTGAGCTGGATGCTTCTTACTATCCGAGGTTATCGCGGAAGTTTTACGCCCTTCGGCGAAACAGGCGTGACAGTGATGTAGCGGGCAGCAAGGTTTATCCTTGTTCTACAAAAAAAAATTAATTTTCACGGCTAAAATCACCCATACCATGCAGAAGATGTAATCCGGCTGGAATCCACCGCCGTTATAGTTTTGCAAGCAATCCTGAAACATCAAATAATTAAGGTAAAAATAATTAGCCTCAGCTACCTCGTGAAAATGCGTCATACAAGATTTCCTTTTCGAGCAACGGATCAGCGGCCGATCTTCAGATGTCCCGTCACGACAGACAAAGCAACGGCTTTCTGATTCTTCCAGCGGCAACCGATCTCGGATGTAATATTGTAGTTCTAAAAACGAGAGTTCATCACAATTCAAAGAAACGTGCCTATTTGCCTAGGATGATCCCATAAGAGCCGTACATCGCCTTGCTGAGTCAGCGATTTAAGCTTTACGCCTCGTCCCTTACCGCGAGACGTCACTTTTGTTTTTGTTGCTTCAGCGACAGGTTTTTCCGAAGCATAATTTATAGACTGATCCAGATTTTCGCCGGATTTGGCCTCCGATGCGGTAGAGGCTTGCGCTATCGGCGCTGAATTTCCCTCATTGTCCTTCCCGGGCACAACAATTTCGAGAAGCCCTTGTTCAGGTAGACGAGCCAGTGGTAGAGTAGTTTCGGCGTCGTTTGACAGCTGGTGGAACTGAAAGATGAACTTTTTGAAGAAGTTGGAATCTGTTTCAAGCGTAAAATAGAAATTCCGGGTATTTGAAACTTAATTTTCGTATCTACAATTTGTATTCCTTAGTTTGAAACGTATACTTAGCGCAGAATCGTCGAACCTATCTTTTTCGAAGCTTATTTGCGTATCTACAACTCGTATTGACGACATTGAAATGTATTTTTCGCGCAGAATCGAAAATCTTTTCTTTTAGAAGCCTACTGCCGTATCTACAAGTCGTATTGATTAGTTCAGAAACCATTTTGAGCCCAAAATCTAGAATCAAGACTTTTTGTCCGCGTTTTTACAACCCTTACAGGCAGACGACACCCACCTTTCCCTTGTTTTTTGTCGCACGTTGCCTGACGGTAAATCTTCGCGCATCAGGCTTCGTTTCCGGCATCAGAACCCGTCGGGGGCGCAGAAGAAGAGGTTCGCACAGGGCCCAGCCACGCTGCGGCCGTTTGAAAAAGAGCGCGTTATTTGTGCATCGGCGCTCACCGGACCCTGGTCAACACACAGAAACACATAGATCGTCTAATAACTATAACTTTCGACCTTTTTACTAATAGCTGTGCTCTATTATTTTATTTTAAATCTCGAATTATCGTTCCGTTTTTTAGTTTTTAGCAATTCTGCGCTCCTCGTTCGCCGGGGCCATCGCCTATCTCTAGATTTTTCCCATTGAGATTTTTGTGTCATCGTTCTTTCAATCCTATTTTATTTTTTGGGCTTTTTCACTTTCTGCTTTTTCTAGCTTTTTCATTTTAGCGCTGGCCAGCGAGTGATGAGCATCGGTTGGCCGCCGAATCGGATTCTACTGCAGAAAAACCGCTAGAACCACCATGAGCTCTTCGGATGCCGATTTTGGGGCTGAAGAGATCACCAATCAGGTAGACAACTTTGTGAATTTGTTTATTTTGTTTTAATCGTCAGGTTATGCTTGCAAAGCTGTCTTTTTCAGCGCCTTCTCGTCATTGAGTGGGAACACTTGAACTTATGGCGTTTCTACCCGATGGCCATTGCCTCCTCGTGGTCAATCCGATGTCTTCTATATCCAATGTAAGAATATGAGCTTTTTTACATAATGGTTCTTTTTCAGGTCCGTAGTGAAAAGCCGACTGCAACTTCAAAAGCAAAATAATGTATACAAGGGCATGCGGCATGCGTTCGTGGAAATCGTTCGCCAAGAAGGTTTTACCGCATTATATCGGGTAAAAACATCTAATAATCTTGAATTCATGTTTTAAGGGCTTCTGGATGACGTTGCCGCAAATTTCTGCCTCCTTTTTGTACTCATCGACGTACGAGAGGATGCGAAATTTGTTGCAGGTAAGTTCTAAGGTTATCTGGTTTTAAGAACCGTTTTTCAGGTCCAAGTCGGCATAACTAATCCTTCTCTGGTCTCCGCGTTAGCTGGTAGTATTTTTACATTTTCTATATAGGTTTTTCAGGCGCTATCGCCACACCATGTGCTCAAATGGTTTTTGTTCCTACGGATATTGTTGCTCAACATATGATGGTCAGTTTTACCTACAACTTTAAATGTGTAAATTTAGGTGTATAATCAAGCTAAAAACTTTGCCGGTTCCAGTAAATCCGGCTCGGTGCACGAGTTTCTTCAGGTGATTTGGTTTATTAAGCTAATAAAGCCTTTTTAGAAAGATGGTCTCGAAAAGAGACGGACGCTAGGCCTTCGCGTAATTAGAGCGGTTTATAATGTCGATGGAGCAAAGGGTTTTTATAGGTAATTAATATTAATATTTTTTAATTCTTTTTTTTCTAGGGGCTTCCTCTCGGCCATATTTTTATATATCCCGTCGACGATGGTTTTCTGGAGTACCTATTATAAGGCGTTGCATGTTTTTAGGTGAGCTTTTTTTCACAAAAAAAAATCCTTTTTAGGGATTTACGAATTTACCTCACCACTGCCACAAATCAAGAGGAACGGGTAGACGAGAAGCTTTTCATAGATCAGGTACGAGGTTGCGATTTGTGGCAGTTAAATGAATATAATTTTAGGCGCTAGCTGGCTCGATAGGTGGAATCATGGCGGCGGTCATGACGAACCCTCTAGAAATGCTGCGAATCCGGTTGCAGGTGAATTTTGGAGAGCTTGAAATAATTCTTTTTTAGGTTCATCGGACAGGCTACGCGGAAACGATACGAAGGCTCTGGAAATACGAGGGTTCTCGTGTTTTTACAAAGGTATATTGAATTTTGGTTGTTTCTCATGATCGAGGGGGGAGGCGAAATTTTTTGCATGAGTCTAGAAATGCCTTGGGATTTTTAGGAAACATTTTATTGTTGTTTTGCAGTAATGATAGCATATCGCGACTAAAAAAACAATCTAACACTTAAAGAAGTCGAAATTGGTTAAAATCGATCATTTTTGGTCGAAAATCGAGATTTTATTCTTTTATAGACATTTGTAACGTTTTGAAGTCTTGAACAAGCATTGAAGGATAGCAAAAACGGTTTAGAAACACTTCCACTATTTGACAAATCGGGGTCTTAAGAAAAACGAAGCTTTTCCAGGGACTTGCACCCCGCGTCCTCAACAACGCCCTCTACTCGATGCTCATCATGCTTGGCTATGAAACGGTGAAGAAAACGTGTGTGCTGCCCGAATACAAAGACAAAGTTGTCTGGTGATCCCGCCTCGTTAGATAGGAATCTTAGAGTTTTGTGCTCGCGAATCGGTTGTAGGCTATATTCTATCTATTAAATTCAATTCAATTCTACTAGTCGATATATTGCAAAGAATGTATTTACTCGTTTCCCCGACCACTACCCCTCCCATGTCCTTCCACTATTGCCGACTTTCTAGTACTTGTTCTCTCTCCCTCGCTCCCTGCCTCTTCAAGAGCTTTTCGTTTGCCTTGCACTACTTGGATTTGGTGAATAAACACGTTTCAGCATCGCCTTTCCGGCGGCGCATGAGCACCGCAATAATCCGTCAACATGTTTGTTGGTTGGTTGCCAAATCGATCGCCTGTCGCCACAATACCTTATCTTATCGAATGTAGAAAGGTGGTAGGAATTGGGGGCATCCACGAGCCATGGGTATTTGTTGCTGAAAATTAATTGCCATCGCTAGGTTTCCTATGGTGGCACATCTGTTTAGGCATGCCCTCTGTTCTCTCGCATTTTTGTTGCGTTTTTTGCGTGGCGGCGCCCTCGCCCTTTTCTCTCTCGAAACGCCCGCTCGTTCGCTAGTGTCAAATCTCCAAGCGAGTGCCCCCAACCCGATCAGCTGCTCTAGAACATATTCCCAACTCTTCTCTTCTCCCTAGAGAAGCTTTGGCAATAGTAGTTGCGCTAAATTCTTTGAATTCGTTAAATTTCAAATTCTAAATTCTAAAAAATGGGGTTAGATCGAGATTCTGGTGAGGGGAAAGTTAAATTTGTGTAAAAAAATTTTCAGAAATGAATCTCTACGAATTGAATCTCGGCTATGCGGCTCTGTTGACGGCCGGTGGATTGATTGGTTTTATCTCTAAAGGTAGCTTAAAACTGTGCGGGTAAATTTATCGGGAGTTTTTCCAGGCTCACTCCCGTCCCTAGCGGCTGGCGCCGGAAGTGGACTTCTTGTGGCCGGATTCACGATGTACAACTGGCCCTATAAGACGCTCGCTATCACTTGTAAGAATTTCGTTACAATAAGTATCGTTTAAAGTGATGTGTTGGCGCTCATTCAATAAAGCATAAAATTATCAACAAGCCGCCAGCTTTTTAAAACTACTAAACGATAATGATCAGGGAGAAATTGGCGCAGAAAGTTTATGCAGGATTTACCTTGTTTATAATTTCACGCTCTGTCCAATGAACGTCAAGAGTCGCATCGCAAAACTCCGTTATCACCCAAAATGACTATTTGCCAGCTACAACGTCTCTTTAGTGATCTCCGGCGGACTTGCCTACACGATGGGCAATAAATTCCTCGCCACTAACAAATTCATGCCGGCCGGCCTTATCGCGGCCACGAGGTACTTTCAAAAGCGTGGTTGTTGCATTAATTTAGTGCCCTCACCTGCATTGCCCAGACCGTCCGCTGGTACCAGACCGGAAGCCTGCACTAAAAGTCTACTTTACTTTTCACGTTGTAATATTTGCTAGACCAAGCTGTATTCACTTATTTCTTGCCTTTTTTGTTCAATAAACATTTTATTGAATGCCTACGAAGAGGCGCACGGGATTTATTGACCTTGTTGATGATGCTTCAGCTCGTGTTGTTTTCCAAGCTCGGGGGTGCGCGTTTTCGAATCGCTGTGTGCGGGGGTTATTGGTTGGCATTGGGACAGTAGACGCCGTCTGCCAGTCTACTTTTGGCCCCACCGGCTTCACGGCCAGAGTGTTTTCTCTTTCTCTCTGTTAGCGGAAACCAGAGGGCAGTTGCCAGCCTTTGGCACCCGGGTCTCATCGTGCACAAGCTTTTTTCGGTTGGGAGCGACTCCCCATGTGTCTCGCTTCCCCGCCGTTCACGTGCCGCCGTTGATTCGCCTCCGTACATCAACAAAGGGCTTATAAATATCAGATATTACTGAAATTGATCCTTTAGCCTTAAAATTACGGTTATTTTTCGTCAATCTACAATGGGAGCAAGCCGATCTTGTGCAAATTCTGTGCTGATCAAAAACTACGCGTCAGAATCTGCGAAACGACCATATTTGGAAAGTTAGTAAGCTTTAAGGTGTATAAAATGGCCTAAGTTGGTCGTTTTTTTGCCATTTAAAGCTTATTAACTTTCTTATTGCGCTCGTTACGCATTGTCTGAAAATTAGGTTGTAATCAGCGAAAGATTTTGTACAAAACAAGGTTGCTCATATTTCGAAACTCCTTCAACTTCAATCAACGTGTCCTTGTTAGCTTTAATCGACGTTTTTTTTCTAGTTTCGGCGTCTACCCGCTCCCAGTCAACACGCTACATGAGGGATGCTGAAGGGCAAAGCACCACTATGGGTCAATTCGAGGCGGCAGACGAGGAATGCCCGCTGGAATGCCGATGCTCATTTGCGGTTTCTCGATTTTTGAGAGTCAGAACTTTTATTTCTAGGGCCCACGAGCGAAGCGTGAAGATTAGCGACCAGGCGATAATTCGCGTCGACACATGCCAACTGGCCGCCAATCGGCCGATCGAAGATTTTTATTCGGCTGCCAAATGTAATGATTTTCACTGGAATTTACCTTTTTTTTATAGGCACATCATCAAGCGCGTATTTATTCGGTGTTTTCGACGGTCACGGCGGGTCGTATTGCAGCCGATACGCGTCGACGAAACTATTTCCCTACATGTGCGCCTCGGTGTTGAAGAAACACGAGGTACTGGTTTTTTAGAATATCAGAAAGGTGATTTTGTTTTTAGTCAAAAGAAATACCCGTGGAACGACGGTGCGAGTGGCTATTTTCGTCTGCGGATCAACACATCCATCTACCAACACAGTTACAGTCAGTTTTCCTTTCAATACTTAATCAAGGAGCTCAAAATCTGCGCTACAGTGTTTTTATTAGTGATATAATTTCAGAAACCCGACAGAAAGTCTTGATAGGTATCATGGGGATTTCTGTTCTCGCGTCAGCTTGGGAAAATGCTAATGCCCGCTTTCCTAACTCTACTAATCGCTAGAATTAAGAGGCGAACACCGAAATAATATTCGAAGATTCCACCGCGATTTCCTGGAGAAGCACAACGAGCTGGGGACGGTCAGGAAGGCCGTTCAGGTGGAAATTCTCCAAATTGCTTTTTAAGCTGCTTCATTTAGTCTGCGTTTCTTGCACTCGATGAGGACATCTCGAAGGAGGCGCTTCCTGATATGAAGGGACAAGTGGACAGGTATGTATTTTCAGCATTTTTTTGAGAAAAATTTAGGTTATGCGCAATGACTGCCGCTTCTGGGTCCTGCGCCACTGTTGCTCACATCAGAAAACGACATCTCCACGTGGCAAATATTGGGGATGGTGCAGCCGTATTGGGGGTAGGTTCTGTGATTCTTTTACAAACAGGAGGTCCTTTTTTACAACTTTTAAGGACCACGAGTTTGTAAAATAACCGGTTTTGTTCGGTTTTTTTAGCGGTTTTCGCCGGAACGAGCTTTTTATTAAAATTAAACCCGTCTTTTCAGGTCAGTTCCGCGAGTGGCGGCGTCTCCGCTCGACAACTCGGCCGAGCTCACTGTTGGGATAACGCTGAGGAGGCAGAGCACCACATTTGTGCTCAACTCGCTTTTTAGGTTGCCAGGATTCGAGCACAGCACCCCGTTTCCGAGTCACAGACAATATTCCAGGTGATCGAAAGTTTACGACGTTTTTATTGTTGATTTTTAGGGAGCCCGGCTTCTCGGCGAGCTGTATCCGCTTCGAGCATTTGGAGACGTCCGCTACAAGTGGCCGAAAGAGCTGCAAAAGGTCGTGCTCGAGCCGATGGGGTCGCCGGCGCCACACCACCTCTACACACCGCCCTATCTGTCGGCAAATCCGGATGTGCTTTATCATAAACTGACGGTTAACGACCGTTTTTTGGTGAGGTTTTGGGCTACCCGAGACTGACGACCGCGACACTTGCGGCCTGCAAAATTTTTTGAAAATTTTTGGCCCTCAAATGGTTTATAAAGAGGATCTTTCGGTATATCCATATCGTAAAATTCACTTCGGTATTAAAATTGGGTCGTCTCGACTGAAAACTTCTGGCCGCAAGTGTCGTGAAGCGGTTTTTAGGACTATAGCGTAACTGGATGTGATCTTAATTTCCGGCTTTAGGTGATCGCCACCGATGGCCTCTGGGAATGGCTGGATGCGGATACCGTGGTCCGACTCGTCCATGACCACACGCTCGGCGCGATGACGCTGCAGCCGTTCCGGCCTCGAATCGGCATGAACTTGAATCAGGTATATCTAATTCTTTTTGATAATGTTAACCGTCGTTCCAGGTGCTCGCGGAGCTGAAAGAACGACGCCGCGGCGACCACAAGAAGCCGATCGACGATAACTGCGCCACGCATTTGATTCGGCACGCGCTGGGCGGAGTGTTGGGCGGCACAAAGGAGCAGTACCAGCGGCTCAACGACATATTGCAGGCTAGTTTCTTGTCCTGTTTTTTCGTCAGCAACCCTTTTTACGGGATTATGGGTTTTTAATTGAGCGATAGCCGATTCGATAGCGCTTAAAGTTCTGAACAGCCGCTTTCTTTTAAAAACCGGCACAAGTTATAGCCTTAATTTCATTTTTAATGATCCGTGCAAAAACGCGCAAAATTTCCAAATGTACTTAGGAGTAAATTTTGCTAATATTTTGCTAATATTTTGCCAATATTAGTCGTTAAACATTTTTTGGGATGAAGAGATCCAGATTTTAAAGCGCTAGACGCGATCTATGTTTCATTAAAAAACTCCCTTCAAACCCAAACGATCCTTGCTTGATTCGGTTTCCACTTATCGTCGATTTTTGCAGGTTCCCCCCGGAATGGCGCGTAGCTATCGGGACGACATCTCCGTGATCGTCATCCATTTCGACGAGAACTACGTCTCGATGCCCTGTGACGAACACGAAGTTACGTAACGTCATGACCACGACGCTCGGCCCGCCTTCATAGGTTACCGGTAGCCCCCACTATGCATTATCATTGCCTCTGTTTTTTTTTGTTTATCTCTTCGTCCTTTTCTTTTACGATAAGCGGGTATTTCTAGGATCCTCTCAGGAGACGAAAAAAGAATAATTACTCAAAGTATAGTGCTCCAGTCGTCTGTCAAATAATTTTTGTTCTTGTCTTTCCGGCTTTTTGCGCGCCACGCCACGCTGTTACTCCCCATTGACAAAACTGGGTGTTCCCCCGCTCTCAACTAGTCATAAATATCTGACGACCGGTGTGTAATAAAAATTTTTGAGACGAATGTCTGAAAAAATGGTCTGCGTGTATTGAAGAGAAAAGTGGGTTCTTTAAAATTATCAAGGTTCCTCCAAATTTCCTAATCTCAATAGAGGAAATGTTTCGAGATTTCCTATAGATCGATTGCTTTCGTTTGCCAAGATTAGATCGGGGATTTGAGGTGTCATAGTAGCTTAGAAAATAAGAGAAAAGAAATAAGAAAATGTGAAAAGAAGGGGAAACTAGAGACGAAGAAAAACAATTTATTTGGGTAAATAAATCTAATGTTGAAAAGAAAAGCATTATTTGGAACATGGCGGCTAGAAGTGAAGGCTGTCGCGGATCGAGGTGGCCAGGGCGGTCATCTGGAAAAATGGATTTGTTTTGCAGCCGCTGATATTTATAGACGTTTGGATAAGCGATAATCAGAAGTCGGAAGCTCTTATTGCTCGCCAGCTCACCTTCTCTTTGATCGATTCCGTCAGTCCATCCGGCTGAAAAAAATTGGATCTCCATGGAAATCCTTTTTTTGCTGCCTACCATTTTGCGGGGTGCCTCGACCATCTGGACCTTGGCGTAGGGGTGGCGACGGCGGTGCTCAATCCAAGCCTTCGCCCAGCGCTGACGACGGCTTCCCGAGTTGCCGAAGCCCAAACGCCGGGGAAGACGGGGAGGGGCCGACTTGCCTCGGCGCTAAAATTAGAGCCCGTAATTTTCTTTTCTTTTTAGTTGAAAAAAAACGATTAATTTGGCACATTTTCTGCTAGCCAGTGTGTCCAACAATAAGCACCGACCCCACGACGAATCTTGCGAACGAAGGGCTTCTCGTTGGCGACCATCTCGCGACAAAGCTCTGGGAACCGCTGGCCGAGGTGCATCGCGGGCCTAGAAAGGTATTCGATAGGGCATCAAAAATATCAATTCTTCGACATGCAAAACCACGAAACCCACAAACTGCCGTCAGCGGCCATCTCGCCAAGCGCCGGAATCCCGTAAGACGTGGCGTTCGAGTTGTCCGACGAATCCAAGTCGCTGCCTGAAAAATAAAAAATTTTTAAGCTCCTTTTGTAAAAAAATGTTCCCTTTATCCTGAAGAACAAGAAAATATCTAGTAAAAACATAGTCCAATAACGATCCAACTAATTAATAGTAAACCATCTAGTAAAAATTCAGAAGATGTTTAAAATAAATAATAAAAATGTTTTAGAACTAGTAAAACTATAGTTTAAACCCGAAAAATCCGCGATTTGGACAACAACCCACTGGTGCGATAGCTGGACAGCTCGGACGAGTTGAAGACGTGGTGAATTGCGTCCGGGACGTCGGAAAAGTCGGAGAGATCACTAAACAATATCAGCAAGTAGAAATTTCTCCTTACGAGTCCCAGCACAGCGTTCCGCGCGGGAGCGCCGATTTCCCCGACTTCTTGCACGTCGAGGGTTGCGAAGAGCCAGGGTTCTGAAAATCGAGAAAATACCAAAATTTTAATCTTGCTAACCGTGCTCTCGCTTTCGTCCAGATCGTTCGCCAGAATGTCCATCATCAATGACGCAGTTGATGGGCAATGCCCAAAAGGTAGTAAAGTTAAGAAATGGTCATATTTTTCTCTTTTTTGGTATCCTGAAAACCACTATAAAGCACCCCCTTATTCAAACTGTGCGTGTATATTCTAATCCAAAATGCCGAATTCCGAAGCATCCAGAGATTCTTTATAACCGGTGGTGTGCATAGGTTAAAAAAATACAGGTTATTACATTATGTAAACCAAATGTGAGCCGAGAATGCTCGTATAAAAATAGGCTGAGATGTGAAGCGCGGGTACCTCGTCTGTGCGTTCGTGAAATCGTTGGATCAGAATCAAAGTTATTGGGGTGGGAGGTGAGGAAGGGCAGGACCGTATAAAAAATATAAAAACTCCAAATTGGAAATTTTAACGTGGGTAGGGTTGAGCGTTGTTTGGTTGAGAGATCGGTACGGGGTGTCCGGGTGCTCCAGGATATCCATAGCCCATCGGTGGGTAGCCGGCCGGTGGTGCGCCGCTCGCCTAAAATAACGTGATGAAAGCGGGTTTTTCGGCGTCAATGTTTGATCTATTTTAACTTCAAAATCGGGTACTTTTCTCTATACTATCTCAAAGCGGGGGTGTATTTTCGGGCCTGGCTAATTGAGCTTTTTGACGAAAATACACCAGAGAACCCTCAAAAACTAAAAGGCCTGAAGCTAAAAAATCGAACCTGTGGATGCTGCATCATGTGCTGAGGTGGTGGGCCCATCCCAGGGTATCCGGGCTGCGGCGGGCCCTATAAATATTTTCCAAAAAAAAAAGTATAAAAAATACCTGGGGATAGTAGTGAGTCGGCATTTGCCCTTGTTGAGATGGTGAGGGCTGCTAAAACAAGCACTTTAAAAGATTGACGAATAAATCCTACTCCTTGCATCGGATGCCCCTGAGGTACCGTCAGGGTCGGGTGACCCATTTGATGAGGCATAGGCTGGCCTGAAAGGAGGTTTTAGGAAAAAGTTATAAAAATACCCGGATGTTGAGGCATTCCTGGGTGTTGTTGCTGCATCATCATTTGTGGGTAAGGCTGAATTGGAAGCTTGAAGCGTTAATTAAGCGAGAAACGTAGTTGTCGGACTCTTTTTCACACTTTTCAAAATAGTAAAAGCTCAAAAAAGCTACTACGCATATCTAACGGGAAAAAGGCCGTCCAGCTTTTTCCATACCTCGAACTTTCGAAAACAGGGCTAAAAACGCACATGCATCGGCTGTCCATGTGGCGGATATCGCTGCCCTGGCGACGGTTGCCCGCCGGGATAGTAGGGATTCTGGGGCGGTTGTCCTTGCATAGCGGCTTGCCCTGGTGAAGGTTGAGGAGCATTTGGAGACGCCCGAGGCTGTGGAGTGTTCGCCTGATAAATCACACTTTTTAAAAAAAGCGACGGACAACCAAACCTGCTGAATTTGTGCAGGGGTGTGTGGTTGACTGGATGGTCCTTGTACTGCTACAGGCGGCGTCCCGTTATGGGCTGCATCACCGTTCGTTGCTGGCGCTTCATCAGCCTAAAAGGTGGGTTAAGCCAAGAAATCAGGTACAACCTCAAGGTCGCCCAGGAAATTCTGCTCCGGCACCAGTTTGGCCAAGTAGATCAGATTCCGGTGAAGAAGCTGCTGTCTTTTTAGGGCTTCATCGGCACGACCCTAAAAGAGGATTTCGTGGATGGGAAATTAATCTTACGAGGTTTTGTTGCTCCTTGATTCCCTCGATTAGCTGTCCATTTTCATCGAGCAATCTTTGCACAGTCGCGGCGCCCTCTCTTGCCACTTTTGGCTCGAAAACCGACGACATTCAAATGCCGACCTGGAATTTATATATCATACGCTTTCGTCTTTCTTTCAAAAAGAACATTTTGTATTAATTAAAAGCCAAACATTTCTTAGAAAATCGCTGTGGAAATCCAACCACAAAACAAAACCCGCAAACGCAATACACATAAATTCTTTATCTAGATATATCAAGGCCCAATCGTGGCAATCAATCCATTCTAGTTAATTTACAACACAGCGGAACCGGCAACAGAACAGGTCCGAAAAAATTCTAGCTGTGACTAGTTTATTTGGTAGAGTTGCGGCAGCGCTTGTTCCATGAGTAGTTCCAGCCGTAGCTTTTGGGCTTGATCTGCCGGATCTGTTCCTTCTAAAAAAAACAAGAAAATAAGAAGCTTTCGACTTAGAAAGAAATTACCTCAACCTCCCAGCCCCAGTTGTTCTTTTCGCAAAAGGCAATGGCGTCTTCCTTTGAGGCGAAATCGAGTTGCATCGATGTGTTGGACATGGGGTCACCGCTAGAAAAAAGCTAGAAATCCTGAAGATCTACCTACGTCGATGCCCATCCCATCAGCGGGTTCTCCCAGCGCTCGCGGTTGTCCAGCTCGATCTTCCAGAGCTAAAAATCACAATTAGCAATATTTAGATGCCGAAAAAAAAGATAAAAATTAAACAAATTTACCTTCGTATTGTTCCACGACGTCTGGGTGGCTTCACGGGCAGCGCGGAAGATCCTCGCCGAGCGGTCAAACTGTAAGGAAGTAACTCCAAAAGATTTCTTCGTACCTGATGCTCCTCTGGAATCCCGGAGATCGACACGGATTCCTGGGTCGAGACGGTGACGGTGGCCTAGAAAATTAAGCTACAAACACCAAATAAACGCGTACGTTCTTCTCGTTTTCGCCGAGAATCGCGTCGACGGCTTTCCGCTTGGCGTCACCGTGGGCCGGGACGGGGACGTCACCACCAAGGTGCGTGGTAGACAACGCACGGCTGAACGTCGTCGCCGGCGTGCAGATTACCCGCCGGAGCATCTGGAATCTGGAAATGATGGAATGAAACATCTTTAGATTAGCAGGAAAAATATAAATATTAAGACGCTTTGATAACGTAAAGGAGGGAGTAAAGTAGCTTCGCGAGTTCCTTTGGCGTCGATAAAAATTTCAATTTTAGAAACCTAGAATTCAGAAATTTATAAAAGTGTGAAAAACTAGTAAAAAACTAAAAACTAGAAAGATTTTTTGCAAAAAAAGTTTTAGAAGTGTACACGTTACAACAAACCGCGCTAAAACGTTGGTTGTTGCCCTACGGAGCTAGCAGGAAAATTTTGTCATTGATTTTTTACCAAAATTCCCCGTCAATACACCAAATTTTGCTGCGTTTATGGGCAAAAAGTATGGATTTTCTAAGAAAGGTAATTTTACTAAAAGTTAGAGAAGGGGTGCTCTTCTTTTGAGGTGATACCTCTCGTTAGTCCTTGTGGTGTTGGGGGTGAGACGCAGAGGTTTTTGGGGGTCGGCCCGTCTGCCGTTGCGCCACTAGGATTGAGTTGTAGGGAAGAGCTCGTCGGCCACCTCCCACCGAGCACTGACCAAGCAGCCTGATTGGCATCGCGGTGCTGTTCCCATGGAAGGGCCTCTGTCAAAATGGACGAATGTCGTGCAGGGATGGCAGTACAGGTATGACCGTCGAAATTTATTTATTTTGTTGTGTGAGAGCTGAAATTCAATAATAAACTGACCCTTCACTTGACCTTTAACTTTTTAGATGGTTCGTGCTGACCGAAGATGCGATAATTTATTATACATCGAGAGATAAGGTAGGTAAGGGTTTTACATTTATTATTTTTATCATGTTCTAGATGCTGAAACGCCAGCAGCGCGGCTGTATGAGGTTACGCGGAGCCATCGTTGGTATAGATGGCGAAAACGAGAGCCTCTTCACGTTGACCCAAGATGGCAAAGTATTTCACTTGCAGGTTTGTAATTTCGTCTTTTTACACTTTTATTTTTAGGGTCGCGATGAGAAAGAGCGGAACGAATGGGTAAAATCGCTGGACGCGGCGATTCGACATTGTAGCGGGTAGGGATTCTCTTGAAAGTTTAAATTGTTATTTTGAGATATCCACCACCAGGTGCCGGCAAGAAGTCGCGTTCGATGAGCAAGCCGGACACGACCCACGACGGACTACGCCAGAAGATCTCCGAGGCCGACTCGCTGATGGCCAAATTTGCTCAACAGGTTCGGAAATATCGCATATATATGGTGTGGCAAAAAGAGCCATTTGGTATTTCGCCGGCTTACATCCGACCGGGAAATTGGGCCAGAGGTGTATCCGACACTAAATAACAACAACACCAAATAACCCCATAGCTACAATACGTTTTGAGTTAAAAAAAACGTGGGTTTTTGCCGGATGAGCTTTTTTGGGGCATTCTGTATAAATCTCTAGTAAATTTATAAGCAACTAGAACTTATTGAAACAAGGGCATGTTTTGGGTGGATATTTTGGGGATGGCCGAAAGTGCTCCTCTTGCGCCGCTCTCTTGGCCGAGTCCTTTATGGGACTCGGGCTCTCTCGGACTCCCTTTACCCCGTGATTGCCAAAAAGTTGCGCCCGCAATGGGGGTCGGCGGACCTGCTGCATGACGAGTTTTGCCTCACGCGCCTGTAGTAATATTGATTTCTTGTGTTGAATGGTTTAGAAAAGGATCCTCTTTCTTTCTAGATAATTTATTCGAATGTCCCACAAACATCTATTTTCCCTGAAATCGTAATTATTTTGCAGCTCAAAGACATCTCACCGGCACGCGAGCGACTCAACGAGACTGAAAAAGCCTCATTTGACGAGCTGCTGTCAACGGGGACTCGGCTTGTCGATACGGTTTGGTAGAAAATTTCCACAAAGAACGGTAATTTAGATAAAGCATTCCGTGATCCTCGTCCAAATGTCGAGGAATCAAATCGAGCTCGACCCCGGTTCAAGGCTGCCATCTTCATTTTCAAATAATGAGGTTGGATCTCCAAAACCGGCGAATGGTGCAGAAAACACAGACCAACCTCGATCAGTCGGTTATTTTTGACGTGCTTTGATTTTCTTGTTTAGGCAGAAAAAGGGGCAACACCAAGCCATCTTCAAGTCAAGGTCCCGCCGATCAGCTACAGCTCCAGCGACGACGAGTTCTACGATGCCCAGGATAACGAGGAGGAGGAGGAGAGCGACAATGAGGACGATTTTGCTAGGGTGAGAGAGCTATGCTTTGTATAGCTTTTCATAGCATCCGCGATTAGCTTTCACGATTGCTTGCATGTTTTGAAATATCCGTTTCTGTAGTTTCCCTCACTTATCCATTGCCATTCCCCGTCTCACTTCCAGGGGCAATGCCCCGCTTCTTCCCCTTATGGTGCAGAAGTTGCTGCAAGGATAAGCGCGCCCGGACCCAAGTTTGTTCGGAGTTATCTGCTCGAAAATCGGCAATTAGCAGACGGATCCGGACACCGAGGACATCGTCTATCGCCGGGCCAGCTCTCCGATCTCTCCGGAATCAGCAAGCGAGGAAAGCGATACATCCCCCAAGGTCTTCACCCCGCGCTATCTTGCTTTTTCTGACTAACGTCCACTTTCATGGACTTCCATTCTTTTTCTTTGTTTTACAGTCATGATTTGAAAAACCTTGTTCAGAGTATTTTGTTTTTCGTTTTATATTTGCATTTATATCTTACGCTCAAATTTAACTTTTTTCAGGAAGAACCCAATCGCGAGACAGCCTCCATTGCCACGCTCACCACCACCAACCCACGAACATCAAAGGCGGCGGTTGACGAGCTCGACAAGTGAGATACATTCTTTTTTTTTGCAAAATGTGCTTTAGATACGACTTTGGCGATGATCACGAGGATTTCGACGAGATCTACGACAACGCCGAGGAGCACGACATTGGGAATGTGCAACAGGAGCACGGATCGGTGCTTGTCCACCTTCTCTCCCAAGTAGAGATTTTTGAACTATGCAAAGCCCCTTTTCTAGGTGTCAGTTGGCATGGATCTGACAAAAGTGACGCTGCCGACCTTCATCCTGGAGCGCCGCTCGCTCCTCGAAATGTACGCCGACTTCTTCGCCCATCCGGACGCGTTCGTGTCGACCAGCGGCCTGGAGAGCGCCGAAAAACGTTTTGTGTAAGTGGATTGCCATGTTTGTTTTAAGAATCACGTTTTTAGCGCCGTCGTTCGCTACTACCTGAACGCATTCTACGCTGCCCGAAAGAGTGGTGTCGCCAAGAAGCCGTACAATCCGATCTTGGGAGAAACTTTCAGGTAGAGCACCACCTTTCCTGAATACCTCTCTTTTAGGTGCCGATATAAAGTGCCGCAACTCGAGGGGGGTGGTGGGAAGACGGCCAGGGGCCCCTTCCCCGGCTCCGACGACAATCACTTGACGTTTATTGCTGAACAGGTGAGTAAAATTATCCTTTGAAATTTTCGCGGGTAGATATTAATCAAAATGACGTACTTAAACTTTATTTTATAGGTATCCCATCACCCGCCAGTGTCCGCGTTCTATGCTGAACATCCGGGACGTCGTGTCTCTTTCCATGGCCACATCTGGACGAAGAGCAGCTTCCTCGGTCTTTCTATTGGTAGTTTCGGAAATTTCTACCTCAAATTTGCATATCTAGGTGTGGCAAATATCGGCTCGGGCACGGTAATCCTGCACGAATACGACGAGGAATACACGGTCACCTTCCCCAGCGGCTACGGGCGCTCCATCATGAGCACGCCGTGGGTTGAATTGGGTGGAAAGGTATGGAGATTGTTAATGGCCGTCTAACAACCCATTTCTAGGTGAAGATCATTTGCGAGAAGACTGGCTACTACGCGGACATTGAATTCTTGACAAAGCCGTTCTTTGGTGGCAAGCCCCATCGCATCCAAGGCAACGTCTACCACGAGGGCGGCAAGAAGCCCATCTTGACCATCAAGTGGGGTTTTAGCTCAAATGGAATGTTTTGATTTATAATTTTTATGGAATATCTTCTTTTTTTTAGGGGCGAGTGGAACTCGGTGATGTTTGCCAAGCCCGTTCACGGCGACGAGTACGTGTTCATCGACGTCAAGGCCGAGCCGGAGGTCAAGAAGGAGTGCGTGCCGGTGATGCAGCAGGGCGAGCGGGAGAGCCGACGGTAATTTATAGATGACATGAGTTTTTGGTTTTTAGATCATGATGGTGACCAATGATGAATTTTAAGACGGTTTTTGGGGCATTTCTGCCGTTTTTACGTAAAAGTAATTCTAAACGTTTTAACTTTGAACATTTTTGACTGTATGGCCAAAATTCGAATAAGAACACCAAAAATGCGCAAAAAGGTTATTTTTAAAAAACGTAAAAAACGTTGCCTATAACGTCCGCTATAGCAAACTAGCAAATGCGCAATAATAAGAAAATAACGATCATTTTAGGTTGTGGCGGCACGTGACGGCTGGACTGCTTCGGAACCGCATCAACGTGGCCACGACGGCCAAGCGCATGATTGAAGAACGCCAGCGGCGAGAGGCCAAGGAACGCACGCAGCGGTTTGTAACAGCATCCTTTTTTTATTTTCAAGCTTTCAGCGGCGAGACCTGGAAGTCATCCCTGTTCGAGAAGGTCGGCGACCGTTGGGTGTTCCGCGACTCGCTCGAAGACCGCAAACCCACCGAAGCTTAATAACTTAACGAATTTACCGTGGTACAGCATTGTGTAGAATTTATTGTTCTCCCCTTTCTCGCCGGCACGCGTACTTGTTTCAACAAAAAACAAACCCTGCCCATTCGCGACTCAAAAGTTACTCTCATTATGTATGTCGCTCTCGATCGGCCAGCCCTCCCCGAAGCTTACACACTTACTACTCTTCCTCCTCCCTCCGTGGTGCCGAACTGTGATATATTGTTTCCGTTCTGTAAATGTGTCTGTCTATAAAATATCTCCCTCTTCCCGATCCGATTTCCCACCCTCCCCAACTCTCCTCCTGCTTTTCGCCATTCTCCGCATCGAAGACCTATCCGGGGCAAGCTGCCTTAAAAAACAACATTTTGGGCCATTGTGAAAAACCCTGCGTGGCTTATTCTTTGACGGATCGTTTGTTATATGTTAGAGCGAGTGAGCTCGAGCAGCATATCTCTGTAAATTTTCCCGGGAACGTTTGGCAAACCAGGTATAAAGCTTTTGAAGTGCAATGGGTCTTGATCAAAAGATGTTCTTGGAACAATTACTACATTTGAAGGATACTTTGGCTTGATCCGGATAAAGTACGGTGATTGTATCTTTATACGTCGTTTTGTCAGATGAACCAAGCATCAACGTCACCGCGACAAGATTTCGACTTCACATTATGTAAAGAAGAACTACATGGATATGTTTTGCAGCTCGAAGGGTGTGTCTGGCTTTGGGTTGGAAGGTAGGCTTCTTATTGGTTCTTTCGCATTATCTGGGGAAAGGCAACAATTTTTTTTTCTTAGAAGCCCATAAATGCTAGTACCGTAATAGTAGGTGTTTTGGTAAGGTTTTTAGCAAAATGGCTTGGTTTGCAAGTAGGAAAACAAACAAGACCGTCGAAAATTTTTTAGTCGAGGTTTGTAATTTTTAATAAAAATTTGTAAAGTTGTTGCGTGCGAGATAACCAAAAACATTTAGAAACACTACAGCTATTTATATTAGAAGAATTGAGTCCTTAGAAAAAGGTTGTTTCCCCCGCCCTGATGATGCGAAAGAATCTTCTTATCCCTCTTGATCCTTTTTAGAGGCTCTCTTAATTCTCTACACCTCTCCATTTTCCCGAGAAGCACCCCAGTACTGCATTCCCCGGAATCTGAAACCACGGACGGCCGGATAGCACTGCGCGTTGGCAAGCTTTTCCCGGATAAACAGGTAGAAACATACTTCCGCTTCGTAAAACGCAGTTTTCTCTTTAGGTGTTCTTCTCGACGGACTTGATCTCGGACAACCCGGAATACTGGAATGAACTCTACAACACCCTGCTCACTTCCTTCAAGGAGTTGGGGCTGTTGCCCAAATAAGTACTGTTTTTTTTCGGCGGTTGTTGATTTTTCTCCCCAATAAATTATTACAGCTGCAAGATTTGGTCGAATTTCGTTTGGCTTCGGGAATATTTGATGCATGCTCTGATCATAATAATTTTAAATTTAGGATGCTGTCTTCTCGAGCTCTGCCTCTGCAAACAATCAGCAAAGTATGCTCAAGGACGCTGGCATCAAAACCGGGAAAGGTGGTGCAATTGCGTAGAATAATCTTTTTTTTCCAGTCTCGCGAAGATATCATCAGGGAGAAGACACCGAAGGGCAAGCTCGACGTGCGCGATTTTATGGAGAAGAATAAGGACAAGCCGGCCAAATCTAAAGAGGTTTGGAATTTACGACTACATGCAACTACGGCTTTAGGTGAAAGTGTATGTCGATCCGTATCTGTTGAAGCACCCGGAAGGCGTCAATCAGAAGACGGGAGAAGTTGATGGGCCTGCTGGTAAATTAGACCACTTGTTTAGTAATATCTTCCTAGGGCCAGAACCGACTCGATTCGGCGATTGGGAGCGGAAGGGGCGCGTCTCTGATTTTTAAACCCTTTCAATGTATAGATGATTGCTTTGATAAAGCTATAGATTATTTAGTTGTCGATTTTCAGTGTTGATTCCAAGGGAATTATTTGTATGTTTGGACGGAAGAGTAAGGCTTTTAATAAGCTTATTTGGTACCCAGATGCTCGCCCGAGTGGCCGAGTCCTGTCGGCTACTACAACCATCAGCAACTCTCGCGGCGACAACTTCTAGCAGATCCATCGCACGAATTCCGGTCTGGGAACGACATATCAGGTATTGTGTCTAGGCAAAATCATATTGTTTTCTAGATTTGATCCAGCGGAAGGCCGAAAAAGACCGTCGCAGGATGTACTGGATCGTTTTAAGGTAGCGCAAATATTTAGCTCAAATCCTTTTTTTTTCAGAGGCTGAACAACGGGATGTGGATTCGAGCGGTTCCCGGATGGCACAAACAGCGCTACTTCAAGGATGACAAGTGGCAGGTCCGTTTTTCAACGGTACTCGTTTCTATTAGTTCTTCTAGGAAACGTCTGTATACTATGAAACGTGCACAAAAGACGAGTGCCAAATGCTCGATAGGATGATGACACCATTTTGGCTACGCAGAAAACATTACCCGGATGATCCCTACAAGTGAGAAAGCTGGAGCGTAGCCTATTTTTTCTTAGGGCCTATCACGTGCGGCACGACGTCAAATCGCCGCGGGTCGATGATAAAGGCAAATTTCTGCGGGAACGGCCGAAAGTGCTACTCGAAGACAGTGTCGCCGATGTTTATTTCCGTGATCGATAGGAATAGTTGTTTCGCGTCGTTGATTATTGATTAGGATTTGTGTTATTGGTTGGAATGGTAAGCGAATAAAGTTTATGATTTTTATGCTGTCACTTTTTGGATATGTATTGTCGTATTAATACTTATTACAATGTTTTAAACGGTGTTCAGATTTTCCAAAAAAGCTAGTGCAGGATTTACCCATCTTTAGAAACCATTTTGCACAAATGACTGCCTTGGATTTGGTGCAGGATGCGATCAACTCGCCAATTCGGTAAATTCGTTGCTTTTCAAAACGGCTTTAGTTCCTTCTTCGGCGAATTTCTATTGCTGGATGAGGTGCGCCTGCTGGAGAAGACGAACAAAGACGTTTGGGATATGCTGATGGTCTTCGCTTTTGGTATTAAATTTTATTCTGGCTAAAAACTAAAAATTTAGGCTCACTCTCCGATCTCCCAGCCACCACCTCACTATCAGAACCGTTGACGCTCAAACTGAAGCAGCTGACCCTGATCTCGATGGCCACCAGGGATCGGTAAGCAGTTTTTTGCGTCGTTCTAACTAAGTAGTTTCAGCCGTATTTCGTACGATACGCTGGGCCAAGAGCTCAAACTAGACTCGGATCATGCCGTTGAGGTAACTTGAAGTTAACCTTTTCTAAATTTTCGTAATTTCTAGGAGTTGGTGATCGATGCAATCTACAAAGGACTAATCAAAGGTCGTCTAAATGGATGCGGTCGTTACGTCGAGGTAAATCTTTTACGTGGCTCATTTTTACGGTTTAGGTGGAAGAGTGGCAAGCACGTGATCTGCACCCGGACAAGATTGCCGAAATTCGAAAGGTGCTTGATAAATAGGGGTGTGAATTAATGCCTTTTAGGCATTTGACAGCTCGCTCCAAAACGTTGGCAATGTTGTCGCGGAATCGCAGGCAATGGCTAAGCGGTACTTTTTAGCTGGTTTTTTTTTGCTTCTTTCAGATTATCGGGGTGGGGACCAACTTTTTTTAAAGTCCAGAAATGCCTGGTAACGTAATCGTGTATTTTTAGTAAAATTTAACTTGATTTAAGTAGCAAACAAATAAACAAGCTAAAAATTTTTTTGATGGATTGGTTGAAAAATCGTGATCATTTTTTACTTTTTATCAAGGGTTGAAAAACAGCTTCGCGGCTTTTCAACCCTGGCCCCGTCTAGTCTCCATGATAATACCGCTTTGCATGTCTTTGATCTTTATTATTTATCCTTTATAGCGAGGAAGCTTTGACGTTTTCGGCCAACTTCGAAGAAGAAGCCCGGAATATTTGCATTCAAAAAGGTATCCTTTTTTAGTTTTCCCACTTATCTCCATTACTTTATAGCCCGCGCGGAAGTTGAAGAGGAAATGCGATCGGTCGGCCCGCCAAATTACGCCCCGTCTCGACCGTCGACATCGACAGCTGGGTTTCAGCTGGTGGGTTTGCTGGTGAAACTGGAGCCATTTTGCGCGCGGCCCAATGCGGCTCGTAGCTTCTTCCGGATGACTCCCCGAATTATAATTGCCCGTCCATGTTCCAGGGCCCGAGGCGTCGCATCCCGGGTCAGAAGCGCACCCAACTGTCCAAGTGAATACCCCGGAAATACGAGAAGACGAGGGCCCCGAATTGTGCGCCTATAATTATCTCTCGATACGTGTATTGTGATGGTCTTTTGATGCAGAATAAAGAGATAAAAGTTTTGACAGGGAATTAATGCTGAAAATAGCTTTTTCAAAAGTGGATGTCGTCAGACAGATTGTGGCTGTCTGTTTGATCTCCCCTTTTCCCAAGCTGCATTGTATGCTATGCAGCTTGCCTACGGCCCAGTTTCTAAGTGTCCATTTCCGCTGTATTGTTTCGACCTCTTCAGGGCGGCCATTGAACGCGATCGCCCTCCAAAGCCATAGTTATCCCAGCGGTGAATACTCGATAAGGGGTGCCACCTGGGCGCTGTTGATTGTCTGCGGGAAATGAGCCGGATTGCATTGTCTGTGCGTGCCTTCCAGTTGGTCTGTGTGTTATCTACCGGGATAATTGTCGGCTGGCATGTAAAGGGTGCCAATTGATGTCCCGGATAATGGACACGCTGCCCGGAAGCCGATTGCCCCAGGTGACAGGTGGGCGCGGATTGGCCCGGGGGTTACGGTAGGTTTCGCACTATTTTTGGCAATTAGGATTTAGTTCTTTCGCATTATCGGGGGGGGGGGGGGTTGTAAGGCCAATTTTTATAACATAAAAGTCTTTCGAAACGTTTTTCGAACTTTACTCTTTACTCCTAAGGGCAAAACCTTCACAAATTTTCAGTAGAAAAAGAACAAAAATATCGATTCTTTTTTGACTGAAAATGCTTTTTCTTTTTTCAAAAACGAAGTAATTTTTAGTAATAAAAAGTAAATAAATAATTTTTATGTCCTTCATCACCTCAAAAATAAAATATTTTGTAGGGAAACTTTCAAAACGGCTCTTCCCCAACAGGCCGAGGTTGATCAAATATGCGCTCGGTGCCGGCATCTTCAAGGCGGAATTGAGATTCAGCACCACACCATATTTTGGGCGGCCACCGGGCTCGTATGAATCAACACCGAATACGGTATTACAGTACGATCCAGGTGTCGGGCATGACTTTAGGGGTGTTCGGCTCGCTGAGCTGGCCGTGGGAAAATGGCGGCGGTTTTGGGCCTATGAAAAAATTGCAGCAGTTCCGGCGGTCCCCGGCGAAATTACGGGGTTTGGACGAGCTTCTCGTTGGCCTGATGAGATTACCGTAGACGACGAGCCGACGCGCTCTCGGAGTAGTTGAGGCGAAGGGTCGGGGGATAACGCGATTAGCTCCCGATCGAGCCCTTCACTTGGGCCGAGCGCCAAATAGAATTCATTGAGAAGCCCTCATTACTCGCCAAGGAAGCGGTATCACGAAAAGCGCGATACTTGCTCTTGGAATGTGGATTGAGTTCCCACTTTCATCAGCTATTGCGAGGCGTAATTTGTCGATTTTACCACTTTTGTGGCAATAATACACGTTGAAGTTCCGCTATGAAACCGAAAAACGGTCGAAAAAATGGGTACTTTCTGACGGTTAAGAGAGGCTCCAATTTTCAAGATTTTTATGAAAAATTAAATTTTTTCTGGAGAAAAACGGAAATTTATATATCGTTAGCCTCCATGATAGAAATCGAGAGAGAACTAAGAATGAGAGCGAGAATTTAATATTACAACTCGTATTGGGAGGTTTTGATCTAAAAAGCGGAATAAAATAACATTTGTCGCCTCGTGTGTAATTGCTAAAAATAGGTTATGCAATAATATTTGGGTAGTTCAGGACCTGAATTTTAGCTGAACATAGCAGTGTGCGGTTTCGTCGCGGATTTAGCTAACGTCTTTGGGACGATTCAGCTCATTTTTTAGGTATGGCTTGATAACACAAAATTCTGACACATTCCGCGTAGATTTTTTTGGTTTTTTCGTACTTCATAGGTACAAATAAATAGGCGATCCCCACTACGGCAGCAATTCCTTCCTCCACACCGGCAAACTCACTAGTCAAACCACCCATTAATGGGGGCTTTGTCATGATGGGCCCTAAGTGGCCAGAATGGGTGTGTGGAGAGTGTGGCCGGGGGGCTGATCTAATAATTGTCGTTTTGGGTGGTGTGGGGCAATTGACAGATGCCGCCGGGTCGAGATTAACTTGCCGTGGTGGTATCTATTTGGTAAACAAACTCTGGAAGGAAATGCTTGAGGAACTTTAGAGGAAAGTACTCGATCGACTGTAGCGATTCGAGGCATCGGTAGCTATCCAAATTATGGGGGGCCCTTTTTTAATAGGTCCAGCAGAAAAATTCGGCAATGATAAACTTGATATCCGATCGAGGACCCTAGCATGTTTAAATTATATGTAGCACACTGGAAAACGGCAAAATCCCGACAGTCAGAAGCCCAGATTTTAAAAAAATTTATGGGTAAAACGGCCAGAATATCACATTTTAGCTGTCGGGATTATGGCTGTCGGGATTTTGAATGCCGGGATTATGGCTGGAATTCAAATTGCTCCGGTAGGCGACGTAATTCAGCGTACCGGGTACGGTAGCCCATCCAAATTGTAGATGTTTCCCAATTTCAGTGGTGGAATGAGTGTCGTCGGAATGGTCGGCCCCTCCTTTTTAACCAGCCCGGCCATCATCAAGTCCGACTCCTGAATAACCAACGGCGAATTCTAAAAGACGTCCTTTGCCTCTGCCCTCTCCTGTCCCCTCGTCAACCAAATTCACTACGGGCCGGCATAAAGTGGGGCGGCTTTTCGGATAATATAAAAGGTAATATAAGCCGTATTAAAAACCATATTATACCTTTCGAAATCTGCCGCCAATAAATAAAGGCGGAGCCTATTTTCGGCGGTGGCGCGGAATAAATTTTGTGGAGCTTTGGCCGGGCGGTTGGCTTCATTTTTAGCGTACCGTTCTGGTGTGCCATATTTTCTAACTTTTGGAATTTTTAACGTTTTTGATCAATTTTGGTTATTTCTGGGCGTGGTTAAATGGTAGCGTGTTGGGCGGCGATGTGAATGGTCCGGGTTCGAGTCCCCGGAAAGGCAGAGAAGCTTTTTGATTTTTGCTTTTTAGGACCGGGGTATATTTTCGGGGGAATTCCGGAGCAACAATTGGCCCGAATGGGGTGGGTCTATCCCATTTCCGGGGGGCTTGAGGAGGGCCATTTGAAATGGAGCGAGAGAGAGAGAGAGAGAGAGAGAGAGAGAGAGATTCGCGCGGTGAGCGACAGTCGATTATCACGCTGTCACCACTAATTCTGGCCCCAGAAATGGATGTGAGAGAAGGAGAGAGAGAGAGAGACGTGGTGATGGTTTTTCTTACTCCTCCTCCTCGCAGCAGGAGCCGCCATTTGAGGAACGGGAGGGTGATGAGCACCCCCCATTTCGGCCTCCCCCACCCAGCAGTCACCGCTCCACCAACCCCTCAGCCCTTTTAAGGGGAGCTGGAATTGGATGAAGCTCTTTCCGATTAAAGGAATCGTGCCAGGGAGCCCAGACGCAAAAAGCAAAAAGTTTTGCCGCCGGCGGGGGTCGAACCCTGGTAGCTCGCCTGACAAGCGAGAATGCTACCAAGTAGCTGGAAGGCGGGGCTTGCTCCCGGATTTAGGGAAACGAAAATCTCATGCTCCCTAAACCGCTTCCAGCTCTCCTACACCTCCTAAGCCCCAACCTAACCCTAAGCCTAAGCCTAAGCCTAAGCCTAAGCCTAAGCCTAAGCCTAAGCCTAAGCCTAAGCCTAAGCCTAAGCCTAAGCCTAAGCCTAAACCTGAACCGAGAGCTCCTAAAGACGTTGTTCTCAGCCCCTTCCAGCCAGAGCCAAGGAAATCCGTTATCGCAGGGTCCCCCGCAGCGCCCGGAATGGGGTGAAGAGGGCCACATTTCAACCGGAGGGCCAGCTAGCCGGGGTGAAATTCGTCAAAATCGTCGGGATGTGGATGGGAGATGGGGGTTGATCGGCGTGTGTGTGTGGGTCTCTCTGTCTGTCTGTCTTCCTGTATGCGCAGGTGCCATGCATCTGGCACCTCGTTTTGCTGGCCTGTACCGTTCCCCCAGCGCCGAAATCCGTCACTCACTCTCTCTCTCTCTCTCTCTCTCTCTCTCTCTATCTCTCTCTCTCTCGCCTTGTGTACGGTAGGGCCCCTATCGACGCAATATCCCCTGTCACATCCGACTTACCTCCCCTGGGCTACAGATCATCACCCCGCAAACAAAAGGCCATCCGGGGGTGTGGACGATTGATATCTCGTTTTAAAGGGAACGTACCACCAGGCTCACCAATTTCCAGCAGCTTACGGAAAAAATTAGGAAAACTAAGCAAGAAAAACCAATAAAAACGTTTTTACATGTAATGAATTGGTAGTATGCTAGGCCGCCACCTACAAGCTTCGACTTCTGCCCGCGGCAACGCTTTTTGTTTTTTGGGGAATGGCTTCAGACTATTTATATATTGCAAAATCAAGCGTATGATTTGCGATTATTTGACCTAACGGGTCTGGTAAGGCTGAAAAATCAATAGAAAGGGGCCAGAATTCGAATTTTTGGTGGATTGACTGTAATGGTTTTAAATTTTTTGCGATTATTTATCTGCCTTCACAGTCCCTTTAGAAGCGTTAACGGGCTATTTAGGGGGCCAAATGGGGTCAATAGAAATGGCTGCTATCTCCTTTTGTTTGCTATTGACGATGATCCCCCCCCCCCTGGGTTGATGATGGTCACAACCTGACAGCCCCCGGCGCATTGCGTAACACTCCAAATTTACCGTAGATTTTTATGGGGCAGGTGGGGCCAGGAAACGGGGCTACCGACTAGCTAAAAATTTAGACAAAAATTCGTGGAAAAATAATTAAATAGAGACCTTTTAGAAAAAACCCGGACCTAGGTGGATGAGGTTTTCATGGATTTTCTCCCTTCCTAGACCCTTTAAGAATCAGGAAGATTGATTACCCGCAAGAAACTGCTTCTTGAAGCTATTCCCGCAAAAAGAAAAAAATTCGCTACGGGCGGGAGTCGAACCCGGGTCGTTTTCCTGGAAATCGAGAGCTGTACCAATTTGCCACCAAAACGGAGTCGGAAACATGAAAAATGTTGTTCTTTCCGGACGTTCAAATTACCGTAACCGATCTGGCTCCGATGGTCCGTTTTTAAATAATTGTAGCCAGGTTGCCCTTGGGGGGTCTCGCCTCGACCATCCCCCTCCCCTAGGGTTGAGAGGATAATCTGCCCCCTCTAAGTATCGGCATTTCCCTTACAACCACAAAGAGAATGCCTTGATCCCCCTCCTTCATACATATCAAAATCTGCCCCATGACCCTTTTTGGGGGGATATCGGTTCCGGTTGAAGACTGTTGCCAAGCCAGAGATGACCCAAAAACTTTCTGAAGGACCCAATAAGGCATGGGAAGGCTCCCGACAAACGATGAAGACGCGAAAACACCATAAAAAAATATTGTTTTCATGCGCGTTTTCATAAACGCGGGGCCGGTGGCTAATTGGTAGTGTGTTAGCGTTCCAGACCAACGACCGGGGTTCGACCCCCCCGTGCGGCAGATTTTTTTTGCTTTGCTGAAAATCAAGCATGGTATTTTTGCTGTAAGGAGCCAGAGCCGATTGGAAATTTGGAAAAGAAAGAGAAAAAGGTTAAGGTTTTAACGTGGGTCCTGGAAAATATGATATTTGGAACCTTCTTTACCCATGAAAATGGCTCTAAGCGTCGATTTAAGAAATTCGAAGCTCTTTAAAAGTGCTGCACAGCCGAATCCCTGATTCTTAAGCAAGAAGCAAAAACTTAGACTTCGCCGGGATTCGAACCCTCGAGGTTTGTACTAAGAGGAAGCATCTCTACCCACTAAGCCATACCTAAAAAGCGATCGGAACACGGCTAAGCAGTTTTTCAGATTTTTGGCAAGCTGCCAAAATTTTGCGAGCCTTGCCGGTCCCTTTAAAGTCATTCTAGCCGATCCCTCCGCCATGCCGTTCGTCGTCCCCAAAAAGTCGATAAGCTGTTGGGGGAGGGTCTTCTGTGTCTTTTGTGCTCATCCATGGACGGCCGATGGGAAAAAAACACAAGAAGGGGGGAAGGGAAGGGGGCACCGACCGCATCGACACCCCCCTTTTTCAGCCCCAACCTAGTCACATCGACAGGCCATACGGCCCCGAAAAAAGTGTGACTCGTCCCTTTAAAGGCACCGGGAAGGCAAGCGACACTATCAATTTAACTTAATTTAACTGCGCCACGACGCAACGCAATGTCGCATACTCCTTAAGGGGACCTAGAAGGCATCCTTTCCCTGTGGATTTTGACCGCAGCGACAAGCAACGCGCGGTTTGGTCGACAGACACTTAAATATCGTAACCTATTACCCCCATGCAATTCCCCAAAAATATGACCGGGGCCGTTAAATGGATTGGGAAGTCCATACTGGCTATGGATTACCGCGACACGCAACGCAGGCGCCTTCTTTTCCACTTTAAAGATCTTGTGAAGTGAAAATTTTAATTCCAAATCCCAGGGAATGGCAGAGGAGCAGCCGGGCGGTGAACAGCTCGAGGTCGACGAGGTCCTCATCACGCATGCACAACTACGGCAGGTCAGCTTGCACTTTTGGGGGGGATTCGCAAGCTAGCAGAATTTCTTAGGGAATCGGCCTCGAAATCCGAGGCAATCTAGCAGAGATCCTTTAAGAATTTCTCATCACCCTTTTGATGCTTGGCAAGCTAACAGGGTTTAGTTGGGAAATCCTCCAGGGTCCTAGGGCAGGCTAGCAGTGTTTTCCCTGGAATTACGACCCGATTATCACGCTAGCTACAAGTTGTGTGCTGCGAGAGAGAGTGAGAGCGAGAGAGAGAGGGCGAGAGAGAGCGAGGACGAGGGAGAGCGAGAGAGAGACCAAGTGATGCCCGGCCGGCTCATCGGTATGCTAATCTCTCTCTTGTGGTCTGTTGGGGGGGCGGGGGGTGCGACACCTTGGGCCGCGCTTCATTGCCGATTCACGAGGAGATGCTCATTTACACCTTTTCAAGGGGGAAGGGACTGGGCGGGAGATGATCATCATCTCCAACCAGGTATGAGACACAGGAGAAGCTGCTTTAAAGTATCTCACCAGCTTTTCCCTTTGAAAGGTACGGGAGTGGACTCTTGACGGGAAAGTGGGCGTGGCCTAGGCGTCGGGTTGGCTCTGGCGGACGGTAGATGAGGGGCGGGATTTCAGAGAGGAGGAGGGGGAGGGGAAGGAGCCCATCCTCAACCCCTTCTGACAGACACATACTACGCGACACTACCCCCTTGTCTAGAGTATTCGAGCGGAATTTTTGCGTGATCAGATCCCGATCTATTTATCTAGCGTCCAAACGAACCTATTAATGCACGAACCGGCGCAGGCAATTGCCGAACAGGCACCCTATCCACAGGTATTTTTTGGGTACTTTTTACACTATCTACACTTCAATTTTTTCAAATTTTACGTATAAAAAGTAGAATAAGATAAGGTACTTTTAAGATAATTTTTTGTTTTCCCATTTTTTATCTTTTTGCTATTGCAAAATTTTTATTCCAGTTAAGTATTTTTGCCCGTCTAAAGTACGCTACCGTATTCTTTCGCGATTAATATTTTTTCAAATTTTTAATCTAAATTTCGAATTTTTCAAATTTTTTCGATCATCTCCTAGATTTCGCCCGTGGGCACCGCGTGCACTCGAGTTAGTTTTTAACTTAATTTTTTGAATTCGATAGCTTTCGGGGTTGTTATCGATTTTTGCCATTCTCCCCCGATTTCCCCATTCTAATTACCCCCGCATGCAAATTTTCTGGCAACCCCGGCTCTGGGAATTCTTGATTTTTCTTGACTTTTTTGGGTTTTCCACAGCTTTGCACTTCAAATGACGGTTGTAGCTGATTTTGTTAGCCTTTTTGGAGGTGTCATTGGGTCTCACGTGTAGTTGTCTAGGCCTAGTCCACAAAAGGAGTCTACTGTGTGGCTTTCTATTCGTTTTAGCAGCTAGCGGAGATCATTAAGGCGAGGCCAAACGTTCCGGGCAAGCTAGCAGTAGCCTTTGGAGTTAATTGAGACCGAGAAACGTAGATTCTAGACCTAATCGACGGAAGGGGTCGATTCTGGCCTTTCTAAACCCTTTAAAGCCCATTGAAGCACGGTTCTCTGTAGGAGCATCACCATCTGTTGCTCTTCCCCTCTCGTCCTGGCGCCTCTAAATACTTGGCTGATCATGTTTATTCATCAAATTCGGGGGCTGGGGCTCCACCTCTTCCTCCTGCTCCTCTTCCACCTCTTTCTCCTCCGGCCAGCTGCCTGGGAGGAGAAAATGGTAAATTCCGGAATTTTGATTTCGACGGCGGGGGAAGGGGGCGAGGCGCGGACTTTGCATTCGCGGCGCGTTGCTGCTCTGGAGGCTGGGGCGTCGCAATTATGCGTGTGCTTTTTTCAACCGACGGAATCGACCGGCTTTTGCCGTAGAATTGTCGATATTTTTTTGATTTCGTGGTCTTTAAGCATTGAAAAATTTTCTCGATGTTTTCTGCGAGTTTCCCTGGTCTCTTAATTAGACTTTTACTTCCAAGTATGTCTGCTGCTCGCATCCCCTCGCGCAGCAGTTAAATTTCGTTCACCCAAAGATCTTTGCTGTGTGTCCTTTGGCTCACTTTGTGCGTCAGTTGTTCTGGAGCAGTCTCTGCTAGCCTGCCCTTGCCTCGCGATTCAACGAGAAATTTTAATGGCTCAAATACTCTCTGCTAGCTTGCCTGGATAGGGCTAGATTTTACCCCCATTTGATCCGGTTACGCGTTGAAATTAACCCCGTTGAGTTCCGCCAATAATCTCTGCTAGCTGCCCCTCTACTTTGAGCCCTCTCGATATTCCCAACCCCAAAATGAGCAATCGATTGATAATCCCCCGTCCCGTAGAGGAGCAGTCTCGCCGTCGGTAATCCCTTTTGGGGAGTCGCTCTCTCTCTCTCTCTCTCTCTCTCTCTCTCGCTCTCTCTCTCTCAGTGGGTTACGGTATTCGAGTGGGTAGTAGAGTACAGATGACAACTCTTTCTCATATCACGATTCGCTTGCACACAAATTTGCGCAACACCTATTGTGGCTATATGGATTTTGAGGTTGATGAGGTGGGGCAGCTAGCAGAGGCTCTTTCAGAAATCTGTCCGTAATGTCATATTAGCAGTAATCTTTGTGACATTAGACTCTTTTAACTAACCTTGGCATCCTAGTAAGCGTTCTTTGAAGCTACCGGAAACGGGAAACCAGCATAGATTGGTAGTTTCCAGCGTTTAGATCTTTCAAATTTTTTGGCAGGAAGAAAATAAGCTCGTACTAATGCAAAAACCTATTTAATCGGGATGGGAAAAGCTTAAAAAAATCATAAATTTGCAGGTAAAATTGTACTTTTTCAGCTAAGCGTCATCAAGCCGACGTGCGATGCGACGGCGGGGTTCGCGGATTGGGGCGGATATGGGGCACAGATGGGCTCACATCATACATTCCCATTTCCATTCCCCCTCGGCCATGAATGGGCCAATGCCTACGGGGCACAACATTTACAGGTGGGTGGAAAGTTGAGGAACGCATGGAGGCAGTATTAATGGATTTCCTCAAAATTTTGTAGACTTGCGAATCTAGCTTCAGCGTTCCTTTAAAAACGCCCCCATTTTGCAGCTTTATATGGAAAAGCGAAAATTTAGGTGTCTGGAGTCGAAGCTGGGTCTTGTGACTGATAACCTAGCACACTACCAATACCAAAATTCGGATTTTCGGATTTATATAGTATTTTCAGGGTTTAAAACTCCTTTTTCAGTTCCAATTCCCGCAAATCCAGCAGAACCCGGCTGCCGGCGTCGTGATGCCCACGGAAATGAAGGTGGTTAGTGATTTTTAGAGTTTTTGCGCGCGAGTGTATTGGTAAAGCTCTCGATTATTCGGAGAGGGACCCGGGTTCGAGCCCCGTCCGCTGCAACTTTTTGCTTTTGCTCGATTCCATAGGAATCTCGATTCCTAGGCGCGCGTCTTTGGGTGTGTGTTGCGTACGCGGGTTTTTCGCTCATGTGTGTGTGTTCCCATTAAAGGTTAGGTGATTCCCAGGAGGTGCGGGCGGTGGGAGAGAGAGGGAGAGAGAGAGAGAGAGACGACGACGATCGGCGTAGAAATTCCTGTATACAGGCCCTGTCCAGCCCTTCAATGTCACATCGATCGCGTTCTCTCTGCCCCCCCCCCTCTCTCTCTATCTCTCTCTCTCCCCCTCTACACGCTTCACCGGTTACGGTAGCCCGCTCGCCGCCCGCCAGCCCGTCCATGGGAGGATCGGGCGCGTGGCTTCACCCCCCCCCCCCGCCCCCCTCTTTCACCTACCACAAAAAGCGCCCAAAAATATGAGGGGGGAGGGGGTAGCTAGGGAAATTATGAGCGTTTTTCCCAAAATCGCTGCTAGATTGCTTGGTCTTTGACGAAACCAAATGGCCTCTGCTAGCATGCCTCTTGAAAACTGCCGCAAACAACCTCTGCTAGCTCGCCTACCCAGAACCCAAGAATATCAGTAGATCCTCAAAGAACTCTGCTAGCTTTCCCTCCCCTGGATCCCCAAGTTTTGGCCCTAAATCCGGGCCCCAAGGGCCCCACCAGCAGTCAAATTTGCCCCGGGGTTTCGGATTGGAGGTGGTGGAAGGAGAGGAGGAGGAATAGGGGAAAGCCAAGACGCTGGGATGGGGCAAATAAGCGGAAATTGCTTTGGCTCGGGGCAAGAGTTGGACTGGGCCCTAAGGGGGGAGAGTGGGCCCTAAGCTTTCAGGATGGGCCCCCATCCCACCCCAAAATCACTTGCTAGTAAATCCTGTTGGTCACAGCTTAAATTGGGGGCATTTTAAAGGGGTCGGAAAGGGTATGGCAAGACTGGAATAACAGCGTAATCGATTGAATATTCTCTGGTGATCTCGGCTAGTTTGCCAATTGCTTGGGATTCCTCAAATAACCCCTGCTCGCTTGCCTCTAATTTTAAACGATACGACAAGGCTAAAAAAACATTGCGAAACTGGTTTCATGAATTCTCTAATGATCTCTGCTAGCTGGCCTAAAAATACAGCTTTTAAATGGCGTCACCGGATCCAAATTTTCCCAAATGATCGCTGCCAGCCCCGCCTCTCTCCCGGCGTGCTATTTGAATGTCTCGGAATGTCTCCTTCTCGAGAGAGGTCGACCTCCCTCAACCCTTTCCCCTCCGATACAATAGACGGGGCACAGCTTTTACGGTAGCCCTCTTTTCTTCTTTTTCTTTTGGGTAGAAGGGAGAGGGTGTCACAAATGGGCAAACCCCCCCCCCAATACCCATGATCTCTACAAAGCGGGGGATCAAGGAGGGAAGCTAGCTGAGATTTTTGAAGATTGGGCAAGAATTTCGGGTACTGTAATCCATCAAGTCGTCTAATTGAACCATCGAGGTGTTAAAATTTGAAAAACTAGCAGTGATCATTGGAGAATCTAGTTTCCAGGGCAAGCTAGCAGAGGTTCTTTCGGAAAGAGTAGCTATCTTTTGGGATACGCAACCTATTGATTTTCAGGGCATGCTGGCAAAGTTCCCTGGGGGAAGCACTATAATCGATTACGCCATCGATGTAATCTTTCCTTCAAGGCTCCTTTAAATTTTAGGTCGAGCTAGCAGAGATCATTTGGGTGTAAGGAAAAAAATAATAGGGATATTCTAGAAAGAGGGTGATAAAGAAGAATATTTTTATTTTCTATAGCTAGCAGATATCCTTTGGGAAAGCCCATAATCGATTACGCCATCAAATTATCATTCCGTGCACCTTTAAAATCTAGGGCCAGCTAGCAGAGACCATTCAGGAATTTTTCACCCTCCTATTTCCCAATACCCATCCCCTATGCCCCTGAAAAACAAAGCACCCCACGCCGACCCGAAAAAATCGATTCGGCAAACGGCACGGGCCAATGATGGGAAGAGCTATGCGGGATCTGTGAATATACCAGAAAGGGGAAGGAAGGAGTAATCTATTATTTATATTCCAGGCCGAGCCCGAACGAGCGGATGTCATCCAGAGATTGGGAGGGCACACTGCCGCCGCGGTACCCCACAATTGGGCCTATTTCCACAATGATGAGACGGCTAGCAACTCGCAGCTCAGGTAACGTAGAAAATACGGTACTTCAAAAGTTTTTTTTCTTGAAAACTAAGCGAATAAACCACAGTTACAAACCGTTATTTTTGTAAATTTTTGTTTTGTTCGATAAACCAGACTTTTGGTAATTTTTGAAAAAATGAGAATTTATTTAATAATAGGTTATTTACAAAATAATCTGGCTTTTAAAGCTAAATTATATTTGCAATTTTTTAGCGACGATGCCGAGCCTACGTGCTCCGACGATTTGGAAAACTTTGCCAAACAGTTCAAGCAGCGGAGAATCAAGCTGGGGTGAGAAAATTGGATGACCAGGATTAAACTAGCAGAAACACTTGAAGAAAGCAGGCTAGCAACGACAATTGCGGAAATCCACAAAAATGTTATTTTTAAGATACACGCAAGCGGACGTGGGAATCGCCTTGGGAACGCTGTATGGGAACGTCTTCTCGCAGACGACGATATGTCGATTTGAGGCTTTGCAGCTATCGTTTAAGGTGGGGCTACAAACTACAAACTATAGAAAACTACCGAAAAATGCCTAATAATTAAAGGAAAGAAGCGCGTAAATATGTTCACTAATAGACATAATTACATTTGATAAACGTCTAGAATATGTGCAAGTTGAAGCCCCTGTTGTTCCGATGGCTAGAAGAAGCCGATTCGACGTCATCATCGCCAAATTCGGCCTTTGAGAAAATGACCGGGCAGGGAGGGAGAAAGGTAGGTCCAATCTCCCTAACTCTCTGTCTCTCTCACTCTCTCTCTGTTTCTCTCTCTCTCTTCCCTATCTCTCGTCTATTCCTATATCCGAGCCAGATCATTCAGAGAAAGAAGCGTACATCGATCGAGATGAATGTGAAGAGTCGCTTGGAGTATTACTTCCAAAAGAATCAGAAGCCAAACGCGCAAGAAATCGCCCAGGTGGCTCATGAATTGACGCTGGAGAAGGAGGTGAGAAATTATCAGTTGTCCACGAAAATCACTGCTGGCTTGCCAGGATTTTCCGAAATTTTCTATGCTAACTGGCCAGAGTTTTACGAGATTTCCAACTTGATCACTGCTAGCTCGCCCTGTTTGCCCCAAGGATCACCGCTCGCTAGCCCAGAACACTTTTGCCTAAAGAATCGCTGCTAGCGGCTCAGCTTTCCACCAATTTTCCCTGCTACTACCCCGTTTTCCTAAAGAATCGCTGCTAGCCGGCCTTAGCTTGCTCTTTACCGCAAATCTGCCTGATCGCTTACCGTAGATTTTCTCCAAATAATCGCTGCTAACTGCCTCCATTTTTCAAAAAAATTAGCTAGCTTGTAGTGATTTTCCGCAATAATCACTGCTAGTTGACCCCGATTTCCGCAATTGTCGCTGCTAGCCAGTTCGGAAATTTCCACACAAGTCAGTGCTAGTTGCCCACAGTTTTACTGATCCATGTGGGGTGGCTCCACTTTCCTAAATAATCACTGCTGGCAGGTCACGTTTTACAAAAATTCCTGTACGGCCTGGTTCCGAATGTCACAGCCTGCATATGGCTGGTTCCTAAATAATCCCTTATCCATAACAATCGCTGCTAGGCTGCCCAGAGCTTTTTCCTAAACAATCACTGCTAGTTTACCGGATTTTCCACAAATTTCTCTGCCAGATGCCCCTCTAACTTCCAATTTCCAGGTGGTCCGCGTTTGGTTCTGCAATCGACGCCAAAAGGAGAAGCGCATGACGCCCCAATATCAACAGGAAATGTTGCTACAAAACGTGCAGTACCCCCACGAATTCCTATACGGTGCACCCGGCATTCCACTCCAAGCACCCCATGGATAACACCGATTACACCATGTAATTCGCTGCCAACTAGCGATTTTTTGCAAAAATTAAACTTTTTGGCCGCATTAAAAATCTAAAAATTAAGAATATAATTTTTTGAAAGATTGATATTGGTTAAAATCACTATAATTTGCATAACAAACACCCCTCAAAGCTCCCACAAGGTTTTTTTCTAAATTTTTCTCCGATTTCGCATATTTATCCCTCGAATTTTGTGATATTTTGAAGCAATTTTTACCATGGTTTTTAACGTACAGCCGTTTACATTTAAATGACATTAAGATCATTATTTCCGGTGTTTCTCTCTGTCTTAAAACTTGTTAAAATCAATATTTTCATTTTTAAATCACCCAATTTCAAGTTTTTCTTTCCCCAGAGCGCCATCCCGTCAGTCTCCCTATGGGTATTTTTGTGGTTTCAAATGTCGTCTATTTCTTCGAATTTTCAAACCCTTCCTAGAGCAAATTCCGTTAAAAAGTGACCCTCGACAATTTATACCGAATTTTGCGCTTTTTTTACTGTGTTGCTGTGTATTTGGTGTTGAAGATAAATGGATTATATTGTAGAAGAACATACAAGCAGGCTAGCAGGGATTCTTGAGCAATACAGCATGTCAGAATTAAAGCGCAAAAACCTGGTAAAAAACGCACGATTCTTGATGTGTCACGCCGGCTTTATTTTTTGGGGTTTCTGGTATGCCCCTGACGCTTGTCCCTTGTCGTCGGCAGAGCGTTGGTCTCTCAATCTCGGGTCGAGGTTTCGAGCCCCAGCCGGACCTTTTGCTTTTTGTCCAACATTCTGTTTGAGGTTCCTAAATGCAAATTTGGGTAGTTGGAATTTTATTGATATTTCTGAGAAGCATCCAGAATCCCATTCGGCTTTTTCAAAGCGCTTCCCCGTTACCGTACCCCTTTTAATTAACCTAAAACCATCAATTTCAATCTACTATCGCTTTTTCCGGGGGCCAGGGATGAATAGTGTTTGTCGAATCGGGTTGTTGATAGAATGGGGGCCCATTTTCCCTGGAAATTCTCTCTACCCCTCTTTGGCGGCATCCGATTAATGGGGTCACCCAATTTGGGCACCTCACCCCCGGAGATAGGCCCCCCTAATTTGCAATGGCTGAATTCCGGGGATAGGAGGGGGAATTTTTGGCGACGTTCCAAACCCGCCAATTTATGGGCAATGGGGTTACTTTCATGCTGTCGAAAGTTACCAGAGCGAATGTCCCGAAAATATCCCAAATACTAGACAAAAAATTAGTTTTTGGTTTTAGAAATTTCAAGGTTTCGAAATTTGATAATGCCGAAATTTCCTAATGTCGAAATGAGCCAGAAAAAGACTCCAGAAAAATTCTCGAAACACAATGCTAAATTTTTCGAAATATGGAAGTTTCGCATTATGAAGTTCCACATCATGGCAGCAAATCGAAGACGATTAGCTAGCAGTGAAGTCCCTTCAAGTCAAGGGCAAGCTGGCACGGATTCCTTGCGGAGCTGTTGAGCGGCCGCGCGCTGCAAGACTTTTTTGCACCCCGCCTTGGCAAGCTGCCAATATGGTGAGAACCCGAAAATAGGACCACCTACACGAAGAGCCAAGAACATAAAAAGGGTAGCCGCTGGCAACTATTAAGGGGAAGATGTTTCTCACGGCCCCGCCTCGATCCCCCTAGATGCGTCATCAAGTCAAATAGTCGAGGGCAGAGAGGGGAAAGGGCAGGTAAAGCCTGCCGGCTCGAATTAAAGGAGCCGAACATTCCCACACTCCAACCGAAGGAAGGGGATCGCCATCTTGGAGGTGGGGTTTTTAGGGAGCGGGAGAAAGGGGATCAAACGGTAGCACAGGTAGATTGTATACTTGCGAAATTAGGTAAAGAAAGGGGGGTTTTGGAGGGGTCAGAAGTTCAACAGCATCCACATAATTCCGCAAATTGCCTCTGCTAGCCTGCCATTTGCTTCGAAAAGCTAAAAACAACTTCTAGACCCAGCACGGCTCAAAAAATGTTTAAAAAACTTTTCTAAAGCGCCTTTCCCCAGAATATTTTCTGTTAGCATTCTCTTACAATTTAGCTCCTATTTACCAAATTGTCGCTGCTAACTGGCCTTCCGACTCCTAAGTATCAGTAGACCGTTACCGTATCCTCGCGAAAGCACTCGCTTCTTAGAAGCCTTTTCCGTTAGCCCAACTCCAATAATAATAACTCCTTTTTGGCCTTCTTTCTCACTCTCACTCACTCTTTCACTCACTCACTCTCTCTCTCCTGGCTAACCCATTTATGCAAATGAACTAATGGGCAAGGGACCCGCTATTCCGTCATCCGACAAACCCAGCTTGAGATATAACTATAGGCGGCGCAGGAGTGGCGAGCTAGCAGAGTTCATTGGGGAACGGCTAAAATCCCCACTTTGCATATGTTCGGCATTGTTCCGGGATTTGCGAGAAACAGTTGAAGGACTCTGACCTCTGCAGGTGGCCCTAAAAGGGGAGCTAGAGCTCTTCCAAGGCCCCAAAACGACCCGGTATTCATGGATCAAATAAAACAGACAGAGGAGAGAGAGAGAGAGAGAGAGAGAGTGAAAAATAGTACCCCCCCCCCCTAAAACGGCGAACAAACGAGCCACACTCTGCATCTCATCAGCTCACCACCCAGCTGGCGCCCAGATTTCGCGGGTTTTGAGGAGCGCCCCGGAGCGCGCATAACTTTTAAAGGGGCTTGAAAGTGACTTTTTAACAACGTCAGGGATTTGGTAACTTTTCTTATCGCACCCAGATCTCTGCTAGCTACCCTGGAGGAGCCTTTGGTCGCCGAAACAGATAGCTGATAGTTTGCTTTAGTTCTTCCTCAAAAATCTTTGCAGGTTTGCCCGAGAAGTTGCTAAGTGTCCTTTAATGTTGCTGCTAGTTTACCTTTTTCCTATTTTACCAAAAGAGAGCTGTTAGTTTGCCGAATCAAGAAGAAACAAAGAAATGCTACAAGATCCAAAACTCAAAACCAGCCCAACTTACCGTAGCCCCATTGCCCGTAAAAAGCACTCGAGCGGCAGCAGGTGCCACCAGAAGAATACGGTTCTCGAGCTGGCCGAAAAGCTTTTTGTGCGGAGGGATGTTTTGAGGGTAGGGGGAAGTCTATACTTGACCCTTTCACCCATCAATCACACCGCCCTTTGTCTTCTCTAAAATCCCCCTATAATACCCGGAGGGCACATGGGATGGACGAACAGACAGAGAAGAATATATCGGATTAGAGTCCGCCACGCTCCAGCCACCAGCCAACGGTAGCGACAGTTCAATTATTGGTGAGGGGTCTCTTTGCAAAATGTTAAAAATCTATTTAGCTTTTTTCACCTTATCGAGGCACAATATCTTAATTCTTTTCCTATAAATCCAGAAACTCCTCGCCAAGTAGTCGTAAGTATTTTAGTACCTATATTTTATGTTAAAAACTATATGTATATAAAAACTCAAAACGAAATTTTGGCCAAAAACCTGCCATTTGCCCTCGAAATGATTGAGCTAGATAGATACAGATTCTCGACTTGCTAAAGCTTTCCGTGTTCCATATCTCCGGGATGCATTAAAGAAAACCTCGATCAGAGGACAGTTACCGGCGATTCGCAAACATCGGCTTTTTCTTGGCACTTTTCTGCACTGTCTCTCCTCTTCACTTCAGGCGACCCACAGCGGGCACAATTTTCCTGAAAAAGTGAGGCAGAGGAGTAGCATGTCCGATCACTAACCGCTATTCAGCTCTTTCTCTGACTTGTCGAGTCCTCGCTGAGACGATGCTGTGCAAGGCCTCAAGTTCCCTAAATAAAAAACAAGTAATGAAAAAAATTTAACCTGAATAAATAAATGTTGCTCATCGCATAAGTAGAGCCTCACGTAGAATTCTGCCAGCATGGCACCAACGCTGAACCTAAACATCAATTTTATTCCCAATGCACTCCAGGAAAATACACGGAAGAACGGAAACCACGGAACACAAAAACCAGTAGGAAATATCACATCATCATTCATGGCGAATGTTAGTGAAAAACGAAACCACTACGAAATATCCAATCACAACGCATGACGAATGTTAGCAGGAAAAAAGGTTCTTGCGCAGTATCGGGGGGGTTCTACAAGTCCAGTAATGTAGGTGTTTTAGTCGCGTTTTTTTAACAAATCTTAGCTATATTTTAAGTAGAAAAGCGCTCAAAACAAACTTTAAAAAACGTCATTTGAAATTTTGGTAGAAAAATCGTCATTTTTGTATTTTTTTAATCTGTAAAGCTTTACGTCTAGGAATAGTAAAAATAATTTTAAAAACGCTTCCTCTATTGATACTAGAAGAATTAGATACTTAGAAAAACCCGCTTCCCCCCGATAATGCGAAAGAACCGGAAAAAACTAACGCTGCTAATTTATTAATTCAGTGCGACTGCGCAAAGTTATTTGGGAACACAATTTCCCCAAATGGCGAGGCCGGTGTAGATGAGAGTCACGCGGGTCGGATGAGATTCCCATATGCCACATTTGAACTTTCCAGAGCCGATCCACTCGAGCGGATAATTGTCGCCAATAATGTTTGAGGGGAGCTCATTCACGTCAAAAGGGCTCTGGAAGCCAAGATGGAGCTGGAATGCGCGACGCTGGCCATTCTTCCGCTGATCGAGTAGGGTCCTGACCGTTTCGAAGAAGCGCGGGGCCAAGTCTCCCTCTGGATTTGGCAATCTACATTCGAGACTTTCGAAATTCCACTGGGTGATGTGGTCGAGGAGTTCCAGGCCGACTTCTTCGAAAACGATATTGTCGATCGTCGAAATAACCTGGAGCAGTCTCGGCGTCAGTTTGTATTTGCAATCGCCCAGGTTAACCATTTCCGGCTGGATTTTCTCGATCATCATCGCAACTTTATCCTCGCAATCGTCGCCCCTCGGGGTAAGCTCGAACACGCTGAGCCCGGAAACGTCAATCAGACGCGCGTCCAGATCGTAGTTGAGCAGTTCCACGCGCGCTCCGTGAAAGAGCATCTCCAATGCTGCGGGCTTCTGCACATTTTCATCAGCGTCTGGCTCGACGACGGCAACGCAGTCGACGATATCAAATTCTTTGCCGCTGAGATGTTTCGTCGCGTGGAGCAGCATCGGATCTGTGCGCGCGACTTCCAGCAAGTCGTCTCCGTCAAGCGTTCCCAGGATTTCCCATAGCAAAACCATCGGCAGGTCACAGATGTTGACTTTGTTTTTTGTCTGGCTTTGTTGCAACTTGGCCTTGCAATTTCCGCGTTTGGCCCGACGACCCATTGTACCTGAAATAAAACATGAATTGCGTTTATTAAAAAGACGAAAAACCAGAGAAGAATGAGAAAAAAAACAGATAAGTTTAAAAATATTAATTTGATTTTTTGGTGGAAGCCGCTTTTCCGCTCCATTATACGTTACGAACTGGTGCGTAACGGCGGAAGTTTCAGAGTATATATAAATTTCTAATGTCCGTGCGCCCGTCCGCCCGCCCGTCCGCCCGTCCGACCGGATCGCTGCGGGACCCCCAGGACCGGTTCGGACGGGTCCGGGAGCCGGGGCGTTTCGGGATTTCGGGATTTCGGTGTTTGGGATGTTGATTTATTACCCCCCGGGAGGGCCAGCGCTGAACCCCCGCGGAGCGGGGGGTCAGCGCTGGTTTGGTTCTAAAAACCTGTCGAAAATCGCAGCGATTCCGGTAGACGTAAAATAAAACTGAAAAGCCTTTTATTTATATTTCTTTATTTCTTTTAACTTTCACTTTTCCTTTTCTTGCTTTTGAACGCGCGTCGTGCGGCGGAGCTCGGCGTAGCCGCTCCGAAATTCCTGGCCTAATCGTCTGTCTTCATTTCTTTCTTTTTGTTGTGAAAAAAACTTGTTTTAGAAAGACATAAACTGAAAAACATAACATTTTATAAATTAGACGATGGTAGTGAACACAGAGTCGAATGAAGCAAATGACTTGAAGGTGAAGGCGTCGGTTGAGGTAAATTTTGCTGGTGTTTTTCAAGCTACTCTTTCAGACGTTTCTAAATTACCTGAAAACCCCGGCCAAATTGCCGGAAGAGACGCTGCAAGAATTGCTCGATCACAGCGACTGGTCGGAGAAGAAATTTCTGCTTTGGCTGTTACGCGCGGCAGCTGAGATCTCGTTTGTGAGTGTCGTTATAAAAATCCAGCTACTTTTTTCAGGCGTCACTGGGGAAGAAGAGCGGCGTTATCGTCTCGAACGTCTATCGCTTCCTTCGGGCCGTCAACGAGCGATTTTTCGATGAGACTAGTGAATTTTGGAGGAATGCGCGTGGGATAGTCTTTTTTGGTTTTATTCTCAGCGCCATTTCAGGAAAATTGCACAACACGTTGAAGCGGGCCTACCAAAATGCCTGGCTGAATATAACAAAAGCTGAGGTAGTTGATTTCCTGGATTTCGTATGCTTAGTTTTTTAGTTGTCCGTGAAGGCGCTCAACAATATTGTGCCGTGCCTTGTCTCGGAAGTCTTCCCAAAGGTCCCAGAACCGTTTGCATTTGCCGATTTTCTATTTAAGGTTGGTGTAAGGAGGGTTTTTTTGAATTCCTTTTCTTCAGGTGTTCAACTTCCAAGACGAAACGATGGCGCTGGCGTTGGAGGGCATTTTGGAGCTGATGATCAAGCATAACTTGTAGGATTCTTTAGCTTTTTTCAATTTAATGTTGCGTTTAGCGAATACCCAAAGCTCTACGAGTACGTCTACAGCCATACCAGTACAAGCATCTGGTATACACCGCATAAGCTCAAGTACCTGAACTGCTTGGACACGATGCTGCGTTCTACGTAAGTTTGTTTTGGTGTTCGAGGAAAATGGGTTTTGTAGGCACATTCCCGATTACGTGGCCGCTGGTTTCGCGAAGAAAATCGCTCGCTCTTGCCTGATGGCTCCTCTGGACATGCAGGAGCCGTTGATCGCGCTTGTAGCCAATCTTCAGATCCGTTACCCCAATCTCAGCTGTCTCACCGATCGCTCGAAGCCAGGTCGGTTTGCTTGCGATAGTGACAACATTATTTTAGCTCTCTCTACTGACCCTTATCTGGAAGATGTATCGCTGTTCGAATGTAAGGCCTTGGAGTCGAGTCTATGGGAAATCAAGGTTGCTTTTCCTTCGTTTTTAACGCAGTGTATCCCCGTGTTTATTACCGTATTATTCTAATATTTATTTCCCTTTTTCAGACTCTCCAAAAGCACTGGTGTGAAAGGGTGGCAAAACGAGCCACATTCATCGAGAGGAAACCGGAAAAGGTAGTTAGATTCTAGTCGCGAAGTTAAAGTCTTTTTTTAGATGGAATCCCTCGTGCGAACAAAGTCGCTAGATGACATGAAATCCGATTTTCTGGCGAAATCCGCGGCCTGGCTACGCCGTATTAATGCGGTAAGCGTTTATGAACCATGTTTTAAAGGGATGGTTAGATATCCTAAAGTTTTAATTTGAAAATAAATCTTTTTAGAAAGTCGAGGATTTTAAAAATCTAAATTTTAGGACGATGATGAGGATTCTAACGAAGACGACCAGTCTGAAGATCCCTATCAGGCGCACCTGCAAAAGCGGAAAATGAAGGTATAGAATAAAAGTTTTTTTTAAAGGCCGGATTTAGGGCGGCAAAAAGAACGGAAAACGCGCAAGGCCCGGAGACGAGATTCAGCTCAACTCCGACCGCCCAACCGCGAACAGCGGCCTGAATTGGGACCTCGTCGGCATTATGTCGTTCACCCGAAAGGGCTCAAAAGACGGAGAAATGACTGATTTGCGAGCGGACGCTGGTTTTCGACCACTTGTCTTGCCATCGGACGATTAGAACGTTGTTGATTTTTAGCATTTTTAAATTTTACTATTTACTTTCTTGCGTCGAATTGTTGTCTGTTGTTGTTACTGTTGCTCTCATCTCGGATACAAGGCCTTTATCAGAATTCTTCTGCTCGTTGAAATAAAGTATGAAAGACATATGCGAAATTGTTTTATAGATGCTGAAGGGGAATTCCGACTCGATACCACTGCCATTAATTTTTGATGGTCGCGAGAGGAAGGCTGGGGAGATTGAGTGAGAATGGGCTTCAGCGAAGGCAAGAAAAAGACATTCGGATATTATAGACCCGTGAGGAGAGGGAGGCATAAAGCTGATGATAAAGTTGGGATTGATGAAAGGGATTTGGATATTGTGACAAGATGGGCACGTTTTAGACGGCGCGACTTTTGCGGCGTTTTAGCTTTTTTTAACATTTTTTTCCGTTCTGGAGCTTCAGCTCTGGCTCATTCCGGGCTTGAGAATGAAGTCGCGCTTCTGGCAAGAAGAGCTGTTTGAACTTTTTTCCAATGTGTTTAAAAGCACAAACTTTGCGCCGGCAGTACTAGCGTCGCCGCAAACTGAACTTTTGGTGCTGGACTGTTGGCGGGGGGGACTCATTTTGATTTTCCGCCTATCCACCTGGTAATAATATATGATAGATATGGTATAATATATAATGCATTTTTATAGTAGTTTTTGATTGTTAGAAAGTTAGCAAAAGATTTTTTTAATTCATAAATCCGAAAAATTTTACCCTTTTCGCCATTTTTCATACATTGACCAAAAAGTCGAAAATTTGCGAAACTTTTTTATAATTCTTATGAGCTTTCCATATCTAAAAACTGTGTAAAATGTTTTAAGAACTTCATAGGGATATTTCGTTCTAGGGCCCTACGGGATCAATGGAAAAATATGGGTGCCCCCCCCCGCTAACAGTCGAGTACCGAACGTTTTTTATACACTTTGGAATGAGAATCGGACTAGAAGTAGGGGTAAAAAATACATATGTTATCGCCGTAGACCCTGGAGCTGCGGGAGGACAAAGATGGGCTGCTGTGGGGGCAGCAGGTGGATGGCCGGTGGGAGGGCTGAGAAGAATGGGTGCAGCAGGGCCAGTGAAGCCGGCACGCGGCTCGATGGGTTTAACTGTAAATACTTTTTAAGGAGTCTGACCTCTCACCTACCTGCAAAAACATGGACAACAGCTCCAAGCCGTTGTGAAGCCGGAAGAGGCCGGGATGGACCTGGAGATGCGCAATTTTTTAATTTTCTTTATGTTCACCTTGCTCCACGGGACCTCGTCTTGTGCTATCATACTGGATGGGTCGTAGTGTGGTAGATACGCGACTTCCGGCCAAGCTTTCGGATCGGGCGATCCTCGAATGGAGAAGATGGTGTTGAGCTGATCGGAGACGTCGCGACTGCCCGGGAATAATGCCCGACCTGTGCACATCTCCGCCATGATGCAGCCGACGCCCCTGCACAGGATTATTTTTGACGCCTCTGCGTAATGCCTTTTTTTCTAGACGCTGAGACGCTTGTTTTAATGTATTGTTGAACGCTCTTACCAATTAATATAAGTTTTGCGTTTAAAAGGTTTTTACACGAATCAAATCCTAGGTTGGCTTGCTAAAACACAAACCACATGTCCAAGGAGGTCGAATAGTTTGTGCTACCGAGGAGAACATCCGGCGGGCGGTACCATAGCGTTACCACCTAGAAAAAGTTTTTAAAGGGGTCTAGACACGTCTAGCTACGCGCGGCTCCCTTGCACCCTGCCTCTTTTTAGTGCGATAAAAACTTGCCTCATGCGAGTACGTTCTACTTGGCACGCTTTTTGCCCGGGCCAACCCGAAATCCGCCAGTTTCAGCTCGCCCTTCTCGTTCAGCAACAGGTTCTGGGGTTTGAGGTCTCTAAAAAAGTTTGTTGAGTTGATTCTGGTTATTTTGGGAAATTTTTTGCTGACCTGTGCAAAATTTTCTTTTGATGGCAAAAGGCGAGGCCTCGCAGGAGTTGATAGAGAAGGAGCTTCACCTGGAACGTGTCGAGCCCCTCGGCGTTTTGCTCAAGGTGTTTTGCGAGGTCGAGGGTCTGAAAGTTGCGGATTTCTGGGAAATTGGCTGTCGTTCGAATTATCGCCATTGCCTAAGGACTCTGCTAATTACGCCCTGTGTTTCCGGTATATTCTAGTCTGTCCTAAATATTCTCTGCTTGCTAGCCTTTCTTTTTTATTTTTCCGGGACACTCACCATATATTCAAATACAAACGTCAGCTGATCATGCTGATAGAAGATGTCGTGTAGGCAGACAATATTTGCGTGCCGCAATGTTTTCAACAACGATGCCTGAATGGGGGTACGTTAGATGGGGGCAAATTTTAGGAAGTGACCTCACGAATTGCGGTGAATGGAAGACCTTCTTGGAATTGGAGTTTGATTTCTTTGAGGGCCACGATTGAGCCGTCAAGTCTAGAGAAAAAAAATGGTTATAATTCAATGATTCTTTAGGATATCATCATATACGTTTAAATTGGCTTACTTTGAGGTACATTTGTATACAGTCGCGTAGCTGCCCTCGCCGAGCTTTTCTTGTCTTGTGTACAGCTCGTCGACGTTGAGATGGGGGATTTCCTTAAATATTATTGAAAGAAATGTTTCGATTTTCGAGGACTACAAACTCCACCGAACGTCTCCCAAAAGCCAACCTCATTTTTCGGCAATATCAACGTGTTCGGGTCAAAATGGGCGGATCGGGGTCGGCGGCGGCGGAGTTGGGTGAAGTCGGCCACCTACCAATCCCATAAATTCCCTGATAATCTTTACAACGTACCGTTTGACTTGTCGGGCACATTGTCCGGTTCACCGCCATTTGTTCGTTTTGATGTGTTGAGCGTGATCGTGAGGGCCTGAAAATCAGAAAAATGTAGAATTTTTGGGGGGTCTCACCTGAACATGGTGAAGATGTTCTTGAGACCGTTGTGCATGGCCGCCTGGCCAGCGGCCGGATGCCACGACCGCGTCACGGAACCGGCTGAAAATGTTTTTTAAATATTTAAGCAACAATCCAGGGGCAAGAAAGCTCTAAAAATGACTACAAAGCTCGGCCAAAAATGTGGGTTGATGATGGAAGGGCGGAGTGGAGAGTAGATTCCATTTCCGGAGAAGCATACACCCCCAAAAAAGGCGAATGGCCAGAGGGCGGGGTGGTCTTCGAATCAAGAATGGATGTCGTCTGGTGAGGGGGAGGGAAGGAGAAGCCGAAGAAAAAGAAGTCTTCCTGTTTGTCCCTAGTACCCTCTCGTGTTTTTTGGCGGTTTGGGTGGGACTGAATTCAGGCCAGCCATGGGTCAGGAAATGAAAAGCCCGCGAAAGCACGTTGGGTCGCATCAACAAAAAGTTTAGATGAGTTTTTTGGTGAGCTCTCAATTCTTGAAAAATTTCCGCGAGATACTTACCATAATTTGAGCCCTCTGGTGATGTTGGAGGCACCGAGGAGTCACGGCCGGTTGATCGAATCGTTCCCCACTTCTCGGAGGCCTGTAAAAAGTATTCTACTTTCTTTTTCCTTTACTATTACCAAAATTTGGTTAATTGTACTAAAATCTTTGCTAAATAAACTGTAATGCTTACCGGGACGCTGCCCTCTTTTTGCCGCTTTTTCTCCTTGCCCTGGCGGCCACGTCGAAGCGAGAAGATCGAGTTCTAAACGGAATGGGTTGAAATTATTCGCAAATTTTTTTCAAGGGACCGGCAAGCCATTGCTGTGGATATCGAGGCTGTAGGGATTAGAGCTTGCCGGGATCTTGGGTGTCGGTATTATGTCGGGATTTTGGTCTTTCGTGATTTCTTGTCGTGATTTTGACTGTCGGGATTTCAGGAGTTGGCCTGTTGACCTTATGGGGGTCGGGATTTCGGTATTATGGCTGTCGGGATGATGGCTTGCCGATATTATTTATGGATGTCGGGATTTTGATCTGTCGGGATGCTGACCGAAATTTTAGCACGAAAATTCTTAGCGATCCATAGACAAAAATTGATTGACATGCCTTGCACGTCCTTTAAAAAAATATTAGCTCCCCAAAAACCCACACTAAACATGTTAAAAGCAGAAACCGTAGTCTATCGAGGATGGGCTTTTTGGGCTGGTAGTGTTGTGGCCCATCTCCGGGGTCCCATTTCCCCCTTTCTGGCTGGCTGGCTGGTGGGGATGCCACTTCGCATCGTTTCCACCGCCATTCTCGCACATTTATGCTCTTCGCTTTTTTTTTTTGGAGGAAGCAATGGGCCGCTGGATCCCCATGGAAAATGTGCCGGCCCCGTTCCTCATTTTTCAGGGGTTTTAGGATCATTTTGCGCGGAAATCTGTCGGGGGATGGTTTTTGGCGAAGCCGTTTATGCGATTAAAAAGACCGGCCAGGCATGGCTATGGACTTGCCGCGACCCGCAACCCCCCACCAGCCTTTTCATTGCGTAAGGGGTTAAAACTCGTTAAAAAAATGGCTACGCGGCGTATGCGTCGCGTGTTGCGGTGCGGCAGTCCGCGGACAAAAATCGATAGTCGCGCCTTGCCCGCCCCTTTAAAAGGTAGGCTGGCCGAGGTTTTTGAGGGACGGAAAACGGACCGTCACCAGGAGGAAACAATCCCGCTTGAGAGCGCTCGTCTTTTCCGGGACGTAGTTTCCGTTTTCGTCGAGGAATTTTAGACGTGGCATGCCAACGGGAATGAAGTGTCGTGTAACGTATTTTTATGTAGAGTTGTGTATCGTAGAGTAGCGTACTTTAGCATACAGTAGAGCTAGGTAACGTAATATAGCCTAACGTATCGTAGCGTATCGAACAGTAATTTTTGGAATAAAATCCTTCGTTCAGTTTTGAAGTGCTAACGTGACGACGCGTAGTGTATCGTAGCGTAAGGTATTGTGACAGAGCGTAGCCTCGCGTAGTACGAATGGAAATATGCCCGTAATAGCGCAATAGTTTGCGTTCCGTTCAGAAGAGCCGACGCAACGTAACGTTGCGCAGTGTATCGTAACGTAGCGCAAGGTAGGGTATCGTAATTTGGCGTGTCGTTAGGTAACGGATCGTAGCACAACGTAGCGTAACGTATCTTAACGTAATGTATCGTAGCGTATCGTAACGCAGCGTAATATAATGTATGGAAGTAATGCGCGGTGTATCGCTTACTTATTTAGTAGTAGTAGTAAAGTATGTGTTCAGTTCAGAATTGCCAGGGGCAGGGGATAGGGGGAAGTGTAACCGGGTGGATTACCGCCCGAACTTTGTCGGGGGCAACGGCTCTAGAGGGGTAGACAAAAAGTAGTGGGACAGCTGGGTGAATGATGGAATGAGAGAATAGACACGGCTTTTCCCCTCTCTTTACTCGGATTTTACTGGTCAATGAACGCTGGGGAAAGCGCGAAAAAGTACGGCTGGCCCGCCTGGCTAGGGTTCCCCATTCCAACGGTTGAACCTTGCTTTGGATTTGTATTTTGGCATTAAATCAAATTAAAGGGATCGGTTGGTAAACCGTTTTCCTAAAATCCCCACCTTTTTCGAGGGCGGACTTCTGCTTTGTCTTTTCGTAAGCCGTGGCGCTGGCTCGGGCGATACGGCGACCTTGTTGAGGTTCTCACTTGAAAAGTTGACGACCCGATGTAGATTTTCCGAACTTTTTGAGGGTCTGTAAGTAGGAAACTTATGGAAACCAGACCCTTTTCTACCTGACTACCGCAAAATGTGAGTTGTGAAGGACGGAGAGTGAGCATGAGGGGCGCATTCGCCGGTTTTCTTCAAGTCCCAGCCATACTCCTGAAAAAGAGACATAACTCGAAAGGGATATTTATTTAATATAATCTATTTATAGCAAAAAAAATCCAAAAACAAACCGATATGTTGTGTGAGCTTGCCCCACATGGTGGGCCCCCGTCAATTGCCCCGAATCGCAAGGGAAAGCCCGCTGGTCGAGGCGGCGAATTTCCTCCGCCTGAAAACCTAGAGTAAAAATAGAGAGAGAAAATAGATAGATTAACGAGAGAGAGAGAGAGAGAGAGAGAGAGAGAGCAGGAGTCAGAGAGAGAGATTAAAAGAAGCGAGATAAAACTAAAGGCGGACAATACGTAGGTAGACGCAAAGAAAAAAGTCCGTAACCTTATGCCCCCGTGGAATCTCATAAAAATGTAGATTTTTGCTCAAAAAAGAATGACAGCGGTAAACTGTTTTAGAGTTTTCAGTTAATAAGTGAAATTTAAGGGCGATACCTGAAGCTCAAAGTCAAAAATTTAAGCGACAACTACCAAAAGAAATGCGAAAACTTCCAAACCCGCAAAGTGCAGCATGGAAAGCCCCCAGAGGGACGGAAAGGGTCGTAAAATAGATGGGCCTGCTGCTCTGCGTGTCATTACCCAATTAAAGGGACTGTGAAGGGACGTGGAGGGCAAAAAGGAGCACTAGGGTTCAGTTTGGGCTTCATGTTTGCTAGAAGTTTTCGAAATTTACCAAAAAACATTCACTAAAATATTTTTTTTATTTTCCAAAGAACACAAAGCTCACTTGACAAGGAAAATTGGCAAACTGTTGGAGCTACGATAGAAACGGGGAAATTCCGGCATCTCAATTTTATAAAAGGCTGCAAGAAAGCTTCAACCATACCGACCTTGCCGCTAGACCCTAACAAAACGTGAAACTGCAGGTTTATTGCTCCATAGAAAATAAACTGATTGAAAAGGGAAGGCATGTTAGAAAATATAAACATTGATGCAAAAAGGCAAAACACTCATGAAATTTCATCACTTAAAAGTTACGCTTAACTTAAAATTCCTAACGACTTAAAAATTGGATCAAAAGGTACTTTTACTGTTTAAAAACTAAAGAATAGCAATCATTAATTGTTAAGATTTATTGATTTTATTGCTTAAAAATATAAGCAAAACTCCTTTACAAACGAAAAGCTATAAAAAGCCTCAAAAATACTTCCTTATCGCCCTCCGTACCCTAAAAAGTCTAAAAAACTACCCGAAAAAGTCGATGTAGCCGTGTAGCTACACGTTGCCCGGCTGACCGTGGCCCAGAATGAGTTATTTCACGGGAAGATCCCGCTAGAGATCATGAGATCAAGAGAGGGTCTAGAGACAGTGAGAGAAAAAGCTCTCTCGCTGGGTCACAATTTATGTTAGGGCCCTCTGTTGGATGAGAGAGAGAGAGAGAGAGAGGGAGATATGGGCCCTTCTCTACTCGCCAAATGCTGTTACAACACGACTATCCGGCCCCTTTAGTGCGTCACCCCCCTGGGCCGCGTCCCATCCGTTGTGTTTCGGAAAATGTGTTTCTCTCGCCTCGGGGGCCATTTTATGGCGTAATCGAATAGTTAGCTTTCCCTAATGATCTCTGCTAGCATACCTCTGGTTCGAGCTAGCGGCGATTTTAAAGGAAAATCAATAAAATAATATGAAAACCAGCTACGTTGACCCTAAAGGGCCTTTTAAATGAGTAATCGGATAGTTGGACATCTATACTTGCAGAATCCTCTAATAATCTCGGCTAGCTTGCCACTAGTTTCTGCCATGGTCATTTGATTGCGTAGACGGATGGCAATTAGTGCCAAAAATGAGAAGTGATGCTTATGATTTTCAAGAAAAAAACACTAATAGCTGCTCGTTTTTGCGTCCTGATCAATTTCTTTCAACTTTCATAGTATAACTTTTTAGAGCCATGAATTCTTCGAAATTTCGCTGAACTGCACTTTCACTCCACGAAAAAGATGAAGCTGGCGGGAACATGGGAAAAGGTGGGTAGCATGGATTCTTTTGAAAGGGCAGGCTAGCAGAGACTCTTTGACAAAACCTCCGTTAGCATTTATAGGGAGCTAGCAGAGATGATTGAGAATGCATTGAAATGACGATTACGGCATTAAATTGTATTCAGAGCGCGGTAGGTTTTTGTGGCAACCTAGCATGGGTCCTTGCGGATTTCAAGAAACAGCTTACGACATCTATGTATTGTAGTAGCATAAATTCCCGAAAAGTCGTACAGGTCCGTGAAGTACTGAAAACGCTCGGCCCTTGATCGTGAATTGTGAAAGGAAGTAGGGCAAGTGCAAGGTTGGGCAACCCGTAGAGGTCTTGTTGGCCCAATGGAAAAGTGAAGAAGGTCGGGCAAAAAGGGGGCAAGGAAAAGTCGAGGAGAGCCCACAAAGGAGGGATCAAATTTCTGAGGCTTCTCCCTCTACACCCATCCCATAAAGTATTTATTTACAAAGGGAAAGGTCGCCGAGATCTTCAAAAAGAATTTTTAAGCAGAAAAAAAGTGACAACTGGGAATTCCATGTCGTAATCGATTTCCGAAAATCCGCTAACAAGGAGACGTTTTTGAGTGTCGTCGGGACTTTGGCACGGGACCAAGCCTGTCTTGTGCAGAATTTTACGCTGATTCCGAATATGTTAACCGTTTTTGCGGAATAACAATTTCTCGAAAGTTATGAACGATTTAAACCTCAAAACAGCCCAAAATCGGCTACTTTCGATAGTCCGTATGTACCATCTTTTCCAAAATCACTGAAAAGTTGGAAAAATTTGATAAATTGGGAGGTCCATAATTTTACAAAAATTTCCAAAATTCTAGCATTTTTGAGTTAAGTAGTTTATTTCATAGAGAATTTTGTTCTGAACAAGATGTACTATCTGGTTTTGTCTAAAACCTATTCCGAAGCCTTTTATGACTATCGAAAGTAGCCGATTTTGGGCTGTTTTGAGGTTTAAATCGTTCATAACTTTCGAGAAATTGTTATTCCGCAAAAACGGTTAACATATTCGGAATCAGCGTAAAATTCTGCACAAGACAGACTTTGTCCCGTGCCAAAGTCCCGACGACACTCAAAAACGTCTCCTTGTAAGCCTCCTTGCTTTCGCAATTGCGCGACGCGTCTATCGCACGCGTTGCGGTCTTCTGTCCTTTCCAAAGCTACCGCACGTTTTATTAGGAGCCGGGCCGCTGTGTAAGGGTTCTGCTAGCTACCTATGCAAGGAAAATTTGTTAGCATGCCCTGCAGGCGTAAAAAGAACAGTCATCTGTATGTTAATCGACTGAAAATCCGTAAAGATTTCTGCTAGTTGCGTCAGGAAAATCGAAGCAGTCATAAAAGATTATATGTCGTAATCGAATGTTGACAAATCCGCAAAGATCTCTGCAAGCCTCCTATGCTAATTAATGGGTGTAACTCATCCGAGGAAATGCTTGTGTCTTTTGAAAAATCCGCTTGCCCTCAAATTGCAACGGACCAGGGCGAAAGGAATTATATGCCGTAATTTGTTACGCTATAAAAATAGCTAAAAATAAAATCATAGCAGCGGTTCTTTAGGAAATTCCCAAATTTCTGGATCGCTAGCGTATTTCGGAGCGATGGGTGTGTGCGAGTGCGGGGGTGTCCCATATCGAAAAAGCCGAAAAGACAGAAATGCAATGCATGGCTTTTGCCTTCCCCGTATGCCCCTCTCGCTTACCCCGGGATGAAGGATGGGCCCTAAGCTTAGGACCCAGTATGGGGCCCTTCAAAAAAGACACGACAATCTAGCCGGAAGCGCCGTTTCTGATGCGCTCGGGGAGATTTTGCGATACGAAAATTGAGAGTTTTTAGCGCAAAAGGGCTTCCCAAATCATCTCTGCTAGCTTGCCTTGAATTGCTTAAATTTGGCTAATTTCCTAGGAAACTGAAAAATAATAAAAGCGGAATAGTGGCTCTTATGCTCCCCGGGATTTAGCGGAAGGACATTGAAAATTGGGCTTTTTTAACGCAAAAAAATTCTAAAGGACCTCTGCTAGCTTGCCCTGCGCTCTAAATTCGGGTTATCTCCTTTGAAAATCCATAAAAGTGAAAAAGAGCCCGAAACCCTGGGCGTCGGCTTATCTCAAATGTCAAAACCGGAAACACGGCGAAAACAGAAAGTCAATAAAATACTTTCGGGATAATTTAAAGGGACTACAGGGTGTCCAAAAAAATTGTTCCGGACTTTGGGCTCGAATAGCTTTTGATAGAAGAATATTTCACGGTGTGTTACCATGCCAGAATGCTTAAAAGTGTCTGGAACTCCGATTTAGATCAACTTGATTTTTTCGATTTTTGGCGACGTATCAATACAAATGACACCCGAAAACTGTGCGTTCGGGGAAGTTTAATTTGTATTTTTCTCAGCCGCCTGTGGTGGGGAGTTTCTAATTTTTGCTGCGTAAATTCTTGTAGGCATTAGATCGATACATGCAAAATTTAGGATTTTTCTAAGGTCTGGTTGAAAAGTTATAGCCGACTGAAGTTTAGTATGGACAAATTTCGTAAATTTCGAGTATTAAAAAAACCTATGGCGAAAATCCCAAACTAAGTCGTTGTGGATTGCCGACAGACGCTATACTATCACATAAAAATATTAAAGAATTTTTTGAGATCGGTCATTTTTCGAGTTTTTCAACGACCCCCTGGTCATGGATTTTTTCGAAGTGACAAAACTGAACTTTGAAAAAATATTTCTAAAGTTCCGAATCGAACCTAGGTGTTTTCTTTACTTGGTTGTGTAGGACTAGGGTCCATCTATCATGTAGACAATTACCAGCTACCGTACCCCATTGGAAGGTTGCCTTTTAGCGCCGCCAAAACGGTTGGTTCGTGCTATTTCGCAGATCTTTGCGCCAGTCGATAAAATTCAATTGCGCGGCTAGAATTAATGTCATAATTTTATTTAATACTACTTAATGGGCGCCTTCTAAGATTCTATTTACAAATTTATTGGGCCATCCGATCTTTCAAAAGAAATTCATGAAAAGCCCAAATATACCCAAATTCGAGGCGACGTAAAAAAATTCTCGAAGCTCTTGTAGCCCCGACTTTTCTGGCATAGACCAAGCTTGGGTAGTCAACTAGAACCCATGCA